TAGAAGCTACGAAATTGTTTAGGATTTCAAATTACATCGTACAATTCATAAAACGCTTGTGAAAAAAGAGGTGAAAAAACAGGTGAGATCTCACCTCTTCACCTCAACATTATTTATTGAATTCAGCACAAAAATAATGAATTTCATTAGTTATTTTGTATGTAAAGACAGTAATGTCAAACATTGAGTTGAAACAGTTAGAAAGATAGACAATGACACCAAAGTGGTTAGAATAGGTGATTTAAACGTAAGATACTCAAAGAAATACAACAAATATTCTTTGTCAGACATTATATCTCCATCTGGATAAAAAAACAAACGACTGGGTTAGAAATGCTTCAACTCAGAAAATTTTGACAAGAATCCTGAGCTTATGATATCAGTAGCATTTCATGGAACAAGAGCATATCTTATAGAAAAAGTCTTATACCAATAGTTTTGTTATGGTTAGACCCAGTTGTTGGATATAACTTCATAACATATGGTTCATTCGATACGGAACGTTGCAGTGAAGGCTTACTTTACATCGTTCAGAAACCGAAGGACTTCAACACAAAAAGATATAAGATAGGAAGGACATATAATATAACTCAAAAGACATACAGTCAATAGAGTCAAGTTAAATATGAGAGCTGCTGAAACAGAACTGCTTGAAGTTTTTGAGAAAATGTATGGTGCTCCCACGAAAGGTAAAGAAACGTTTGAAGTAGATGAGATAGATAAAGCTATAAAATTATTTGACGAAGTTGCTGAAAAATACATGTAAAGCGTTTATTTTTTTTTGTGAAAGTCAGAAAATAAAGTTAGTTTTATTTTTTATTTATTTTTATTTTGTATGTAAAAGACAGTAATGACAACATCAGAGAACACAACAACAGTTATAGTCCAATGAAGCTATAAATGAAGAATACATATACATACAATAAACAAACAACTTCGCCTCATTCGTTCGGTCAAAGACGATATGTACCAAATGCAAAGTATAATGAACACTCTTCGTTCTACAAAGCAAGCATATCATTGGTTTGAAAACCAACAGACAAAAGAACTTTTAGAAGAATTTCCTCATATGATTGCTTCCCTCGGAAACGAGAGAAGAGATTCCGTACGAAAATCGCAAGAATTTGGCTCCTGGTTTGAAAGGTTATTATGTTCATAGACTTTTAGTAAACGCTGTTGTAGCAATATGGGCTTCACCTCGTTATGCTTGTTATATTTTCATGATGTTAGATGAACTATATAAAGCAGAACGTGGAGAGATGGAAAAGAAACTTCAAGCAAAAGATGAAGTCATTGAATCCAAAGACAAAAGCATACAAAAAGAATACCGCGTTCGGTACCAAAAGGAAGGAAAAGAGTTATAAGTATATGATATATACTGAAGAGTGGAGAAAGAAGAAGATAAAGATTGGTTATGTTGCATTTAGTCAGAAGAAACAACAAGAGCTTTTATGACTTAGCTAAAATATATAAATCTGACAGAAACTGGTTCTATCGTGAAAACTTACCGATTTTCAATGACACCGAATGAGCAAATAAAGGAAATTGTCAAAAATACTCTTCCTCAAAACACACTATGACATCAAAGGTTGCACAATACTTACATTCAAAGAAGACTTAACATTACTGAAGGAAAAAATAACAGAATATTTCGATAACTTCAAAGAGGAAGAATAAAAAAATCTAAGCTAATTTTATTTTTTTTATAAAATTTATCTCAATATGAAAGAACATGAATTTGAGAATATTCGGAACTCATGACAGAAGAAGAGAACGAACAACATGTAAAAGATTATGCAAAATTTCTGAAGACATATACAAAGCATTTAAACAATATCTAAATGCTTCTAAAGATTATGCAAAATTTCTGAAGGTATATAAAGCTTATGAAAAAGCGTATGAAAAGTTTATACATTGGGAATTGTTGTAAAATATCGATATGAAGACTAACCAAAAAATATTTTTGCTTAATAGCTTCAGGGTCTATTTATCAACCATTTCACTTCCTTCGTCAATGTCAATAGAAGCTTCTTCAACCTTTGGTAAGAATTTCTGTATAACATCTTTGTTCGTTATTGTCTTCAGAGATGAAGGATAATATTTCACAGATGTTTCACCCTTCTTATTTCTTCTGTTCGGAAAGATTTAAGAAGTATACTGAAGAAGTCAATGTTGAGTTCTCTATATAACAGTATAATGAGTATCTTTGACATTCACGAAGAAACTCTTTTTTTTCAAAACTACTGCTAACTCTTGTGAAGTATAACGTTGCGGTCAATGAGATAGCTAATGGTCTGACATACTGACCAAACTTAGATTCTTTCACAAACTTCTTGTTAAAGATAACATTAACATTTGAAGCATTATTGAACTCATTCTTGATGGCAGTAGCGAGAGCATTGTATGAAAGAACTTGCAATCTTGCATGTGTTTCATTAAAATAAAAATATTAAATTATTTTGAAAAATAACTTTAAAAAAAATCTAATCTAATTTTTTCAAAAAATATTTTTTTATTTCCTACTAAAGATGTATCGGAAGTTGTCTAAGTTAGAACACTCGGAAATAAAAACAACTTCTTACAGAAGCTAATAGATGTTGCAAAACATTACGCAACAAACAAAAAAGCACTCGCTGACTTCATTAAAGACTATAATAGTGCAATAAGTTATGATAGAATTCATGAGTTCCATAAAGCCGCAACGCGGCGAGGACGAAGTCCATGCAAGAGCATTTCTTTAAATGACGTTGCTATTGACTTATATCATAGACGTTCAGTACCTCATGAAGTAAGAAGAGAAATGTTTGACATAACAAATGCAAACGTTGGTGAAACAAGAAGAAGAGACGACACACTAAAACAACAGAGAAGAGAGATGTTTAAGAGCGCTATAGAACAAGTTTGCAAAGCTAACGATGTCATTCGTTCCATTGACGACAAACCAAAAGAAGGTGAGAGATGGTTAAAGAAAGATGAAGAGAATAGGAAGAGAAATGTGAAGTCAGGCAATAGAACTCATTGACTTTAACATCGAAGCTTTAGATGAACCAAACAGAGACTACTTACACAAACATTTCGGTAAGGTTTTCATGAGACTCTTAGAGTTAAAATAATAAACTCACAACAGAGATGGATGGTATGTTATAAACTTGGTGGAAAGTATGAATGTTCTACGTTAAACCTCAATAATATTGGAACATTACTACATCAGCTCTTGAGGAGAACTTTATATCAGAGATAGAAGCAAATGCTGCAGGTATTGTTGAAATGCACTATGACTTCTTCTTGCAAACATAAAGAATCTTTACCGAAATAAAGATGTATGATTTAACAGAATATGAAGGCTTAACGATGTCAGATGTAAAGAAAGGCAAACCAAAAAGAGACCATATAGAGATGAAAGCACACTGACAAATGACCAGAAAGCCATTTTGGAAGCTCTTAAGCAAACAGGAAACCAGCACTTATAGAAAGCTTTTGGAAAGATAATGGTGAAAAGAAGTTTTATAAGAAGAGAAGCGGTCAGTTCTGGAAGTATCTTTGCACATTACCTATAAATCTTGAGCGCTACCAAATCTTCAATGAATTGAACAAAAGAACTGCAGCACTTATGGACAGAAGACAATTGTTTCGTTTATGCTTGCATTCAGGCTGGAGTAGATGGAGAGACTATTGACCACATGAGAGAAGTCATTCGTGTTAGAGACTTTCCTCAAAGTAAAGTACAAGAAATTTCTGACGCAAAAGGTATAGCATTTAATGTTACCATTGGTTATTTCAATGACTCAAGACATAATGAAATAAAGAGATACATACCAAAAGAATGTGAAACTGTTCGAACTATTGACTTACTTCTTGTTGAAGACCACTACATGCTAAATGAAAGATTACCAATGACAACATATTTCATTCGCAACTATATAGAAATCTTGAAGGAGTGTGGTGGAATGAACATTGAGAAACAAATGAAGATTTATACAAAGAGAGAAGATAAATATGTAGTTCGTTATGATAGAACAACACCGTTATGGGATGTTATGAAAACATTGTGGGAGTGCAAATATTTCGAACCTATTTCTTATGGAGAACTTTTCACATATACGACTGACTTATATAAACAGAACCTTGCACCATTTAAAGATTTGACATATGCTCCAAAGTATTGTGTACAACTGAAGAAGAAAGCCGAGTCAAAAGAAGTAAATAAATAAGTGCAAGTTCATTCCTGAGCACGTTTTCTTTGCTGACTTTGAGTGCAGTACCGATGGCTTTCATAAAGCTTTTAACATATGTTACGACAGTGAAGATGGTTCAGTGAGTGAAAGCATTTGGGGTCAGAACTGTGCAACAGAATTTTTGGAACGACTTCCTGACAAGAGTTTAATATATTTCCATAACCTCAGTTATGATATAAACTTCATCTTAAGACACATGACAGAAGTGAAAGGAACTCCCATCATTAAAGGTTCACGAACAATGCAAATAACTGGCTTATATAAAGGAAGGGCAATTATTATAAAAGACTCTTACAGTGTTATAAATAAGAAGCTTAAACTATTTCCTGCTATGTTTAACTTACAAACAGGACCGAAAGAAGTATTTCCATATAACTACTACAGCAGTGTTTTGTTAGCAAATGACAACAGAACTGGTGTCATTTCTGAAGCATGTAAGTTTGTGCAGATACATTCATGAAAAACATAGATTCCATCAAAGGTTGCAGAATAGATGAGAACCACTTCGACTTAGAAAAGTATAGCACATTTTATTGCAAACAAGATGTAAGAATTTTAAGAGAAGGTTTTGTTAAGTTCCGCAATGACATATTGAAAGAATTTGATTTAAACGTTTATGACTACGTTAGTATTTGTTCAATTGCTAACAAATTATTTGAGAACAGAGTGTACTTCCCGAATGGAAATTTATATGACCTCTCAAATAAACCAAGAGAATTTATTTCACGCTGTATTCAAGGTGGAAGATGTATGCTGTCAGATAACATGAAACAAAAGAGCGAAAAGAAACTCATTGCTGATTTCGACGCTGTTTCATTATATCCATCAGCTATAGCAAGACTTTATACTTTAGAAGGTATTCCAAAGGTTATGAAGAAAGAAATGTTAAGCACAGAGTATCTCATGAGACATTTATTCGATGACGACCAAAAGGAACCCATTGGTGAAAAGTTTATGTCTGGCTTCTTTGTTCTCATTAAGATAACAGAGATTGGAATACATAGACACTTTCCTTTAATAGTTTGTGACCCTGAACTAAATCCAGAACTTAACGTTCCCAGAAGTTCAAACACTTGCTGTTTAATGTATGTTGACCATATAACATTACAAGACCTCATAAAATATCAAGGTGTCAAATGTGAAGTGTTGCAAGGATACTATTACGATGGAAACAGAGATATTAGAATAAGAGATGAAGTAAAGAAGTTGTTTGAGTTAAGGTTAAAGTATAAGAAAGAAGGAAATCCTTTGCAAGAAAATATAAAGCTCATTCTGAACAGTATTTATGGCAAAACTATTCTATCTCCTATTGAGTCAAAAATAACCATAGTAAATGACAAAGATGCTATAAGATATGCCATCAGAAACTACAACCATATAGTGAAGTTCGAAGGTTTGGATGGTTCAGATAAAACTATTTTCAAGCTAACGAAAAGCATTTGCAGACACTTTAACTTCTGTCCACTTGGTGTTAACATTCTGTCTATGTCGAAGAGAATAATGTGTGAAGTATTCTGTACTGCTGAGGACTTAGGAATGGACATCTTTTATAGCGATACGGACAGTATGCATCTCTACAATGAAGATATCCCTCGTTTAGCTGAAGAGTTTGAGAAACGTTATGGAAGAGTTCTCATTGGTAAAAACCTTGGTCAATTTCATAGCGACTTTGCAGAAATCACACCTGAAAACAAAGTTTAGCATACAAGTCAATATTTTGTGGAAAGAAGACTTACATAGACTTACTCACGAATGATTTAAATGAAGTTGCATTTCACTGCAGAATGAAAGGCGTGAAGCAAGATGTTATTGCTTTAACCGCTAATGAAATGTTTCCTGACTCTGTTCAGTGTTTCTATGATGAAGATAAAGGTTTAATGGTTCCGCAAGGAACATATGACAAAGACTCTGAGTTCAGTTTAATGAAACTTTACAAAGCACTTTATGACGGTCAAGAGATTGGATTTGACTTATGTAAGTCATGTCAACCTTGCTTTGAAGAGAAGTTTAACTTCTCAATAACGACTAAAACAAGCTTTATTCGTAAGTTGAAGTTCTGAGGTCATTTATTTTTGTCAGCAATGAGGTCATTCGTGATAAAAATAAGCCGCTAGCGGCAAGGGCGAAGCCCATGTGGTCATTTACAATACTGCGATGGTAGAGTTTAAGAGTTGTGCTTCAATGTAGAGACAGTCCTTATGGTCTGGAGGTAAGAACACTGGGCAGTTATGGTCATGAGTGGAGAACATGTCTATCCAAAACTCACGATTGAAGCCAGTTAATTTATAGTATTTAGGGTTAGGAAGTGGTGAAGTTCTTGTATGACCAATGAACTCATTTTCAACTCCTTACTTATTAGAAATAATATAGCTTGCTTTCTATCCCAAATACCAGGTGTTACAATCTTTGAAAATTCATTTTTCCTCGGAAGCATTGCATCATAATTGAAAACAGTCTTGGAATCATCACTTGGTTCAGAGATTTGAAATCTTATACGTAATGGATTTTCTTTCTTTTTAGCGACTTCATTGAATGGTGAGAATACAATGAATTGACAGTCATGAGTTCCATCTTCATTTTCATTAAATTCATAATGAAAGTCTATAAGTTGTGGCTGACTACCTTCTTCTTTCAGTTGTGCAAGAAACTCACGTAAAGGCTGTAAAGTTTGTACTTCAATGTTAAACTTTTTCTCGAACATTCATTAAATGAAATCATACATTGTTGCAATGTTGTATCGTCTTTAAAGTATTTGTATATGTGAATGTTTTGGGCGCTTAAAGACTGTTCGTCATTTTCTATCTCGACTTGAAGTATAAAGTCAACCTTTCTGAAAGCACGTGTTATATACATATTTGTTATGCCAATGTACTTCTCTTCATTTATGTTCACAATCCAGTCTGTTGGAAACTTAAACGTTACTCTGTTCCCCTTTATTTTGACGTCAGGGTTTTCACTACTGAACGCAACAGATAAAGGTATTTGTCTATACATTTAATTCGGATAAAAATAAACCATTTACTCTTTCTTTGCTTCAGCTTCTTTAGCTTTTGCTTCAGCTTCTTCTCTAGCTTTCTTCGCCAGCAAACGTGGGTTCTTTTGTCTTCCAGCAGCTAATGCAGCAAGTTGTTTTTTCACTAAGTTTTCTCTTTGGTCTCTCTGGCTTTTGTTCTTGTTTTTGTTCCTTCAGTTCGGATAAAATTTGCTCACGAATTTCTTTCTTCAATGCTTCAACATCTATGACCCCTTGGGTCTTGTCCGTAGGGCTTGTCTGAGTCATTTGACTGCAGATAAAAAACAAAATTAAAACTTTAACCGATGTAAAATGAGCTTGTCAAAATCAGAGCGAGAGTCTATTATATTAAATGACGCAAGAGGAATACAACATCCTTTCTATTACGTAAGTCAGAGTAAAGATGGTAAAATATACGTAAGAAAAAGAAAGGTTCCATTAGCGAATGCAGAAAGCGACAACATTAAGGTGTATGGCAAGGGTGAAGTCCGTGTTAAAACCTTCTGTTCAAACTGAAAAGTCAATAGAACCAGAAGAAAAGAAGCCAGATGTACTTTCAATAACGAACCAAGAGCTTATTGCAAAGTTCGTGAATTTCATTGAAAAACAAACCGAGTCAAAGAACCTGACCCGCCAGTGAAAGAAGTTGAGACAAAAGAGAATGTACAGTTCATTGAAAATGTCAAGAAACAACTTCCACCACGAATGCCAAGAAGAAGAGTGAGAATAATGAAGTAAATAGATATTTTTATCTGAAGTAAAACATGCAGAACGAACAGTTAAACGAATTTACTCCAGCAGAGCATATTCATCAGATTCGCTCATATTTCGATATCATAGACAATGCAGTTCAAATTGGTGACACTAATAGAAAATATTCTGACGCAAAGATTCCATCACAACCTGGAACTGCTAAAGATAACACATGGGTAACATTCAATCTCTCACCTCCTGGTGAAAATATGTTGGACCTTTACAATACATTCATTACGTATAAAATGGAAGGTCAATTTATTGTAGATAAAGAAATTGGTTCAGGTTCCAATAAAACAAACCCACCAGGATTTTGGATTGGTTTCGATGACGCTTTCTATGCAGTTGCTGGATATCAAATCCTTGCAAATGGTCGTATCGTATATTCTCAAGACAACGCAAGAGAAGAAGCATATATAACTTCAAACTCACAAACTACCGAACAAATAAAGAAAGTAGATGTTTTCTCAAAGACTCGACATGAAGATGTATGGAGTCATTCGGGAACATGCAGAACAGGACAAATTGTTAGTGGTCCAATTACAGCAGGAAAATCATTTGATTTTAAGCTTCGTTTAAGAATTCCTGTTAGAAGATTCCTTCCATTAGAAGCTATTCGATTTATTCCAGCTTTTGCAGGAAACATTCAGCTTAAAGTAAAGTTCAGTAGCGACGCCTTACAATGCACATCTATATCTGTAAATGATATCATTGCTTTCAATCCAACTCTTAAAGTTGCATTTGCTTCAGATTCAAATCCACCGACAAATAAATTTGTTCCATGGAATGAACCATTCACTATGATAACGAAGGCAGTAGAAGCTAGTGGAACAGTTACTATTACAACTGTAACCCAGCAACTATTTCGAACAAAGATGGATTTTAATGAATGTTTCATTCATCCAAAGTCATTCTCTTTAGACCCTAACATTTATACAGAACTTGTAGAACATTATACAAACGAGGCTTTATGTTTTCCTGTTAAAGTTATGGATTGGATTCCTATGGACGGTTCATTCTCAAAGAATACAGATAGTTCAAGTGCAACATTTACAGCAGCTTATACGCCTATTAATGTTAAAAGTATTTGGGCACTATTTAGAAAGAAAGACAACTATTATGTTAATTTTGAGAACCCTAAGTTTAAATATCTTCAGCTTTCCATGGGAGCTTATGGAAATATGCCTGCAGAACCTGAAAAATCATATGGACCTGTATTTTATGAAATGGTTGCGAACGCTTGCAATACAAACAATGATATGATAGGATTTAATGAAGATGTTATGAGGTCATTGGTGGATGATGGTAGTGTGGAACATAAATGGGATAGCTATGACAACACACATTTCTTATGTGGTTTTCCAACAGAAGTGGACTTTTGCTTCCAGCAAGGTCAAACATCTACTGCTCCAATAACATACAAATTGTCTGTTAAAGGACCTATTGAACTAGCAACTGAAAATGTACCAAAGCCACTTATTGGATTTATGAGGGATTGTTGCTTTGCCATTCAGGTGCGTGCTAATGGAATCCCAATAATAAGATTAGATGACTATAACTTAGCTACGGACGACGGTGAGGAATAAAGGATGAACGTTTATTTTTAAAGCTTATAAATGAGTTCTTCATCAAGCTCTCGTGAACCTTCACCATCTATGAAACAAACTTTACCAAACGATTATGGAGCACCTATTGAATATTTCTTACGAGCTGCACAATGGCAAAGAGCAGTCTCACCAAGGTTAGGTGTTCCACCAGCTCCTGTCAAAAATAGCATTTGGTCAAGTCCTTATATAAGATATGGTCTCCCACTAGGTTTGCTAGCTACAGCAGGAGCAGTTATGATGTTGAAAAGAAATAAAGCAAATGTTGTAAATAATACTGAAGTAGCTGAAGTTAAACAAACTCCAACACCTTCGCCAAAACCAACGCCTTCACAAGCAAAACCTTCAATGACTCCTGAACCTATGGAAGTACAAACTCCTGTTCAAAAGTCAACTCCTAAACCGACTCCAACATTTAAACCAGAACCTACTCCTCAAATAAATCGTAAAACTCCTGCGTTTCCTTACTGAAAAAATAACGTTATTTTTATTTAATATTAAAATTTTTATTTGATTAAAATGACAAATAAAGTCACTGAAGCAATGAAACAAAAGTTTTTGGTAGAATACATTAAATCAGGAACTATTCCAGAAGGTTTTTACATTCATACTATGAAGGATGGTAGAGTTCAGTTTAGAAAGATAAAGCAACCATTAGATAAAGAAGGAATTTTGAGAAAGATTAAACTTCATGAGGACAACATTGCTGAACTTAAGAAGAAGTTAGAAGAGTTGGATAAAGGAAGAGAGTTATAAAGCAATGAATTCAACAGGGTGAAAAAACAGGTGAAAAAAGAGGTGAGATCTCACCACTTCACCTAAATTTATTTTTGTGCTATGTTTTCATACGTGTGAGGGTGGTGATATCATTTATTTTTTAAGTTTATTTTTTATTTTATTTTTTATTTTATTTTTATATAAATGACGAAAACTATTGAGATAACAAACTACAACGGTCATGAGTTCAAGAATTTGTTCTTCATTCCTCGTGAAAATACATTCTATCAGATACGAGGGAGAAAAGGTAAAGTTAGTTTGAGCGTTTATGAAGGAATGAAGAATGGAAAGTTTATACAAGCATACGATACAAACGGTAAACGTGTTTCATTAGCTTTGTCAAAACTTACTAACATTTATTTTGACAGTGACTTTGACCTATATGAAGAAGAAAGTGAGTCAGAAGATTATGAGCTGTTATGTGAAGCACAGCAATGGGAGGAGTTGCAATACTTTTGTAAGTGAGAACATTAGTGGGAACGTTAGTGAGAACGTTTATTTTTTCATTAGTGAGGTGAAGTGGTTGGTGGCTTTGTAAATATTTAAGGTTAAGTTAGTGTTGTCGTTTGTGTTGTAAAATATACGTTAACGGTTTTGTAAAGTGTCAAATTCACATATCATGGGTAAGGAGGCGCGCAGTGCCTCCGTACACAACTAACCCATACTAACTAAAATTGCGACCCATCATTTTGAATATAATTGAATTAATACATTTATTGTAAGAATATTATATACCAAATATTAGACTTCCACATGAATCCTGGTATGATATTATAAGTATTGCAAAATTAGAAAAAAATATGCTCATGATATACTAAAATTCATGTTTCAAGGTTAACTTATAAATAAAATAAGTTCGAGAAATGCATCACTAAATATTTGAGCTTGTGCACTATAATGCTATATAATAGTCTTCACTGTTTTTAATATATTGACTTTGCTAGACTTGATTTTTTTCATCACCCTAATGAGTGCCCATCCTTAAAGATATAAAAAACTTCGAAATAACAGGAAGTGAGCCAACACGTGATGATTATTATTTTGCAATGTTTAATTCGAAAGGAATTCCTGTGCGACTTGGGCATGCAGCGCTGTCAGTTATGGATATTTCAATGAAAGTACCCGTAAATTTTAGTTACTTCGATGATTATAATGGAACTATGCTTTCTTACCTTTTTTTATTTTTGAATTTGGCCGGCGTTAGTTCAGAGAGTTTCCCACGCGTTCCACAAATATCTGGATTAAAGAGATTCTTTAAATGGCTTTTAGGTTAATAATATGCTATTCAATATTCAATTTGTTAAAATTAAACTATGTTATAGCGTAATTTTTTTTTCACATCTTAGTTTTCCAAAATTTTCAGTTTAGACGTATTGTCTTATTATTGAATCCTGCGATTTTGACTCCCTGAGCCGATTTATCCTACTCATTATAGATTGAAATATGCGACTCAATGCATATTTCTTATTTCTAAAATATAATTCATTTCAGAAGTCTGTTCTAGTGTAATGCGTTGCGACACTCTGCTAACAAATAGCGAGAGAACATGTCTGTAATTCGTTTATGATGAAGTTATCAGAACGTTTCTCAAATGAGGAAGGAAATCCAAAAAACTTTAGCATAAGTCAATACAGATATGATTCTCCGGCTCTTTGCCGGCCAGAGAACAAATAAATAGTGTATTGGCTGATAAACTTTATGCATGTCTCTGAAAACATATTTATTCTCACAAGTTATATAGTTCAATGCAAGCAATATTTTTCAAATCAAGTATACTCTGACTTGATTTTAAAATCAAGCTAATTATTGAAAGTATAGAATATACGACAAATTTACTCTGTCTATTATAATCATTTTTCTGAACACTGCTTCGAATGTCTGACAAAATTGAATTTAAAGCTTTAAATCGGTTTAAGAAATTCAATTTTGTTATCAATTAACAGCAACAGATTTAGAATGTATATAAGAATTCCAATCTATAATGACATTTTACACTCTGTTTCGCTTGTTTCAAATTTTTCTAATTTCACGATTCCCCAGAATTAGCTTAATGCTATTGTTGATTGTTACATGTATTTTGAAATCAATTTTTTTTTCAGAGCAAAGATTTTCTTTTTCTATTAACTAATAGAATTGTTTCAGTTTCATAACTCAAAAATACTGAAACATCTTTTAAATTTTGTTACGTTTCAATATCTAGAAGAAATAAATTGGAATTAACATATGATGTAGAACGGTGTTTGTTTTATTCTTTCTCAAATAATTTGTGAATCGATTCAACCCATAAATACAATTTTGATTAAAATTTTTACATGATTGCTACCTTCAAAGACAATTATATCACTAGCTTATTTATAATAATTAAACTTGTAATCATAGAGTTCTTACATAACCTAAGAAATTTATTACAAAGACACGAGTATTTCGACATTAATTACAAATTACCAGAAAAATTTCCAGATTTCATGAAACTCAAATACAATGTATTCAATAGCTATTATCACCCAATAATTGCGGTCAAATACCAACCTATTCTCATTGAATACTTCAAAAAAGAAGTTGGAGATCTAGCATTTCATGGTAATTTTTATTGCCATGGCATTAACATATCTTACCGCAATATGTTTTATCTTTATCGCTTTTCAGAATTAACAGACGAAGAACTTGATTTCGTAGCGAAAAATGCAATGCGCTATATATTAGAACTTCAAAAAGGTTGTTATGCTAAATTGCTTGTTTACGAATTAAATAATATCGGACTCATGCTTGGTGGAATAATTTTAAATTATGCGCAAAGACACAACGCAAACGAAGATATTATTGACAATATTCGTTTACTTGCAAGGAATTTTATACTCACATTCAATTTCGAGTGTTGGAATCCATATGATCCCGCAAGAAAATCGAACCTCTTTTTCAATACAGGCAAAATAATGTATTACACAAGAAATGTTAGCGCTGATCTTCCAGTCCGCTATAACATCGTCAGAAAGTTTGAAGACGAAATTGAAGAAAAATTCAACAAACAACCTTATTTCCCACTTAGAATTAAAATCGGTTCTCCTGGGATACCAAATCATACGAAAGCAACACCATTCTCTGAACTCTAAAATTTTTTCCTACTTTTTTTTTTCTATATCTAAAAGATTCAATACAATGCTCGGAAATCATCCTCAGCTCATGAGAATTGATGACCATATAATAAAGGGAAAGAAAAATTTTGAAAAAAGATGAAGCAAGATTTGAATGTATTACTTTCAGCCTTTTTGTTCAAATATATATGCTCTCATATAAAGAAATAATGATTTCATTAATCAAAATCTAGATTTACCAATTGTGATTAAATTTCTTTCATTTTGGACAGTATAGATTACAATCGAATCGTATATCATTGTTTCTTCTTTTAATAAATCTTCGTCATATTTGTTGTGCCTTCGACAGCTTTATCAAACCTTTGATATCTTTATCTTTTCCACGGGAATGTATGTTGAATTAAAGCAAACATAAATAAGATTTCATGACTTCAAATATATTACAAGAATCACATAAAAAAGAATTTTGTAAATAATTTCTGAAAACAATAATCTTTAAATAAAGGAACGAATTAATAAATAAATATTTTTTTTAAAACATCACATACATCTTTTTTTTAATATATTATTAAAAACTATTAAACCATCTTTGATTTCAAGTAAGAATACATCACATTGACTTGTTTATCAGTTGTATCTAAGTAAGGTTCAACATCATGTACTAATTTCCTCATAACGTCTTTGTATCCGAATGCAAGGAGATTGACGAGTTCATCAAGAATGTCTTGTTTATCTTTCTCTTCGATTTGAACGTCGTTTTGACCTTTGACTAAGCGACAAATATAAATTAAACATGATCTGTTCGCTGGGTTCATGTATATAGTCTTGATTCTCTGCGTGTTGATGATTGTCAACTGTGCAACACTAGCAAAGTTCTGATCACTGCAATTGATAGTGTACTGAAGTTTATTAGATGAAAATGTGAATCCGTTTTGTTCCATTCTGAATGTATCGATTTCTTCGTGAGGGAAATAATCAACTGCAATTCGAGATCCATAGTTATGAGAAACGATGATGCAGTTCTTCATCAAATTGCATGTGTGTTGAGATCCATTGTGATTGAAAGGAATGGACATCAATGCGGCGTTGATTCGTTCATGGATACATTTAGAAGCTGCGGCAAATTTCAAGTCGAATTCTGGATATTTCTCAGCAGAAATGACTTTTTTACGGATAGGAGTTGTATCGAATTTATCATAGATAGTTTCGGAGCCGTTCAATATAATCAGTTCTTTAACTAAATCTGTGATATGTGGTAATGCATCAACTAAAACATGAACGTTGTTTCCGATGTCGAAATCTTTATCTGAATAACCTGTGAAATCCATAATAACGGATAAATCTTCTTTCTGTTCTGATGCCAATGCGATCATTTCTTTCTGGAATGCCTGTGGAATCTGGACTGCAGGAAGATTGATAGCTTTGAAGACAATCAAGTTCTGGTTAACTCTGAACAATGTATTAGCCATCATCATAGCGATTTGTGCAGGAACATTTGATTTAACAACTTCATTAATTTCTGGTGATTGTTGTTTCAGTGCATTGACATTCATAGAACTTGGATGTCCATTGTGGTATTTGTTGTATTCTGTGAATGCTTTGACCAATCGACCATTTGTCTCGATTTTACAAAAGTCTTCTTTGTATGTTTGTAAAACAGGTGCCAAATGTGAAATCAATCTGTTCTCAAGCATTCCAACACTTAATGCTTGATTTGTGTATTCGCCATACTTGATCTTATCACTTTCAAGGATATTCTTCATTGTGTTGATGTATTTAGTTCTTGTTTTCATTCCGAAATCATTGAAAACATGATAAAATGGTTTCTTTTCGTTCAAATATCCTTTGTTGATTGCTGCCATGATAACAACTGATGCGTTTAAGATCGGATCTTTATGTGATTGCTTGATGTCTTTACCGAATGAGTCTGGGATACTCAATGTAGGTAAGATCAACCTCAAGAAAAGAAATCCATGTGCAATTGTAAATCCAAATTCGTTGTCAAAAAGATTAGCAACAGATTTGTAAATCAATCGCATAAGGAAAACAATTTCTTCTGGTGGATTCTCGAACATTTTGTCAATTTTACTGACAATGTCTTCAAGGAACGAAAGAAAATTATCTGTGTTCACTTCACCTTTGGCAGGATTGATCTCAAAATTGTCACCTTTTTTGATTCTTTCGAGATATCTTTCGACTGGATCTTTGAACATTTTTAAGACCCATTCTTGACCGTAGTATTTAGCGAAGTATGTGATAGATCGAGATGAAATGCCGTTACCTCGTAAAATCATGTTTTTGTTGTTTTCTTCTGTGTTTTTAAGTTCAAGTTTAACCATCCTTTCGATGTATTTCTTAGAATAGTTTCTGACAATCGCAGATTGTGTGAACAACAAAGAGATTGGTTCAAGCATGTTCTGTGGACATGTCTCGGAGAATGTTTCAATGAATTCGTCTTTGAAAAAGTCGTCAATCAATGAATCGTTACTTTTTTCAAATTCGAACTTTTCATAACTTTGTAACAATGAGTCAATGAATGTCATTCTGCATGAATCATTAGGATTGAAACTCAAGATATATGTGTCTTCAACAAGTGCCTTAGAATTCTCTTTGTAAATGTTCATATAACATTCTTGAACGAGAATTGCTGTTTCTGGTCGTTTTTTGATCAAAAGAACAAGAGCAGATAACAGACTTCGCAATAATTCCCTCTTAAGAACAATGCCATCGACCAATTTGATCAATGTTGTAACTAAAATTGTAATTAACGCGTCTGTATTAAGTTCGTTCTCTTGGATCATTGTTTGGGAGATCCAGAACACTAAACTCTGGATAAATGATGTACGAAGAGCTTCATCGAAGTTAGATAAATCAACTCTTTGCGTAACTTGGCACAATGTGAATGTTAATGAAACGTTTGATGAGACATGAGCGATTTTTATGGCTCTGGAGATGAAGGATTCCAACAATGGATAGTCGATCTCTTTGGTTTTCGGATGATCGAACAGATTTCGGAGGATTGTTAAAATATTTAACGTAATTGTGATGACTTCTGGGTTAGAAAAGTCAACCTGCGTGGATCTATCAAGGGATTTCTGCAATAAAACTGTAAGATGCCTTGGATGAATGATATAAGACAATTGTGTGACAAATTTTCGGGCAAGTTGTGTATTAATCTTCATAACTTCCCGCTGAAGATTAATAATCTGGTCTGATAAGCACGAATCGAGTAACGAAATACCACACAAACAGCTTGTCCAAGCAAATTGGAATTGTGTTAAGTCTGTTTGGTCCTGATTCTCAAAGGAACTCAATATAATTGCTTTGTACTTGTCCAAGGTGTAGAAAATATAGGTAATAACCTTAGAAACTGTTGGAGAAATATGAGTAACCTTAGAGAATGGCAATAACAGCTGTAGATATGAATATAATGGACCGGGCTTAGGCGTTTTAAGGATATCGTTAAGCTCTTTGTAGGCTAGTTCAACATTAATTTTGGCAATCTCCCCAATTTGAGCAATTTTGCACAAAATCTGGTAGCCGTATCTAATGTCATCATCATCTGTTGAGCTTAGTGCTAAGTAAGCACCGGCTTCTGCTGTCTGGACAATTTTTGGAATTATTGCCCACGTAGGTTCAACTTTTGCAACTCGGAGTGTGTAATCCGTAATGGAATACATAGCGTAAGTGATTTTGACGTGAGGATGAGGTTCTTCCGATAAAATAAGTTTTTGACCTAACTGTAGAATTAATCTGATAAAATCGAAAGCTCTGAGAACGCGAATATCGCTTGATATGACTGTAAAGAATTTAGCGATGGCCGAGATCAAATCAATGTTGTTAGTCTCCATTAATTTTTTGAAAATAATGTCAACGTTAGCAGAATCGGCCACCATGAAGTTGGCGAAGAACTTAGGGTAAGCGTCGAAGTATTGGTACATTTCGACCATGTCACATTGAAGACAGAACTTGATTAAGTTGTAAACTTGTGGTGAATCGATATCTCGGACATTTTCAACGAACTGTGGTAATATTGACCAAAGAGTTATGTCTTCTTGTATTTTCTGAACGAGTTTGTCAAATTTTGGTGATTTCGCGTAAAATAAAGCGAGTAAGATGTATAAAAGACTTTCGGCTGTAATTTTAGGTAGACTGTTGATCATGTTGTCAACAAGCATAGGAGTTGTTTCGTTAAATGTGTCAATCATCGTTTTATTTGTTCCTTTTATAAGGGCAATGATTTTGCAAAGCGGCTGAATAAATCTTGCTTGTAAGAGTACGTTCTGCTTCTTCTCGATGTTGCTTTTGATATCTTTGTAAACTTGTGAATAATTTCCTTTATTCATTTTTTCTGGAATACAAAGAGTTAAAACGACTTTCGCAAGTGGCGTATATTTGTTTTTCCAACTGTTTGATGACATGAAAAGTAACGTAGCTGCATCTAAATCGTATTTGAAAATCTCCGAATTTTCTCCGTATAATCTAAAAATGGCGTATTCTAACTCGTAAATAAATTGAGTAAACGTCTGTTCAGGCAACTTGGAATAGTTTTGAGCAAGAAAATTAAAGCCGGAACTTAAAGATTTGACGTCAGTAATTAATGCGCCCCAAAATTGAGCGTTATAGTAGTTATTAATCTCTCGTAATATATTGGAATATATGATTTCATCCATACCTTCGTACATCTTCGAAGAGACAGCGATTAAATTGCAAATTGTGCCAAGACAAAAAGTTGGCAAGCCTTTGTCATAGGCGATTGTTAATACTCCAAGGGAGTGGTTAAATGTCTTGTAGAATTCTGGTTCATGGTGATGCAAAATGAACTTCGAAATTTCTACTAAAATCTGTAAATAAGCTTCTATAAGGTTTTTCTTGTATAAAACACTATTATCACGATCACTTAATCCCATAAGTACAAGCTGTTCAAACTGAGTGTAAGTATCATCAACATTTTCTGATGCTAATTGCTTAATTTCTTCGATCTGCTCAGATAAATAGTCGCAAACAAACTCCTTCGGAACTGTTTTGAGTTCATCGTTCGAATATTTCTGAACTTCTTTACGAATCCCAGAGGGAACAGAATCAAAATCAATCAATTCCATTTTCTGAAATTCGTCAATTTTTTGATTGGATTGATACTGTCCTATTTTAGTAATTTCATTATATGAGTATGAAAGAAAGAATTATTCCAAATCAAATAAGATTCGATATCTCCATAAATCAATTTCAGAATAAATAATAAATCGATTGATGATAAAATTCGAAAAAGGCGTTTCTCAATACCTCGTCGTAAAAAACCGTTCAATTTTTTTAAATAATAATTGAATTAAAAAGTTCCTATGTGAAGTAAAAATAAGATTTTTCATCAATACAATTCGTAAAGTTTTAATTCATTTGAAAGGATTTCGAAAAAGGCAAACCCAAATTTTAGCTAAAAGTGACAGGGAAAAAAAAAACGTTTAGTATTAAAAAAAAAGACCGATGAGAGCTTCGTTCGAAATATAGAGGGAACTGAGAATGCGCAACCATTCTCAGGGAATATTGGATGCTATTCCCGTTCCCTCTGTATGGAAAATTGAGGTTTTCAAAGGGAGTTAAAATAATATCAAATTTATACTAATTTACTTCAAAATACAAAAGTATTTGACAGCTAAAATTAGTTACTTTAGCAAGCCTATCAATACCCTTTTACGATTATTGTTACTTTTTCGAAATAAAAGTAAAAACAAATTTATACTAATTTACTTCAAAATACAAAAGTATTTGACAGCTAAAATTAGTTACTTTAGCAAGCCTATCAATACCCTTTTACGATTATTGTTACTTTTTCGAAATAAAAGTAAAAACAAATTTATACTAATTTACTTCAAAATACAAAAGTATTTGACAGCTAAAATTAGTTACTTTAGCAAGCCTATCAATACCCTTTTACGATTATTGCTACTTTTTCGAAATAAAATAAATTTATTATCAAAAACCTTTTTTTCTTAGTAAAAATAAAAATGTTATTTTATATCAAGTTTTTATTCATAAATTTTTATAATGTTGTATAAATTTGAAGGTGGAAATCTGTAATAATTTTATCTTGAAAAGACTTGGCATTCTCAACAATGAATTGAGGGGTATTGCATCCAAATTCTGTAATTTGCGCGAGCGAAGCGAGCGGCTTAGGTCTAAGATTTTGATTCAAATCTTTGCTTATATTCCTTAAATTCTTTATGAAACTCGCAACAGTTCCATAAAAAATTTTAAATTCTAAACTGTCGAAATTACCGATCGGTAATCACACCCTTCACGGGTGTGTCACTTTTTACAAGTGTGTCACTTTTAGCTAAAATTACCCCTACTCTTTCGAAAAATCATATTTTCCAGTCGGACAAGAATGAACTACATTGGTTTAATGCTAAATAAAAAAAAATTCAAAAAGTCTGAATTCCGAAATAGAATTTCAAATTGAAAATAATACAATTTCAACCCAGCTACTCAATATATTTATCATACTTTATTCAGATTTTTTGTACAAATCCTGATTAAGCGATGTAACCGAGGTTTTTTGAACAATGTAAAAACAACAACGGATTATTTTTCATACTCCTTTTAGAATCACATTTGGCTATAATAAGACTAATTATTTTCAAGAAAAGAAGATTGCAGTTGAATGAATATTTTTCGAATTGAGAAAATATATGATAAGCATCCAAATTTATTAAAAACCAATATTACTCAACATCAAGTAGCTCATTTTTCTATGTTAAAAAGGATTGTTTTCTATTCAAAATTACAGATCTTTCACGTTTTGTGATAAAAAATAGCGAAAAGAACAAACAATAACTATGTGAATAAATACATCGGATTAAAAATGATTTTGGTAGTTAAATAAACAAGAATACAAACAAAATTTTACAAATATAAATTAATATTCATCTCCATTTGCAATCATACGAAGCATAACATGCTCCAAGTTTTCAATGGAGATAGTAAAACCTGTTACCTTTAGCGAACCAATTTTTTCGTCTAATGTTTTCATTAGTTGAGGAATTTGGTCGCAAACAGGCAACATAATTGAATCGCCTCTTTCGAAATCAATAGCAGCATCTTCAATAACTGTTTTAGTTAGTTCAAGTAACTGATTAACAATCTCATCCATATCTTCTTCGTCATCTTCATTTGCAATGACTTTAAGACGATATCCACAATGATATTCTTCTCTTAACTCGCTTGGTGTTCCTTGGAATTTTAGTTTTCCTGCTTCCATGACGAATAATCTGCTGGCAACAGCTTCTCCTTCTTCCAATGAGTGGCTAGCAATAATAGTTGTTGTATTCTTGAAGTAAGAAGCGATGTTCCATACCAACTGCCTCTTTCTTACATCAACACCAACTGTTGGTTCGTCCAAAATAACTAAAGGTGGAGAACCAATGAAAGCCATGGCCGTGGAGACAATTCTTTTTTGACCAGCAGATAAAGTACTAGGAAGACGATCAAGGAGTGGTTCCATATCTAATAAAGAGACAATGTGGTCGACTTAGTCCTTCATTTGTTCTTTTTTGACACTTCTGAGCCTTGCAAAGAATTCTAAATGTTTCCTAACAGTCAGGTTATCAAAGAAGACGTTGTTCTGATAGCAATATCCTGTGCATTTTTGTAAATCTAAGAAAGATGCTTCATTTCCAAAAATAGAAACGGAACCGCTATCTGTAGTTAAAGCACCTGTTAATGATTGGAGTAAAGTACTCTTTCCTGAACCATTTGGCCCAATCAAAAGAATAATTTCCCCTTTTTGGATATCAAAATCGACACCATTAACAGCTTTAACAATTCTATGGGTATTATATGTTTTAACCAAATTTTTGACACTCAAAAATGGTTGAGTTTCGTCAGAAACAAAATCTTTCGATTTATGGAACAATCTTTTCCAAGCTTTTGGCGAAAACATGTTTCTAAAGCCAATGGGAGGCAATCCCCATTCCTTTGGCATGAATAATATGAAGAAAACAAACAAAAAAGTAAAAATAAAAATTTGAAGCACCAAACAACCAAATAACTGCGAATTCGAGAACAATACGTAAAGACTATCACCTGAGAATGATGACGATATGTTATTATAGATATTCAGCTGCATATTATGATAAAAATTATAAACAACAGCAGAAGGCAGAATATAACAGTTCACTTTGAGGTTATGGCCAAAAACGTAAGGTAAGAACCATCCACTGCATATAATGATGGCATAGATCAGGAAGAAAAAGCCAAATCTGCCAGGTCTATTGAAAATTGGTGTCAAAAAAACTCCTGACAAATAACTCGAGATTGCTGCGAAAATAAAGAATATAAATATCATGCCGAAACTGGATCCAGTACCTTTGACCTTGTCATGACTGAATTCTATGAGAGAATAAACCATTGCAGCTAATATTGACTAAAATAAGTCAGTAAGAGTGAATCCCAACCAAATAATCTTGTCGCCGACACCAGCAACGTTAAGTAGAATCAATGCTCGTGAGTGCATCCATCGAGTAAGTGGATAATAATGGGCAATGATTAAAAATAAGAAAATTTCCGTGAAATACCAATTACTCCACAAAAATTTGAATGATTCCAATGATTCGGCTCTGGAAAAAGTGCCAGATGCTGTAGAAAAATTGATTTGACTATAATTTGAACCAAAAACTCGTAAAATACTATTTAAATAGTCGTATTCTTTAATATTAAACTGGAAGTATGAAGTATTGATCTTGGAATAATCGCCATTTACATTAAATTTTGGTACGACAACTGAATCAAAAAGATCTAGACGAATTACGTCTGAATCAAAGAAATATCTCGAACCTTCTGCGTTTGTAAATATTTGTTTGAATAATTCTTGTGTTTTGTTTGATTTAATGCTAGTATAAATTGTTCGATTTGATGCGTTTAGATATAGCGATGAATTAAAAGAATCGAGAGTAGAATTTGCTGATTTATTTGTAGAGATAACTGATATTGAATCTTGAATGTTTGCAAAAATTAATGCGAGTGAACAGAATGAAAACCAAATAACAAAAGCTGATTTCATACGCATTCGAGTGTCAAGACCTACCCAACCAAAAAGAGATCGGAAAAAGGTAAGTTGATGTGTTGTTTCCTCTGATGATTCTTCTAAATCATCAAGTTTCATGAAATAAAATCTCCGATGGCAAATGATCGCTACTTGCGAAAGATTAAATTAAATAATTAGCTGTCTTTTTTAGAAACATGCATTTTTTCTCAATATAAATAGCTTTTTTGAAGATAAAATTAAATTGTGGAATTTCGGATCTTCGTTGTTTAATGATTATACAGGTCTTCACCATGTTCCCAGAGCAATTAATGAATATTTATATCATTATTCAGTACCAAAATGCCTAATAAATATATGATTTAGCAAATTCTCCAGCAAAAACTCAATTTCACAAAGAAAGCTCTTAAATCTGCATACTTTAATATCAGAAGTACCTTTAAAAAGTTAATTATGACTATAACAGATATATTTTCAAAAATTAAATGAAATTTATTATTATTAAAGATTTTTCCATAAAATAATCTACTTACTTTGGATATCTACTACCAAGATATCCATTTGGCAATCATATAAAGCAAATATATTGTTCAAATAAAATATGTATTATATTTTAGCCAAATAAATAAGTATCTCCCTTAGATATCAATAGACTATATGCTATATATTATACTTTCAATCAGAATAGTCAGTAGATGTTATGTTCTGACAGTTAGAAAGAATGTTTTCGGATATGTTAAAAAAGTGACGCGATTAGATGAGTTCCCTTCTCAACTCTGGTGTTGTCACCATCAAGGTCGAAAAGGCGACCCGCATGAACGCCAGTATTGGTGGCGGCGAAATTAAATTCGAGAAGTCTTATGAACTTCCTGCAAGAAAGCCGACCCAAAAATTACTCATGCCTTTCTTGACAAAAGCTCCATTCATGTGGAATCCAGAAATGGACTTCAAGAGCAATCTTATCTATGACTTACCTATTTGGCCGAAAGTAGAATCAATCCATGTCCAATTAGATCCATCAGTGACCGAATTCAAGTCAGAGAAAAGAATTCCAGAAAAGCCGATTGTACACGACAAAGAGGAAGAAGTTCAGTTCCAATCAAACTTCCCAAAGCCTCCTCTCAGTTATGCATTTCCAGAAGGACAAGAGATCGAATTACTCGATGAGCTTCCAAACACAACCAATGCTGCCGGACCAATACAGTCCAAATCTGTCCACAAAACAAGAAGAGATGGCCAAGATATCATGTCTTCTTTACCAGAAATGCCTGCGAACATTCTTGTATCAAACAAAGAGTTCGTAGAGACACGTCTTATCGTTCCCTTCCCATGCAACCTTCCAATTTTCAAAGATCAAGAATATCCAGCTCCACCTGATCAACAGATCGACGATACAACAGAGAAAGTCGATACAAGCAAGACACAGATCAAGATTGGTCCGAAACGCGTTTACTCACCCGATGAAGTTTACAAATGCAAGCCACAAAATCTTGATAAGCTTGAACGTCTCAAAACACCCGGCTTCATCATGCTCATGAACCTTTCAAGCATTACAGCCAATCGCGTACCCACTCGTCGCACAGGATTCTTCTCTGGCAAAGCATCTCTCGTTGAACACGAAGAAGACCGCTACATAACAACAGGATACAGAAAGAGAGCAGGAGATTTCAGTGACCAGTCAATAGAAGCCATGACACGTGAAGCTACGATCAAATTAAATACTCTTAATACTAAGAACTTGGCATCTGTTCTTTCCTGGTTCAAACAGAACATCGGACCACTCTTACCAATGAACACTGTTATTTTCTTGTTGTTGAACAGAGCAACAATGGAAAATACATCACCAGAAAAGAATATGCAGATACAACACTACGCGTTATTCGCACATTACCTCTGCATGAATTCCACATTCCATGACAGATTAATCACCTTCACGAACCAACGATACGAAGCTTTGATCAATTCCCCTCAAACGAAAATTACAACTATTCAATCTTTTATCGTTTGGATCGCGAATATTCTGAAGGAAACGATTATTTCACCTTTCTATTTCTACAGAGCTCTTGAAGGCGCCATTCTCAAGCAGCCACAGAAGAAAGCAGTTGATATTGTAAGAACAGGATTATCAGCTGTCGGTGATTACTTGATCAAGAAGAAATCATCAGAAGTTGCAACATTTTATAGATATGTTCAAGATAATTGTCACGTTTGTGACGGTTATGTACAATTCTTGGTCAAAGAGTTACTTGAAGAGCGGGAGAAATACACGAAACAGACACCAAAACAAGAAGAAAAAGCGAAACCAATACAAAAACAAAGGATCCAAGAAATCAAACAAAAAGTTCCAGAATACGACATTGCATCTCTTGAAGAAGAAATTGAAGGTCAATATCAACAGACAGGACCCAATGAACCATTTGATCCATCAATCAACAAATCAGCACCTCTTAAACTTGTTATTTCCACGATCTTCAAGTTCTTGAAGAACCATGTCAGAGATATCCATGAATTTGTTGAATATCTCGGAGTAATCATCACAAGATTACCATATAACAGGACAGAAATAAGAAGAGAAGTACAGATACAACATCCACAATTCCAGAAGATTGTTATTGATGAAGATAATCCTGGTTTATGGGGTTTGGCATTCACTTTTTACGGTGAATTGTTGAATTGCAATTTGTTCTCTTTCGTCGAAATTATTGAGTTCATTAAACTCATTCCTAAAGAAGGTCCACAACCAAAACTCGAGATCATCATGGGAAGATTCCTTTCGCACGCAATTGTCGAAGAAAATGATATCATCGAAGCTGCACAAAAGACAGATTTGATGAAGGATGAACAAACATTGGCTTGGGCTATAACTGCTGTAAGATTCACTTCTGGTGAACCTGCTGCTAAACGTGCAAAGGATTTGGAAAAGGATGCAAAGCCAAATGTCGTTGATGTCGGTTTCTTCTGCCGCAGACTTATCTTCGATATGTTTGGAACTGAAGACGCTCAAATGCACTACAAGGAAATCCTCAAGAAATCAGAGAAAATCTTCCAAACAAGCGTAAGATTATATCCGGAATTCTGCCAGATGGTTTTGTCTTACTCAGCAGATCAACTCGAGGCTGAAGACGTCATCGTTTTGGAGTTCTTTGACTACGTCAAGGCTTTATTGAATACTGAAATGTAAACAATTAATAAAATACCAAAAAAATTCATTGTATGTAATTTTTTTTCTCACATCATATTGTTCTTACTACTTTGATTTTGAATATTGGTTAACTCCATATTTTCAACGAAAGTAAATGCATGGGGTGACACCACACTTCTCCGAATACCCGAAATATTCAAATTTTAGGTACTTCTATACCCCATATAAAAAGATTTATTTGAGTATTTATATGGACTCAAACACTTCATATGAGATATTAAATGAAGATGAAGAACATCTTTATGTTGTATATTAATTCCTTTCTAAATATGATATAAACAATTATGGATTTAAATATAATGCCCCTCCCATCCACCTCCCGAAAAAAAAAATCATTTGCTAGTTTAATTAATTCATTATAAAAATGATATTAGAGATATTGAAAAAAGTGTTCCACCAAGCGCTAACACTTTATCTTTCTGGAATTTATAGTCAATCGAAAATTATTTTCGAATTAGTGAGAAATTTCAATAAACAGCTGTTCTATAGGATGGTATTTTCCAATAAAAATAAGTTTATTTCGATCTTGACGTTGGGTATTATTTTGAAAGCTAATAAATTCAAATATTATCGTTTTATAGATTGTATTTTAAACGCTGAACTCAATTGTCTTTGCCAAAAATTAAATTGTTAAAAAAATCATTTTGAATTTTGAAGATATTGAAATTGTTACTTTCACTACTTTTCAGAGAAAGTATTGTAATTATTTAGCCAGAAAATATAGTGAATACAATATTGGGTATTTAATTTTAATTTTATAAATTTTATATTCAATTCAAATTAAATTGAATTTTTTCTGAATGTTTGAAAGTAAATATTTACATCATCGTACATATATATGATCATCTTAAGTCACTCTGTTTTAACTTAAAAACACTTTACTATTGTAATTAAATCTAATTTCCAAAATTTTTGCATCAGGTCAAATTTTTTAATCTGAATTAATTTCATATTCAATTCAACTTAACTTTTCAACGTGTTTTTTTCAATTTGAAAAACAGAGTGATTTAATTGGACACATTGATTGAAATCAATCATAGACCAAACACCTATATAAAATCTACAGTTTTATAAAAATTCTTTGAATTTCGATTTGAATACTTTTGATAGTGATCAATTAAAAATGATAATGTTCTCTCTCCTAATTGGATTTACAATATCCCACAAGCCCATTAATGTTACAACAAGAAACTATACAACAATAGACAATTTTAATGATCTATTTAAAGCAATGAGAGACCACTTTGATTCCAAAAACCTAACACAAGATGAATTTATTAAAGTCACAAATTCATCCGCTGCTAACTCAAGTGCTGATTATCGTTTACCAGTTGATTGCATAGCAAGAGATCCAATAGAATTTTATCCAGAAAGATTTGTTACCGCCCCAACTAATTCTCCAAATGATGAACATCATTTCACCATTGATTTTCTAACTTCCAAAGTTCATTTGCGCAATTACACACTTCTATATATCACTCAAATGAGATACATGGTTCAGTACGAAGTTTTAGGCGAATTAATGGAAAACCAATGGGAAAGAATAGATTATCGTGCTGTAGATTCTAGAAGTATGGTCAAAAGATTTTTGGTTAGTGGAAAAACTTATTACGCTTATTCTTTTCCTACTACTGCTAACAAAAACTATTCAAGATTTAGGTTCAGAAACATAGGAGTAAATCAGGGATTAGGTGTTAACCAGCAAAACGGCTTTTACACAGCCACTACAGCAAAATTACTTCTATATGGTACTCTTTATCCAGGAAGAATTGCTCATTCTCCAATTAAACTGAAACGGAAAGAACAAATGTTATTTAACTTTGCAATGTTTTCTAGTTTATAAATTGTTCCTAATTATTAAAAATGTATGTTGCTTTTAAATATTAAATCATGCAAGATGGTTCTATTTTTGATAGACTTCCTATATAATCATTCAAATTATGTGTTGAAAGTACATTATTGTAATTCAGTAAATATTGACTGATATGATATTAACATCAATTCAAATGAAGTATTAGTACAATATTTTAATACAGTTTCCTTGTTATTAAATGGAAATTAATCATTTTTAAACAAGATCTCTTAAAGTTTTCAACTTCAGGCTTCATTAAAGTATAGGAAGCTGAAGAAGATATACCTATTAACTCTAAATTGCATACCGATAATTCCGTTTATAGAATATTTAAGTTTATAAAAAGAAACCTGCAAATTTAAATAGACCCAAAGAGTTCGTCAAAATATTGCTACAAATATCTTCAAAAACTAATAAAAAGCAACAAGCCTTTCTATCAAAGGTATTTTTAACAAATTCTAGCATCATTAAAGGTGACCAAACTATTTTTTGAAAGTCCGCCATAACTTTAATGGTACTATTTCAGCGTGTACAATGAATACAAAAATTCTAAGAGTGCCACATAAAATAGTACTTTAGACTTGAGTTAATGCTACCAAGCAAATGTTAAAAAGATGACTTTAGTGTTTTGATAATCAAAGATTAAAATCATTATTGTCTAAATCAATAATCATAACGACAGAAGTTAATGTTTTTTCATAAGTGCTTTAAATCCACTTTTAAAAGTATACCTCAAAAATCAAAATATCAAAAAAAAAATTGGCCGATAGGTTTGGCTTTAATTTTTGTCTGCTTTTATGATTTGATATGGATGTTATAATTTTAAAAGTTGAGCCAAATTCACCAATAGATTTTTGAGATTTGCAAATACTCAATAATTTTCAGCGTGTTATCTTTTATTAAAAGAACTATTTGGTTTCAGTATCATATAAATTGATATTTCCTTTCTATTTGAACCTTCATTTAGCTAATGATTTAGTAATACAGATTTCATCTAATCCTTATAAGAGAATTTTGAATTTGTTATAATAAAAAAACAAACAGATATAGCTTACACTTCTATAATAAAGATACCTTTTATAGAAATCAGTATGAAATGTGTTTTTTGACACGTAAAGCTCTCAATTCATTATAACATGTTTGTCGATTTTTATATATTTTTCGCTTTCATTATCTATGATATTAAAAATTATGTCATCAGAATGTGAAATAATTAAACAAATGCCCTACGGGAAGTATTTTAAAAATTGATTGTAATTATAGTTAGATTAACCATCATCACTTGCAAACTGAACTAATTTACTACTTCTCCAATTAACACTCATGAACAATGTTTTTTTAAAAAAAATATAATTTTTTATTCTAAATTTTACATTAACATGTCATTTTTTATGATCTCATAAAACATATCCATATATTATAGTTACAGTAATATTAAAATTTCAAATTTTGAATTAATTTGGTTATATTATGACCATTAAGCCAAGATCCCAACTTCTCTATGCTATCTATGAATTTCAACTCTATATGTAACTAACACGTTATAAGTTTTGTTTATAAATATAAGGTGCATTTCAGTAAATTACTCTTTTATAATAGTTCTTTTATTACAGCTATAAAATCTATACTAAATCTATATGTTTTTATACTAAATTTATTAATTGTAATACTAATTTTAATTGTTGCTGATCATATGCTAAATTTTATATGAAATTCTTAATTAGAAACTTGAGTTGAATATATATTATATGAAACAATCGGTGTTTAAAACAAAATACAGCTTGATTTATATAGTAATTTATGCTTTACATGTATTTTATATAAATTTTTATTGAATTCAAATATTCAATAGTTTTTTATGCTAGATTAGTTGTATTTATTTAAATATATTATATTGGCAACCTTTCTTTACCCTGTCCTAATAAACGCATTTTGTAAAAAAATATAGTGCATCAGTTTCGAACTAGCGTCCCCGGTACCAAATAGTAAGGGGTAATAACCATTCGACCATTTGCCACGTAAAGCATCGCCAGATTTTTTTGTATTTAATCACTCCCAAAACACTGTTTTGGCTTATTGGAAGCATATCAGACATAATCGCCATAATCAAAAAATCTATATACCCAATAAGTAATAAATTTGTCGATATAGATTTTCCATAAAATTAGTTTTTAGTCTGATCTTAAAATAAATTTAATTTTTTATAAAAAAAATCACATTTAAAAGTACCTTTTAATAGCTCGAAATCCTGTTGGTGGATTTCGGGCGTACTTCAAAATTAGCTTTTCTTCTACATATGCAAGCTATATTTTAAATATGGAGCACATCGGATCGGCGAAAGGAGTTTAGTTACCTTTGCATCATTTGAACAGATCAATTTGTATACAACTTTTTTTTATATCATTATTGAGAATGATGAAAAGAGGAATGCTACTCTTGAATTGGAATTCCTTTTTAGGTTGATATTATAGATGCCCAATTCAAGATACAAATTCAACATACAATGCTCCATAATATTTCTAGCAATATACAGATCAACTCTTTGATACAAGCATTTTAAAAATATTTATATGATTAAAAGATTGCTTTTATTACCGATAACTTAGAGAATATTCTTACCAAAACAATTCAATTCACAATGTGTAGTTTTTATTCCAATATAAATAAGATTCAAATGACCGCAAATTTTTCCTTAATATTTTCTAATATTTTTTGATTATTGAGGAGTCATTATCATTTAATATTCATATTTACACAAAATATGACTTCTGGAAAAATAATAAGCAATTGAAAGCGAAATAATCGGCATTTCCCGCTCTCGTTTTCTTTCCTTTTGATGAATCAAAATGGACAGAGCAATGACATGAACGGGATGATGCCTAATCAACAACAGATGCAGTATCCATATAATTACCAGTATCAAATGTATAGGCAGCCTCAAATGTACCAACAATATTATTACCAAATGAACCCGCAATTTCAACAACAGCAGTACATGCAGCAACAGCAACAAATAAAACCTCAAATTCCACAGCAAACAAATAAAATATCCACGCCAGAACAGCAGATTATGTCACAAATTCAACAAATGCAACCTCAAATGCAACAAATGCAGCAGCAACAATATATGCCACAACAAAATCAAATGCAACGACAATACCCTCAAATGCAAATGCATAATCAAATGCATAACCAAATGCAAAATCAGATGCAGAATCAAATGCAGAACAACCAAAATTACCAAAACAGACAACAAATGATGTCCCAAAATGCTTTGACAATGCAACAAATCGCAGCTTTTCAGCAATACCAGCAAAGAATGAGCCAAATGATGAATACGCAGAAAATGACCACACCACCTCAACCAAACATGCCTCCTATGCCGCAAATCAAATCACCGTTAGCTACTCCTCAAATAAAACAGCCTATGATACCAAAACAAGTTGCATCACCTTTACCACCACAAAAACAGCCCAAAAAGCAGAAACAGAAGAAAGAAAAGAAGAAAAAGAAAGGAAAGAACAGGGATGATAGCGATAGCGATGCCGCATTCAATACAAATGGCGGAATTGACGACATTCCAGAAGAATTCATCATAAAACGTACGAGTGGTCGCAAAACCAGCCAAATCAGTTATGCGGAAGATGACGAGGATTTCATAGAAGAAGAGGATATCAAGGAAACTAATGAAGATCCCCATAAATTAGATCATATTTATTTCCAAAGAGAAACTCCAAACGGTATAGAACTATTAGTCAGATTCGCTGACTCCCAACAAGCACTATGCGAATGGGTTTTGGAGTCAACAGTCGCGTCAATGGCAAAAGCTCAAACTCATTACACAAAATTCAAAGCCGCGCCCGTAGATATTTCGGTATTGAATACAAGAGACGATAGCCAACCACCGTATCCTGTTGCACATAGAAGAGAAAATCCTGGAGCTCCTTATCAATTATTATTCAGATTTACATACGAAGCGAACGTTTTATTCTACTGGGATTTCATTACACAAGAGGTACTGACCAAATATACACAAGGATTGATTTGTGTCTCGTTAGTTCAAGTTTCAATTCCACCAAATTTGCCACCTCCTTTATCTTACGTCAAAACGCCTGACAACATACTTAGACATTATCAGGTTGATGGTATAAAGTGGCTGATTAACTGCTGGGCTCAAAAACATGGCTCAATTCTTGCAGATGAAATGGGTCTCGGAAAAACTATCCAAATCCTCGGTTTCTTGAGTTATTTGGCTAGTATAAAATGGTACGGACCATTTCTCATCACTGTAAGAACGAACTGCTTCAAGCAATGGTGCGATGAAATCGAAAAGTGGACAAATCTGAAGTACGTTGCATACAACGGAGGTCCAGCGAGCAGAAGGATGATGAGGGACTTCCAGATGCCGTATTTAGATGGAGAAGGAAATCCTTCGTCCAAACAAATCAATTTTAATATTTTATTAGTTTCATACGATGTTTTATTGAAAGATGCAGAATTTCTACAGTATCTTTGGCAGGTAATTGTCGTAGATGAAGGCCATAGAATCAAGAATTCCCAAGGAAAAAAGAATAATGCTTTAGCATCCTTACCCTACAAGCACAGAATCATTCTTACAGGTACTCCCATTCAGAACTCCCTTTCCGAGCTTTGGGCTTTACTCAAATTCGTTTCCCCGAACAGTTTCAAGGATGATCCAGCATTTTTAGAAACTGACATCGAACAACTTCCTGAGGAAAGGATCAGGGAAATGCAGGAAATGATCAAGCCTCATTTAATGAGAAGATCCCTCGGAGAAGTTGAGCGTTCCATAGCTCCAAAAGAAGAAAGAGTCGCATTAGTCAGATTATCAGAGATCCAAGAAGAATTAATGAGACTTACAAAGCTCCATTCTATCTGGCGCCTCAAAGGTATTAAAGTTAACGAGGAAACGGTCGATACAGCCCATGAAGCAAATGATATGCATAAAATTTGTCTTCATCCCTTCTTAATCGACGGAGCTGAAGAATTCTACACCCAGAAATTCCGAAACATGTCACGATTAGAGCTTCTTTTGTCTGTTTCGGCCAAATTTGCATGGCTCGACCGAATTCTTACAAAACTCAAAGAGGAAGGACACAGAGTCTTGATATTCAGCCAATTTATCAAACTCTTAAGACTCCTCAAAGAGTATTGCACCATTAAAGGCTATTCCCACGAATTATTAACTGGTCAGATGGGCGATGTCGAGAAAAACGCCGCTGTTTCACGTTTTGCAGATAAAGACACTTCATCCTTCGTATTCCTGATCTCAACAAGAGCTGGTTCTGAAGGATTAAACCTTACAATTGCAGATACAGCGATTATCTTCGATCCAGACTGGAATCCACAGAACGATCTTCAAGCACAAGCCAGAGTACATAGAATTGGCCAGACACAGAAGGTAGATATCATTAGATTAATCACATATAAAACTTATGAACACGAAATGTTCGTAAGAGCACAAAGAAAACTCGAATTATGGGAGAGAATATTGGAGGGAACTTCCAGTGTTGATAACTCCGAGTTTTTGCCTCCATTACAAAAACCTCCGATTGTAGAGTTCGGAGTTCAAAGTAACTGCACGTTTGCGGAAGAATTAGAGAAAGTATCGACTGTAGTAAACAATTTCAGTCCAAGCAACTTGAAACAGTTACAAGCTCCTCTTGATATTAAAGAAGAAGAGGAATACAAGACATCTGATGCAGACTTCTTAAACCAGTTCCCTGTAGAAGAATTGGATGAAAGAAGGACTAAAAGATCGAGATCAATGTCTTTTGCTGTAAATGCTTCAGAAGCTTTGGAATATTTCAACAGAATGAAGTATACGGAATACGGACATTGGGTATCTTTGAATGACAGACCACCTGAAGACGTAGTTAAGTTCTGTTTGGCTGCAATCGTAATTGCTTTGAGAATGATGGGTCCAAATTCGATATCAATGTTTCCATTATTGCTATATTACTTAGAAGAAGATATATTAGACTTCTCATTAGATTTGGTTTGTTGTGGCTCGAAACACCAAGTATTTAACGCATTTCCACCTGAACATGAATTATCAAGTGAATGCGAGACATGCAAATACATCAAAGACGAGCTCAGCGATCACGGATACGAAACACTCATGTCAATCGAGTACAGATTAGTAATTTCGAATTGGCTCAATTTTCACTCAAAAAGTGACATTTTACAAACCGAACCTGGTCAGAAAAAAGTTGATGAAAGTCTTCTTCAAAAACTCTTCGAAGGCGAATCATTTGACGTATATGATACTCAAATTGAGTTCGCAATAAAGAAAATGAGAAGTGATCTCATTATTTCCGGCTTCAACAAGTGTTTGCAGTTTAGCTGGTGGACGGAGAACGAGTTCAGAGCGTTATGCGGAACATTAAGGAACTTTTCCTTCAGTCCTGAAACTGCATTCGAATTTCACTCCCATACCGGTCTTCTTTCCAAGACAACAACATCCATTGCTTGTTTCGCTGTTCAATTAATGAGATTGTTGAAGAATCATCATGGAAAACAGAGTATTACGATTCCATCAACGATTTCCCATGCAGATGATGCTCCAGAATCTGTTTATTCGAACAAACCTTCATGGGTATGGTGCTCTATCTCTGCTACTGATGCAATCGAACTCAATGATTTCGTTGAATTGTGTTCCAACATCAGGGATTACGTTTTCAAGGAAGGTGTTGGTGAAAGCAATCTCAGCAACTACCAATGGTCAACAGATCATACGAGATTGTTCTTGGAAAGGCTACTTGTTTGCGGATTTGACAATTGGGAGCTAATTCTACAGGATGAGAGGTTACCGTTTGTACATGTAATGAATAACAACCCTGATACTGTACCAGATTATATCAAAAATCAAGTTTTGCTTAATAGATTTTTGATATCAAACACAGTATCTGAAAGAAATGCTGGTGAATTAGTGTTCAACATGCCATTGGTCAGTAAACTCAAATTGAGATACGGAAAAGAAGTTAAAAAGAGCGAATCAAAGCCAAAGAAATTAAGAAGGAAGAAATTCTCTGATGATGATGACGAAGATCAGGACTCTCTTGATGACTTCTTAGAATAATTGCTTATTGTTTATATATTTATATTAGGTTTTATTTTATAATTTTTCTTGTTTTATAGAGTATATATTAAAAAGAATATTTATTTCTTAGAGGTATTATTATTATTTAAACTATTAACAAAATGCTAATTGCAAAGCTCAATTTAGATTTTGCCAAAATTAATTATTTTTGCTTCCATTTAATTTCCAGCACGAATTTCTTCCCAAAGATTCACATTATGCATTCCTGCATATATATGAGATTTTCATGAGTTACGACCGATATTTATATCGAACTCAAAAAGTATCACTGAATTGGATTTTCTATTTAAATGAGTCTTCTACAATAAATTTTATTTTAAATGATGTGATTATTTCATTCAAATTCGTTTCAGTAAATATTTACACTTTTTCAATTGTTATCTCAAATTTTGAGAACTGTTCAAAATAACGTTGCTGGAACTTTTTTTGCTGGAAAATTACCATTATTCAAAAGTAACTTTAAATCGGTATTCAAAAATCGCTCAATATTGAAACTTTTGTTAATATCTTTCAATGGAAATAATTACTAAATAACTTGATAGCTCAATTGCATTTAGAATAATCGAGCAACTTCGGATTGAATAGTGATATTTGAACAAATAAATAGTTGTTTTAAACAATATTTAAGATTAAATTTTTGTTGTGATTATATTCTTGAAATATTTCAATTAAGAATGCATTTAATTTTTCAATTGTTTATTGTTTCATTCAAAAAATAATCAAAAATGTTGTCGCTATTTATAGGCAATATCTTGCCATACGCACCTATTAGTGTTACGACAAGAAACTATACAACTATAGACAATTTTGATGATCTATTTAAAGCAATGAGAGACCACTTTGGTACCAACAACTTAACCAAAAAAGATTTTATTCGAGTTACAAATTCATCCGCAGCTAAATCAGGCGAAAGTAGTCGTTTACCAGTTGATTGCATTGCAAGAGATCCTATAACATTTTATAATGAAAGATTTGTAACTTCCCCAACTAATGAACCAGAAACTGAACATTATTTTACGATTGATTTTTTGACATCCAAAGTTCATTTAATTAACTACACACTTTTATATATCACCAAAATGAGATTTATGGTCCATTATGAGGTTTTAGGTGAAGTAATGGAAAATCATTGGGAACAAATAGACTATCGAGCAGTAACGAGACAGGAAGTAAAACCTTTTACCGTTAAAGGAAAACAATATTATGCCTATTCTTTTCCAACAACAGCTAGCAAAAACTATTCAAGATTCAGGTTCAAAAATCTAGGATTGAATGAAGGAGAAGGTGTAAGTACAAAAAATGGAAATTACACTGCAACTACAGCAAAGCTTCTCCTCTATGGTACTCTTTATCCTGGAAAAATTAAGTATTCCCCAATAAAATTGAAGAGGAAAGAACAAATGATGTTTAACTTTGCCATGTTCTCAAGTTTGTAAAATGTTATTTAAAAATTTTATTTCTTTAATATTCTAAAATAGCCAAGTGCTGTAATAAAATTCGCCATTATTGATCCAAACTTCAATAGTTTTTACATCTTCTAAAATTTTGATGTTTTCGATCTTTCCTTCATGAATAACACTTGGTTTTCCATTTATAATTAATTTATTTTCCTGAATCTCAACAAACTTACTTTCAGATTTAAGTTCGTGCGATATTTCGTCTATCGGATTTACAACAATCTTTCCTTCTTTATATTTGAGCTCGCACGGAATAGTAAATGCTCCTGCGTAGTCAACTTCTTTGGGAGGTACTCTCTTCCAGTTGTAAAGCCATCCAATAATAATCCTTCTTCCTTTATCGTCATGGAATGTCTGAGGAGCGTAAAAATCTGGACCAATAATCGGTTGATTGAGCTTTTTGTCAACAGTAAATGTGCCATTTTCATATTTAAGATGGAAAAACAGAGTTCCAATACCTTGACCTGTCATTTGAGAGAACATGAGGAAAAATTGATTATCAATTTGGATGAGATCAGGACATTCACAGCATTGGCCATATTCTTTTCCTTCAACTAATAGATTAAGGAATGTCCAATTCTCTAAATTTGAGCTTTTATACAACAAAACTCTTCCAATTCCATCTTTTCCTGTTCCAACAACCATATAGAAAGTATTTTCGATTTTTACAACCTTAGGATCTCTAAAATCATTAATGCCGTATTCAATTGGTGGAGATTTGATTATTGGATTTTTAGGATCCTTAATAAACCTATTTTCATCTTGCATGACTGCATGACATTGAGATTGTCCATTAGACTTTCCTACTCCAGTATAAAAAATATGAAGCTTATCATTGAATTCAATTGCACTTCCTGAAAAACATCCGCCATTATTTTCATATTCTTGATCAGGATATAGTGCTATAGGCTTGTGCTCCCAATGGATGAGATCTTTACTTGTTGCGTGGCCCCAATGCATTGGTCCCCATTTAGTATCAAATGGATAATGCTGGAAGAATGCATGATATTCTCCTTTAAATTGTATCAATCCATTGGGATCGTTCATCCATCCTTTTAGAGGCTCAAAATGGAATTTTAGTCGTGAGGAAAAATTCATGAAATAAAAAATGATCGGAATTAACAAACGCCTGTAATGAGGAGGAAATTCAATTCTGAGATTAGTTGCGCCCGTAACCCATAGGGCTATTGTAAATAAGAGTTCATGCTCTTACTGACTTGTAATAGTTAAGAAAAAGCAAAAATCAATTCTTACGTGGTTTTAGATAGCACAAATGTATATAATTCATATCAAATTTCATTCTCGAATAAATGAATTAAAGCATTTGGACGAGAGATGTACATACGGAATCAGTAAAAGTCAATGCTTATTGTTATTTATTGGGCGAATATGGAAAATGCTTATCATTTGGAATTATTTTTTTAATTATTTTAACTTTTTAATGTTTATCTGGAATATTAGAGTAACATACCAAAATATTAAGGGTGCACACGAGAGGATCATGTAAACTTCAGAATTTAGAACCTTATTTTTAGGTATTATCTTGGCTACCTATTTAGGCTCGAAAAGCAAAAAATATCAAAAAATACAACTTGACTCCATTATGACCCTTTCATGGAGGTAGTTTTTATCCGCTAGTATTTTCCCTTTGAATCTCTTTACAATTCGAAATCAAATTCAAATCTCAGTAGAAGAAAGGAAGAATCGACTTACTACGGTTGTAATACGAATAAATACATATATTTAATTATTTTTATTTACATAATAATTGTTTGAAGCTCATATTCCATCAAATTTTTAAATAAAAACATTAAAATGTTGAAAATGTTCATATATTTTAATAGGGTTTTGGCACTTTATTGAGGAATTACTACATACATAGTCGAACTGAACTTGATGTTTTGAAATTTAAATTAAAGTACTCACAAAATCTAGATTGAAAGGCGGTCAATGACTTTTGAGGGGAAATTAACGCATGGAATTTAATATTATTTAGGTTGATATTCTTGCTTATTATTTCAGAAAAAAATCTTAAAAATTTCAATATGAAAATTGAAAGCAATTCAAAAAATTGCTAACATGTAAATTTTAATATCCTATGCATAATTTCATATTTTGAACATTTTTTATTTTTGTTTAAAACTTAAAATTTTGCGAATTTAATATAATTTATAAAATATAATACGTATATATATTTAAAATACACTAAATTTAATTGTTAATTGATGTTTTTGGGAATGAATTTTATCAAAACATACCTGAATCCGAAAATTTGAAAGAACGAATTACACAATCATATATGTAGAATTCAAAATACAAACTTAAAGATTTTATACGTTTAAAATTATTCAGATTGTGTTTGATTTCCACTCATTCTGTTTCTTTTGAACTCTAACACTAACATTTCATGATGAGTACATGATCCATTTATACATGGTTGAATTGTTCCAGATTCTACCAGAAAATCAATCCAAATTTCTCAATGCATTCATGTTGATTGGACAAAATTTAAAATTTATCAGCCTGTTTCCAGAGAAATTCATATATTCCCTAATGAAATGTACTTTTTGCTACATTTATTTCAATCAAATTTCAAAAAATTGACTGCAGAGCTTGAAAAGGTGATGAATCATGTTGTTATTAGATGTACATATTAGATTTACTATTTCCAAAAAAATGCTCAAATTTGAATACTTTTTAGAAAATTTGGAATTACACTCCTTACATTATATCTAATTAAATGTTTAAATTTTATTTATTTTTCCCTTTTAATTTTATAACGTGCTCTATCAAAACTAACCTCTCAATTGAAGGCCACAAAATCTAAGTAGTGAGGGTACACAAATTTTGTATGGAGTACGGTTCAATTTTTGAGAGCTTCACAACTTAGATTTTGTGACTACCTTATTTATCAAAATTAAAATTTAACTTGAAATTTATAATTATTTAGTCATATTTTGCATATTTCTAAGTAGATTTTGTAAAAAATCAAGAAAGAAAAATTTTAACGTGCTTTATTGTTTTCTTTTTTATAATAATACATATTATTATATAATTAATCGCAAGTGTAATAAATTGAATTCATTCAAAAATTGAAGCCTAATTGAAAAATTCAAAAAAAAAGAATAAATTATTCACAAAATAAAAATGCCTGTTCGCAATTATTAATTTAAACAGCGTCAATTGATTAAATATGTAGCAATTCTAAATAAATTTTGCATGCTTGATCGGCTAAGGTTTGCATTTGATGAATACAGTTTAATTATATACCAATAAATCCTTCTTTTATATTTGCAAAATATTCAAAATTTGAGTACCTTTCAAATTCAATCTTTTTTTTATTTTATTTTTTTATTTTTTATATCTTTAGTCACATTTAGATTTTGCTAATTCTACAAAAATTAATTAAATAACTTCAATAAACCACTGATTCAAACTGAATTTCAAAACACATACATTGATCTAACTTGAATAATACACTTTTTTTTGTCAAGTCATTTGAATTATTTTCAAAATTTATAAGAAATAAAAACTACATGAATTTATTTTATCATTTTAAAATAACCTTTAAAATTTTTGAAGTAAAACCTTAACAAAAAAATTCTTAATGATCTTGATTCTTATTGTTCTCAGTAGCTTTTTTGCAAATGATTACAATAGAATTCCTCAAAAGCAATTAAATGAGCAAGTTGTGCAAGAACTACTTGCAGAACTTGAAAACTTATCTAATTCAACTTCATCTGAAGAAACAACAACTTCATCCTCATCTTCATCTGAAGAAACAACATCATCATCTTCTACTTCATCTGAAGAAACAACAACTTCATCCTCATCCTCATCCGAAGAAACAACATTATCATCTTCATCAATAGAAACAACATCATCCGAAGAAACAACAACCTCATCCTCATCTGAAGAAACGACATCTTCATCCTCATCTGAAGAAACAACAACCTCATCTTCATCATCTTCAGAAGAAACAACATCCTCATCTTCAGAAGAAACAACATCCTCATCATCTTCAGAAGAAACAACATCATCATCTTCTTCATCTGAAGAAACAACATCTTCATCCTCATCTGAAGAAACAACATCCTCATCATCATCATCTTCAGAAGAAACAACATCATCATCTTCAGAAGAAACAACATCCTCATCATCTTCAGAAGAAACAACGTCATCATCAACTTCTTCAGAAGAAACAACATCCTCATCATCATCTTCTTCTGAAGAAACAACATCTTCGTCATCATCATCTGAAGAAACAACATCATCTTCCTTATCATCATATTCAGAAGAAACAACATCTTCTTCTTCATATTCAGAAGAAACAACAGCATCATCATCCACCAATTCTGAAGAAACAATACCATCTTCTACTTCATCAGAAGTTGAACCAATTGTACCCACATCTACAACAGTTGTAATCCCATCACCATCTTCAACGCCAAACAATAACTCTAATAATCAAGATCAAAGAAATGCTAAGGGCAGTAGCTCAACAATTATAATTATTGTTGTTGTCGTTGTTGTTATTATTATAATTATCATTGTTGTGGTAATTTTTGTTAGTAAGAAGAAAAAGGAAGCCACAGCTGCTGAGTCATCGGAAGGTGGATCAGCTTCATTCTATGAAATGGGCAATGAAACACCAATTGATATCGTTACTGAGGATAATAAAACGCAGACATCCCTATGGTGGCAGGCAAGCTTGGAATCAGGTAATGATGGCCATATCGAAGTGTTTGAAGATGTACCGGATGAAGAACCATCAGATAAAAATAACCAAGGTAATGCCGAAAACAATGATATTTGGCTTTAATTCATGTTATTTTCATTTTTATTATATTTTATGCGTTATATACATTAAAAAATCTTTTTAGGACTATATTTACATGTTAATTGTATTTAGTACAAACATTTTATGTCTATTTTCATGATAATTTATATCGAATTTTTATTATTAAGTGTATGTACAAAACTGTATTATCTATTTACCTTTTTTAGCATTTTCCCTTCTCATATCAAGGTCATGAAGCAAGTTTTCGACAAGATTTACAATATCATTATTTGGCTGCTCGTCATACTCTTCTGGATCGTTCAAATCAGCAAACCATGGGTGCTGAAGTATTTCATCTGCCGTTGGTCTCTCTTCTGGATCAACATTTAACATATTTCCTAATAAATTCTGTAGTTGATCGCTAATTCCATCGGGTAATGATATATCTCCTTCTGCTATCTGCTTTGCAGTTTCTTTCATGAGAATATCTGGTGGTAAATCATCTGGAACAATCCACGGAAAATGAGCTGCAATCATTGCATAAAGAACAATACCAGCAGACCATATATCTGCTTTCATTCCATTGTATGGTTCTTCTCGAATGATTTCTGGTGCAGCATAAACTAGTGTACCGCATTTATTTCTTAGGTGGTATTAGATAGCACAAATGAATATCATTTTTTGATGCTTATATATATTATTTTCATTAAAATATGAACCGCCTATGTCATGGTTAAAGAATTATCCATTTATCAGACAAAATATTAAATTAATTCCATACATTTATTATTTTTGACATTTTACAAATCATTTTTGACGCTTTACAAGTCAAAAAAATCAAATTTCTCGAAATCCTGCATTAGATTCATCTGGTTAATTATTTCTCCTCTTAGGCACCTCTTCCTTCCATATGAATCTCAGGCAAATCGTATGAAATTTTAAAATTGTGGGAGGGTGTCTATAGCTTTCTGACTTGTAATAGTTAAGAAAAAACAAAAACAAATTCTTACAAGGTTTTGAATAGCATAAATATCTATCATTCAGATCAAATTTCATTTGGACTAGAGATATACATGCCAAATCCGTAAAAATCAATGTTTATTGTTATTTATTGGGCGAATATGAAAATGCATCTCATTTGGAAAGATTTTTTAAAATTATTTTAACTTTTTAATGTTTTGTCTGGAATATGAGAGTAATATATAAAAATATTAATGAAATATATGAAATTAAGAGACTTTTAAATCTGAAATTTCAGATTTCTTTTCTTTTTCGGTTTTTTGATAAATATTGTAACCCAATAGTCCATGAATAGGATTGGTTTAGGAATTTCAGATCAATTAGAATTTTTAAAGGGAAATTGCCCAATTGAATTAAATGAATATAATTTTTAATTTATATAGGTAAACATATGAAAATTTAAGTATTCGCAAGTGTAAAAAAGTTTTAGTGGTTAATAAATTGAATTCATTCAAAAATTGAAGCAAAATTGAAAAATTCAAAAAAAGAATAAATTATTCACAAAATAAAAATGCCTGTTCGCAATTATTAATTTAAACAGCGTCAATTGATTAAATATGTAGCAATTCTAAATAAATTTTGCATGTTTGGTCGGCTGAGGTTTGAATTTGATGGATGTGGTTTGATTGTATTCTAATGGATTCTTCTTTTACATTTGTAAAATACCCTCAATTTTTTTCTTTTGCAACTCAATATGGAGAATTTTTTTGAAATCCAATAGAGACCAATACGGGTCATTATTGATTTTGTAATTTAATCGTCGTCGTTATCGATTTTGTAATTTAATCGTTATCGTCTTTTTCTAAACGTGCATTTTTTGCTTTCGGAGCTATTGAACATACATTGGCCCTTACCAGCAATTGAAAACTATTTTTCATTATCAACAATTACATTACTCCGAGTTATTCATCAATCAATGAAAATCGATATATAGTCCATACTTCGATTTACAATATTGGCAAGTCCAATTTCACTTGGCATATTTAACTCATATAGAAAAACCAGTTGGAATCGGCAAAATTATCTTTAATTCCATACATAAGAAAAAAAAATTATAAAGTTCTTCAATAATAGCAAACTAATAGTTTAAATAGATTTACAAGTATCGCCCATCTACTTTTGATATAATTCACATATTAAATGTAGAAAACTGGTTTAAAATAAATATTTCAAAAGTTCGAAAACGATTTATGAAAAAATAATGTGATGACATTTACTAAATTTGCTCTGTATTAAAGTATCGATGATAGAAAGAGCATATTTTGTAAATATTTCAAAAATATTTAAGGACTTCGACTTTAGCATCACATAAATATGTTATTTTCTATATTAAAACGTAATTTTGGTGGTCTTAGAATAGAAAAATATGCAATATTCGTGGAGATAATGAGGGTTCTTAAACATGTTCTTAAAAATAAATAAAATAATACAAATCTTTATTCAATCTTTTGATATTGTTGGTCCTCTCTTTGTGAAAATACTTAACTTCAAAGAGTATTATGTTTTACCTAGTGAGACCTTAAGTTTGCAAAAACATAATAAAAGTAAAATAAAAAAGATCGGATTTATCACAAAACTTTGAGTATTATAGGATTTAATATATTTTCTTAGTAGATTATATGATTTAGTTTCTTAAAATCTAAAGTATTTCTTGAGGAAAATATAAATTGAAATTCAAAAAGTAAAAAAAATGTAAACAAATCAAATTTTAAATGGACCAAATGTTGATTTTTCATTCGTTTTCTCATTATCGAAAAAAATTTGGAAAGCTAAGAAGTCAATAACAAGTTATATAATACAACAAAACCCACATCGGATATGTTTTCATCAAATAGTCTCCTAGATTTGTTATGAAATTAAAATATCATGATATTTTAAGGGCTTTTGATTTCAATATTAGAATTATTCAGTTATGTCGTGCTAATATCAATTGCTTTATACAATTAATCGTTTACAAGCTGCAAAAATCGAACAATAATTTGACTTTGTAAAAAAAGTGCGTCATTTTTATTCGTTATACTTACAAAATGTAAACATTACGAGAAACATTTACATTTGTAAATGTAACAAGTAAAGTTGTATCGCATAATTTGACTTTGTAAAAAAAGTGCGTCATTTTTATTCGTTATACTTACAAAATGTAAACATTACGAGAAACATTTACATTTGTAAATGTAACAAGTAAATACATCAGATTTAAATTGTAAATGTAGTTTATCTCTCTCATCTCCTTTTTAAAAGGTATTACATACATACGAACGCATGGGTCACTCAATAATTAGCGTGATAATAATTGAGGATAGACTGTAATCGTAATTTTATTTTTGGACTTATATTTCGACATTTTGAAGTCGCTTGAAAGTCTTGCAAATGATTAAATTTGGAAAATTTGACCTAAGTCTGCATTATTTTGATGACTTAAACAATTCTATAAATCTGTTTTCCTAAAAATTTAAAAAGATATAATTTCAATTTCCCTAAATTTATGTAATTCATATATCACCAAAATATTTGGACTGCATTTCGTTTGTCTGCACCTAATTAAAGTCTAAATACCAATTAATTTTGGAGTTGCATTGCTTTTAATGTAAAAATGCACGTTTAGAAAAAGACGATAACGATTAAATTACAAAATCGATAACGACGACGATTAAATTACAAAATCGATAACCTCTCGACCAATACTGATATGGAAGTATAGGATATCAAAGAACATTTATAATGGTAATACTATGATGAACAAATGCTAAAATCCGACTCGGTTATAATCACATTTTTGATCTCAGGGAAATTGAAAAAAGCAAAAATTTGAGGGTATTCAAAATTTTGCGATTTTAGTAAAATCAGCATTCTAGGAAAAGGTGAGCATTTATGAATAAATATAGATTTTGTAATCGATTTTCATTCAAAAAATGGCCCGTATTTGAAAATCGAGGAATCTTTCAATTTTTTTAAACCATATATAGATTCAATGATTCCATAAGAATTAAAATGACTGATTCTAACCGAAGATTTCGAATTATGAATTCATTTTTATTTTAAATTACCAAACACTGGTCTAACTTTAATAATACACTTTTTTGACAAGTCATTTAAATTGTTTTCAAAATTTAGAAGAAATAATAATAAAAATGAAATTATTTATTTTAGACCTTTTTTTCACAAACTTTAAAATTTTTGAAGTGAAACCTTAACAAAAAAAATTCTTAATGATCTTGATTCTTATTGTTCTCAGTAGCTTTTTTGCAAATGATTACAATAGAATTCCTCAAAAGCAATTAAATGAGCAAGTTGTGCAAGAACTAATTGCAGAACCTGAAAACTTATCTAATTCAACTTCATCTGAAGAAACAACAACATCCTCATCATTTTCATCTGAAGAAACAACATCCTCATCTTCTACTTCATCCGAAGAAACAACATCATCATCTTCTACTTCATCTGAAGAAACATCTTCGTCATCATCTTCAGAAGAAACAACATCATCATCATCTTCTTCATCTGAAGAAACAACAACATCATCATCTTCATCTGAAGAAACAACATCATCCTCATCTTCTTCATCTGAAGAAACAACATCATCCTCATCTTCATCTGAAGAAACAACATCATCATCTTCTTCATCTGAAGAAACAACGTCATCATCAACTTCATCTTCTGAAGAAACAACAACATCATCCTCATCATCCTCATCTGAAGAAACAACAACAACATCATCTTCATCTGAAGAAACAACATCATCCTCATCTTCTTCATCTGAAGAAACAACATCTTCCTCATCTTCATCTGAAGAAACAACATCATCCTCATCTTCTTCATCTGAAGAAACAACATCATCCTCATCTTCATCTGAAGAAACAACATCATCATCTTCTTCATCTGAAGAAACAACATCATCCTCATCTTCATCTGAAGAAACAACATCATCCTCATCATCCTCATCTGAAGAAACAACATCATCTTCATCTTCATCTGAAGAAACAACATCATCCTCATCTTCTTCATCTGAAGAAACAACATCTTCCTCATCTTCATCTGAAGAAACAACATCATCATCAACTTCATCTTCTGAAGAAACAACATCATCATCCTCATCATCCTCATCTGAAGAAACAACGTCATCATCAACTTCATCTTCTGAAGAAACAACATCATCATCCTCATCATCCTCATCTGAAGAAACAACATCATCCTCATCTTCATCTGAAGAAACAACATCATCCTCATCTTCTTCATCTGAAGAAACAACATCATCCTCATCTTCATCTGAAGAAACAACATCATCATCTTCTTCATCTGAAGAAACAACGTCATCATCAACTTCATCTTCTGAAGAAACAACAACATCATCCTCATCATCCTCATCTGAAGAAACAACAACAACATCATCTTCATCTGAAGAAACAACATCATCCTCATCTTCTTCATCTGAAGAAACAACATCTTCCTCATCTTCATCTGAAGAAACAACATCATCATCTTCTTCATCTGAAGAAACAACATCATCCTCATCTTCTTCATCTGAAGAAACAACATCATCATCCTCATCATCCTCATCTGAAGAAACAACATCATCTTCGACTTCATCTGAAGAAACAACTTCATCATCATCCACCAATTCTGAAGAAACAACAGCATCATCATCCACCAATTCTGAAGAAACAATACCATCTTCTACTTCATCAGAAGTTGAACCAATTGTACCCACATCTACAACAGTTGTAATCCCATCACCATCTTCAACGCCAAACAATAACTCTAATAATCAAGATCAAAGAAATGCTAAGGGCAGTAGCTCAACAATTATAATTATTGTTGTTGTCGTTGTTGTTATTATTATAATTATCATTGTTGTGGTAATTTTTGTTAGTAAGAAGAAAAAGGAAGCCACAGCTGCTGAGTCATCGGAAGGTGGATCAGCTTCATTCTATGAAATGGGCAATGAAACACCAATTGATATCGTTACTGAGGATAATAAAACGCAGACATCCCTATGGTGGCAGGCAAGCTTGGAATCAGGTAATGATGGCCATATCGAAGTGTTTGAAGATGTACCGGATGAAGAACCATCAGATAAAAATAACCAAGGTAATGCCGAAAACAATGATATTTGGCTTTAATTCATGTTATTTTCATTTTTATTATATTTTATGCGTTATATACATTAAAAAATCTTTTTAGGACTATATTTACATGTTAATTGTATTTAGTACAAACATTTTATGTCTATTTTCATGATAATTTATATCGAATTTTTATTATTAAGTGTATGTACAAAACTGTATTATCTATTTACCTTTTTTAGCATTTTCCCTTCTCATATCAAGGTCATGAAGCAAGTTTTCGACAAGATTTACAATATCATTATTTGGCTGCTCGTCATACTCTTCTGGATCGTTCAAATCAGCAAACCATGGGTGCTGAAGTATTTCATCTGCCGTTGGTCTCTCTTCTGGATCAACATTTAACATATTTCCTAATAAATTCTGTAGTTGATCGCTAATTCCATCGGGTAATGATATATCTCCTTCTGCTATCTGCTTTGCAGTTTCTTTCATGAGAATATCTGGTGGTAAATCATCTGGAACAATCCACGGAAAATGAGCTGCAATCATTGCATAAAGAACAATACCAGCAGACCATATATCTGCTTTCATTCCATTGTATGGTTCTTCTCGAATGATTTCTGGTGCAGCATAAACTAGTGTACCGCATGTAGTTAACGTGGGATCGTTTCCACGTTGTTGCTTGCATAATCCGAAATCTGTAAGTTTGGCATCATCATCGGTCGTAATAAGAATATTTTCTAGCTTAACATCACGATGTGCAACTCCTAGTTTATGAATATAGGAAAGAGCATCAATGATCTGGTGGAAATAATGTTTTGCCTCATCTTCTGTGAGACCTTCGACGTCTTGTACTATATCATTCAAATCACCACCATTACATAGTTCAATAAAAATGTAAATATTTTCATTATCCATTATAATATCTTTTAACTGTGTTATGCTAGAATGGTGGATTTTACTATGAATTAGTAATTCATTTCGAAAATGGGGATAAACTTGATCTGAAATCGCGGTATTTATATCTACAACCTTGCAAGCAACAGATTCACCTGTGTTCATATGTTGGCATTCCCAAACACCGCTGAATGATCCTGATCCAAGAAATCTATGGGGTTCATAGGGGCCTATATTTTTCATTCAGAATGAATTTTATCGGCGACAAAAAAGTCAGTTAATTTGTTTTGTATTGTGCATGACATTTAATTCCTCACACATTTTCCGAATATTGGTCATTCAAAATTAATTGAATGTGATTTTGAGGAAAGAATTGAAATCAATATTTTCATACTAATTAACATCTTCGTTTTTTCCGATTTACAAGAAATTTCACTTTTGAGAGTGATGTGAATTTCAAATTTGCTATTTTTCATATGTGTTTCATCAGTTTCATTTCATTTATTAATATAAAAACTGTATTTCAAAGCAAATAATGTATAATTTTAAATTGGAAATCACGATTTCAAGTAACCACAGAACAACAATGAAAGAAAACGATATTTATTCCATTTATATTTAAGTGGTGGTGTTAATTTTAAGTATCCTCTTGCATTTATGAATTGAAATTCAATTTAATGGAATTTACAAGTGCTTTTTATTAAATTTACTATCAGCTTCCAATGGATAGATGAATCCTTATGCATATACCTTTGATTCTACTGAAGATTATGTTACGGTTTTGCTTTCTCTTGTTATCTGCTTATATGCTAATTGCTTTATTATACTTTTCCATGGGGAATTGACTCCATCGATTTTTTCAATGAAAAAGTAGTTCTATTATCTAATGCGATTTAAAACATAGTTTTTTAGCAATACAATTATAAAGGAAATTATGTATTAAGAATGCAACTCCATAGTCTACTATTTAATAATATAATCCATAACGATTCAAATCTGGTTCATGTTCAGTCAAAAGATTCACATATCAACTGGAAAAACAATTGTAAAAATGGAATTAAATACAAATACTTCGATCAAACCTATTAGATTCCTTGAATGGTCGCACAATTTGTGAAAAATCTTTCATTAATCATTATTATTCATAAATTTTAAAAATTAGAACTACAAATACTCTATCCTATCTAAAGATATCCCAATTGCTTCTTTTGAATAATCTCGCAAAAATTGAAAAGTTTACAATAACATTTCTAAATGAGCGATCTTTAACAAAATACGAATTATAATTCGTACATTAATTTTTCCAAAAATATTTTTTAAATAATCGATTATTTTATTTTCATTTTTTGTGTTATGATTGCCTCAATTTGATTAAAATTTGAACATTTGATGTCGTTTCATAATGCATTTAGATAAAAATAGTAGTATAATTTTCACAAAATAAAATATCGATTCTTCCATTGAATTTTTTTGAATCAAACCTAAAAAAAATCTAGCAATATTTGTAAATGTCCGATTTACTTGATGATGTTCCAGCATCGTTCGAGGAAATGAGTGTTCCTCTTAATGAGGAACCTAATTCTGTGGAAGAAGGACACAATAATCAGCATAAAGTCTTGCCAAGTGCATTTTTAAACGCAAACGAAGTCGTTCCCGATACAATTTTATACAAAGTTCCAGAAGCTAGACCTAAAATCAAAGACATCAGGCGTCATTCAATTATGGAAGAAAATCCTGGATCTTTAGCGCAATTTGAAGTTACTAAGCCTGAACCGAAAAAGAAATTTAGATTCAAATCAATATCTTTCGGAACAATGCTTGGTGTTTATGTTCCAACTGTCTTAAACTTAGTCTGCATTAATTATAATGTTGATGTTGCTAAAACAATCGAAAAATTCGGTCTCGGATATGGTCTCTTATTATTTTTAGTCTATGTTATTATCGCCTATGGAACTCTTTCCAGCATTTCGGCCCTTGCTACAAATGGCGAGATGCAGAAAGGAGGTCTGTACTATTTGATCTGAAGATCATTAGGAGCAACATATTCCGGAGCCATCGGTATCATTTTGATTATTGGTCATGCATGTTCGATCAGTTCGAATTTTTATAACCTTGGAAAAAACATTTCTTCTCTTTATTCACCATACACAATGACGAAGAACCAGTATACCGATTCGATTTTGATCCAATTCATTTCTTGCGTTGCAGTTTTACTTCTTCAATTTTTAGGAGTAAGAATGCTTGTTGTTATTCTTGCTCTTTTATGCGGTGCGTTAGCTGTTGGTGCCGGATTCCTTTATGCTGGCTTCATAACTAACAAACCATCTGCCGGATCATTTTATCAAGGTTTCAGCAGCCACTTATTCAAGCAGAATTGGAAACCAGAAGGTATAACATTCGATCTTACTTTATTTTACATTTTCTCCAATGTTAATGGCATTATCACAATTGCCGATTATTCTGGCAGTTTAAGTCCAGCCAAACAAGCTATTCCTGTTGGTGGATACTCCGCATTGATTACCTCATCAGTTTTGTTCCTTTTCATGCTCTTTTTAATTTCAGGATGTGCCAATTTTGAACATCTCCCTGATGCTCCTGCTGCTTTCATGACCATTTCCGCCAATCCTCTTGTTAGTTACATTGGTTTCATGTGCGCTGGTATTGGATCTGCAATTACTATGACATTGGGTGGATCCAGAATTGTTACACAGATGGTTAAGGATGGATTGCTTCCAAAATTCATCAATTGCAAGATGATTAACAATGAATCAATTATTTCCAACTCATTAATTGTTTTAATTGGTTTTTGTTTCTCATTTGTTGAAACACGTGAAATGATTCAGTCCCTAACCAACGTTTTCTTCTTAATCCCACTCGCTCTCGTCAACCTCGCCCTTTATTTAACAGATTCACAACATAATCCAGGATTCAGACCAGTTTTTAAGATCTTTAACAAATGGGTTTCTCTTTTCCTTGTTGTTGTATGTTTAGCAAGAGCTGTTCTTGTTAATTGGATCATTTTCCTTGGTGTCATTGGATTATTAATTGTTACAACATTGATTTATTACAAATGTGTACATATCCATGATTCCTGGGGCAGTATTCTTTCCAATTATATCTTCTATTCAACAATGAAAGAAGCATTGAACCTTTATAACGTTCCTCCACATGTTAAAACATATAGATCTAACATGATTTTCGTTACACAAAAGAAACCAAATGATTGTTTGCATGCCATTGATTTCATTAACCAATTACTTTCTGGACATGGAATGGCGGCTGTTGGAAGAGTGAATGTTACAACAGAAAAGCCAAACATCAGAAAACTCATCAAAGAAAGAGCAGAATCTTTCATTGCTGCTGATGATTCTTATCATGTTTTCTATGATATAACATGCGCACCAACTTTCCATGAAGGTGTTAGAGACTTCCTTTTGACTGCAGGTATTGGAATGATGAGACCAAACACTTTGTGTTTAGAGTTCCCAGAAGATTGGAACAACATGCAATCAAATGAATTCTTTAGAACTCTTGAAACAGCTTTCGATGCTAATTTCTCTGTAACTGTTTTGAGACATCTAAACAGATTCTCAGAAGTCGACAGAAAGGGAACAATTGATGTTTGGTGGCTTGCTGATGATGGTGGACTTACATTGCTTCTTCCTTATTTGTTGAGCAAAGAGAAACAGTGGAAGAACGCTCATTTGAGAATTATGACTCTTTGTTTCATTGATGATGATCAAGATTTCCAGAAGACACAAGAAAGAATGGAACATCTCCTCTACAAATTCAGAATCAAAGCTGAAGTCATTACAATTGAAGTTTCATTGAGAAACGAAGAAGCTTCTCTTCTCGTTAAATCCAAATGGAATTCTCTTGTCGCAAATATTGAAGACCCTGGAGAACAAGTCAATAACTTGACAAGCAGATACCTTCTTCTTTCAGATTTAATCAGGAACTACTCAATTTCAAGTAGTTTCATTGTTCTCACAATGATTGTTCCGCGTGAAGCAACAGTTCCATCGATTTATCTTGGTTGGCTCGATTTGCTCAGCTTTGTTGATATTCCTTTCCTTTTCGTTCGTGGAAACGGAGAAAATACACTCTCGTGGCATATCTAACTTTTTATCTTCTAAAAACTCTTTCTTTCATTTACTTTTTATTTATCAATATCTTGATTAATTTTGACAAATCTGAAGTCATTATATAAAACTCATGAAAGCTCAACAATTGATATGACAAGTATTATTAGATTCTAAAGTTTCCCGAATCAAGTTTATTGTCATTTTAAATGATTAACAGCTTTTAAATAAACAAACAAAAAATTATCTTAGCTAGAATTTCAGTTTTTATTCAGAATAAATCAAGATGAAAACCGAAATATAAAAATTATTTATAAGAGGATGACATCTCTTAATTGTCACTGGGTCGTGCTGTTCATAGATAGTGATACGAGCAAAACCATGACCGTAATTTCCGATCTGAGTACATGACTCATCAATGGTTGAGTTTGTGCAAGGAATTTCTGACATGCCATCTTTGATTGAAGGAGAATAAAATCGGAGTCCTGAGTAGTGTAATGAGCTCCACGTATGATGTATCGAATTTGGTTTTGAATCTTTTGCTATTGCTCGACATCCATCAAACCCTGATATATAAGAAGAGCCGCCTGATCCGCTTGTAACTCGGCATGAGACAAAACCGCCGCTCCCACCTCCGTAATAGCCCCCGCCACCACCGCTGCCATGATGTCCACTCCCACAATCGCCACCATATCCAAACCCACCATTAATTCCAGAGGAGTTGGAGCCAAGTCCACCTGAAGTTTGTGTTCCTCCACTGGAATTTGTAATTTTATATGGTTGATAACAGTAGCGAATGGTACCGTTGTAGCCTTCAAGAACACCTCCAGCACCACCATCTATTGGTATATCATTATAGAATGAAGTTCCAGCGCCGCCAGCAGCCACCTCAATTCGAGATTTCAAACTTTCAAAATTTTTCCAGGGTCCATTAGTTAGGCGGAGATCACTCGCCCCACCGCCGGAGCCCCCTGAAACATGATTTTCTGGGTTCGTAACATTTACTGTTCCTTTTCCACCACCATTAAAAGTGGCCTGACCGGCCCATTCACCTTTTTGGCCAAGATATATATACAAAGTACGAGGACTGTAAATAGGAAGTAGACCACTTGTATAGGAGCCATGGGCACCAAGATTATCCAGAAATCCACCAGAGGCACCCCATAATTCAATTTTATACATACCAGGGTTAAATAAAATCGCATATGGGGTGCAGTCTGATGTTGAGCATGGATATTTGTGGGAGTAAATGTTTCCAGATACGTTAATAGCATCCGAAACACTGACTTTAGAAGGGTCATCATACCTTACTGATATCATAAAATAATATCTCAATATATTAATTCAATCAGCAATGAGATGAAAGATATAATATAGAACCACTAACAGAGTATGTGCTTATTTTGTGCATGATAAACTGAAATTCAAACAATAAATATATTTCAGATTTCTGAATGATTTAAGCCACAATGAGCCACATTACTGCTCCTACATGAGTAATCATATCTGTTAATTTTCCTTTGGATATGAATCATGTGTGAAATACGATAATGAATCTGAATATATTTATATGATTTTGCTTAATGATTTTTACTATTTTTATCAACTTACATCCACATAATTTTGATAAGTATATGAGAAATCTATGTATGATCTGTCATTTGCAAGAATTTTAAGAAATTTTTTTTGAATTCAATTGTTCGACATTAAAGAAAGGAAATCACTAACATGGAAATAGAATTTTTCCTTATTTTAATAATTTTCATTTACTAACTTAACAGTGGTTATGATAAAAAAAAGTTAATTGAGAGTTTTCTAAATTTCATTCTTTGTGCTCCTTTAGATAGCCATAGCATGCATTGGAGCCTGTAATGTAACAAATCAAGATTAATGAGTCCTAGAAGAAACCGAATTGTGGAAAAACATTGAAATTAAAGTTCATTGTTGATGGTTGCTCTGTTGATCCATTTTTGGTCAAAATTTCAATTATTTCATTATACCTTCTGGCATCTGCAATTTTGTAAGCACTCCATCCATCTTTATCTTTGGCATCAACAATGGCGCCATATAAAAGAAGTAATTTAATGGCTTCTATGTTATTACTGAATGCTGCATAATGCAGGGCCATATCACCACTATTATCGGTTTCATTGATAATTGCCCCATATAAAATAAGATATTCAACGACATTTGTTTTATCAATTTCTTCTCTATTTGTTTCATAATATGTATAATAACTGACCGATGCTTTTTGAAGAACAGTAACTCCATCTACATTTTTTGCATTAACGTTTGCACCATTTATAAGAAGAATTTCAACCATTTTCGTGTTACCATTCAATGCAGCAAGATGCAGAGCCGTTTCGCCATTTAAATCTTGTGCATCGATTTCTGCCCCTTTAGAAATAAGTAATTTGACAAGTTCTACATTATTGTAGTCAACTGCATGATGGAGTGGAGTTTGTCCTTTTATATCAGTTGATTTAATATCTGCACCATGTTCAATAAGAAATACTGCGATGTCGGTCATCGTTTCTGATGTTGACTTATGGAGAGGAGTATAACCATATTTATTTTCTTTTGCGTTAATTTCAGCACCATGCAAAACAAGGAATTCAATGATTTCTAAATTAAAAGTAGGATAAGTGATTGCAGAATGAAGAGCTATTCTTCCATTTGAATCTTTTGCATTGATATTTGCACCATGTGAAATAAGAAATTCAACTACTCTTTTGTTGGAATGTTTGGCAGCAAGATGAAGAGTAGTTTGATTTTTGGGATTTGTCGTATTGACATCTGCGCCATGAGAAATCAAATATTCACAAAGAGATGGCATATTAAACATTGGTGAATAAATAAAACAATCGTTAATATTATTAGTTTGATCTAAATAAACTAAAAACGCCTGAAGATTATTGAATTTGCAGCAATATTTTAAGTCAATGTCAATATTGTGTTCATTCATTAAATAACAAACAAAGTCAATGTTATGTGAAGCAATTGCATATTTCATGCATCTTTTGTATGGTTTGTTGACTTTCAGACACTCACTCATGATGTCTGGATTTCCTCCTATAAATGCTAATTCAAGACATCTTTTTGTGATTTTGAAATTGAATTTTGTTCTAAAAATTTTAAAGCAATCAACAGCTCCATGATAGCAGCACAATTCGAGTAATGATAAATATCCATCTGGATAGTAATCACTATCCATCATTTGATGTGTATCAAAGCCATCATCATCTTTTATAAAAACTATGAGAGAACTTCTATCATCTTTCATAATTGCTCTGAAAATTGTGTTTTCCTCATGAAAATCCAAATAATTTTCATTTGGAAAAACTCTATAATAAATATTAGGATGTATTTCATGTTTTTTGAGATTGTATTCTGCATTAATCATTTTGAATAATGTTAAATAGGACTTTAAATAAGCATTATTGTATATTATTGAGCTACTAATAATTTCGGTTATTTGTGACGGTGAGAATATCTTTGTTTCAATCAAGGTGGTTTTAATCTTGTTGTATAAATTAGTAATTTCACCTTTATCTTTTGCTTTGAGTCGATAAATTGATTTCAAAGTATCAATGTAATCTTTGTTTTGATCGAATAACTTTACGTGTTGAGTTTCATCAAATTTGGTTTGAGACATAAAAAAAAGAATGGAAATTTGTATCAAAATTGTAATAAATGAAAGTTACAAAATAAAAAAATATCTGTATGATCAACTTTAAGAATAATAAAAATCTTTTAACATTTAATTTGGAGAATCTAAAGAATTTAATTGGTATTGACAGTAGCTGGCTCTTTGGAAAAATAACCACAACATTTTTTCAAATGGTCAAAGGTTTCTTGTGCAGTATTAAAATCCTTTCGGCATACCCAGCAGAAGTACTTCCCGCAAATGCAATGGATTTCGTTGCACCCACTATATTTCTCAATTGAAATTCCACAGGATGGACATGTACGAATGTTTCCTAGCTCACTCATCAGTGTCTAATAAAAAGTGATGTGCTAGGAAAAGATTTTAAATTTGACTTAAAAAAAATTCCAGACTTTGTGGAAATTTTTTCAACTAAAAACGTTTGAAATTTCAACTTGAAACTAATTATAAAGATAACTTCTCTGCTACAAGTTTGATCTGGAATTTTTTTTCATACAAAATTGAATTGATATCAATTTTTTGAAAAATTCGGGTCAATAATTTTGATTCGTTTGATCTTCCAGATCATTGGAATCGAATTTTATATTCAGTCAAGTCTATTACAAAGCAAACAAAGTATTTGTGTATTGTTAAAAGCTGCATTTCTTCTATTACAAGGTTTTTTTTAAAAAAAACATATCAAAATTTTTAATAAAACAAATAAAAAACAAAACTTTATTTTTCTTTAATTGCTGGTCTCTTTCTTGGTTTCTCGTCTTCATCATCGTCATCATCATCCTTACTAACCCTTGGTTCTTTTCCTTTCGATGAATCCGCCCAGTTCTTGTTCTCTTGTTCGTCGTCGTCATCATCATCGACATCATCTTTTCTGACGTTCTTTTTACTTTCTTTCTGTTTCTCCTGCTGTTTAATTGGCTTTCCGTCTGGTCCAATCTTTGGTCTGTTTGCGTCATTCCATTCGTCATTGTTGTCTGTGTCTTCGTCTTCATCTTCGTTGTCATCGAATTTTCCAGGAATGTTTGCGCGTTTCGTCTCCCGGTTTTCATTCTCGTCGTCATCGTCATCCTGATCTCTTTCAGGTCTGACATCAGGGATTCGTGGCCCGTCGTCGTCATCCTTCGAAACGAAGTCATCTGGGTCATCCCAATTATGAATTGGCCTTCTCTTGTCTTCGCGCGTTGGTTCTGGAGTCATTGCTGGTGTAGCGACAGGAGATGGTAATGGTGATGGAGATGGTGTCATTGCTGGTGTTGGTTTTGCAGATATTGTTGGAACAGGTGACGGAGTGGGCCATGGTGTTGGCTCTGGTGTTGGACGGGCTGTAGGAGTTGGTTTAGGTGTAGAAGTTGGTAATGGAGTGGCTGTAGGAAGTGGAGATTTGTAATTTACAATTTTACAGTCGCCTTCAAAGACGTTGTGGTAGAATATCGATGGTAATTTCTTTGGATTCGAATATATGAACGTTTTAGATATACCAAATGGAATTTCGAAGTCTACAGCACATCCAATCAAAGCAGGGCTAGATGCGTTCTCTAGGAAGATGGTGAAGGTGTTGTTAATGATAATACAGTTAGTAAAGCCTGCCACGACGTTAGGAAGATGGAATAATGTTGAAACATTATTTTTCAAAATAATTGAACTTAAAACTTCAAGAGGACGCTCACAATATGACAATGAAACAAGTGATGGGCCGTTGTTATACGCAAGCATGGAGTAATGAACGAAAGCCAAAGTTGGAAAAACTAAAGATAAAGCAGCAGAACCACGATAGCAATAGTTGGATGTGGAGTTTATATCGACAAAAACATTTCTTCCTGAGTAAATTGTAATTGCGGATTGCCCGCGGTCGTAATATCGATTTGTGGAAGATTTGATCATCGTTTCATTGAAAAATAGCTTACCTAGTGGGTTTGTGCAGCCTTGTAAGGCATGGCATTTTGAAAATGATTCGCAATTATCTATACATGAAGCAATTAAATTAAATGATTCTGCAGAAATAAAAATGGCGCCGTTTGAAGCAACTGATGTGCAATTTTTGAAAACACAGTTAGTAATTGAAGGTATTCCATAGGATCCTAATGAAAAATAAAGAGCTCCTGGTTCAGAATGACTTCGAATATTTAAAAATTGGCACATAAATAGTTGAATCATCGAAATACTAGTTTCAAAATTCTGCGCCTCTTTGAAAGTTTCCTTATACAGAACTTTTTGTGTGAAATTCCGCATCATAAACTTTCAAATATGATTTTAAAAAGTGACAAAATCGAAATTTGTCATGTAAAACTTGACAAAAAATATGTTACATATTCAATTCAAATAAATTTTTAAAAGTGTTATAATTTCATTTAACCGAGGATCACATGTCAACATGTACATGTACATCTTTAAAAATGTTATTTTTCTTGGAAAAGAATTTTTCTACATGTTTCAATGGTTGATAGATATTTTTTAACTTCTTCAGTTGCGACAGAAATTGGTGTCTTTCCATCTTTGGTTGTAACATTCATATCAGCACCATTTGAAATTAGATATTTAACCATTTCAAGATTTCCAAACATTGAAGCAACATGTAATGAGGAAAATCCATTATTAGATTTTGCATTTATATCAAAACCAATAGAATTGAGAAATTCAACAACTGAAATTTTGTTAGAAAATGTTGCAGCATGTAATAAACCATACCCATCGTCAGTCTTTGGAACATCGGTATATGCAATTGAGAGAAGACCTTTTATTGCCGCAATAGGTTCTTTCTGGATTGTACCAAGAAAAGATAAATATAGATTATCAAATTTTGCATTTTTATCGGCTCCAATAGAGATGAGATATTTCAATACTTCAAGATTTCCTGATGATGATGCAATATGTATCGGAGTAACACCAAATGCCGCTTGCGCATCTTTATTAGCTCCAATCGATAAGAGATATTTTACAATTTCGAGGTTACCAGATTGTGATGCATAATGGATTGGAAAATAACCAAATACATTTACTGCATCTTTATTAGCCCTAATTGATAATAGGTATTTAGCAATTTCTAAATTTCCCTGCTTAATTGCTGCTAGAAGTGGAGTAACACCAAAATTATCTTTTATTTCTTTATCAACCCCATTCGATATGAGATATTTAACTATTTCAATTTTGTCGTTGTATATTGCTTTATGAATTGGAGAAGCGCCAAATATATCTTTTGCTTCTTTGTCTACTCCATTCGATATGAGATATTTAACAATTTCAAAATTTCCTTTTTCTATTGCTATATGAAGTGGAGTGATGCCTATATAATTTTTTACATCTTTGTTTGCTCCAACAGAGACAAGATATTTAACTAATCTGATATTTCCTTTCTCAATTGCTTGATGAAGCATACTACAGCCATTTAAATTCTTTTGAATAAGACATTCTTTCTTTGCTTTCGAAAGCATATTTATTCTACCTTTTTCTGATAAATCTTCAAGAAAATTATATATGCTTTCGAAATCAGAATTTTTCATTAATTCAATTTGAGATAGAACTTCTTCTGAATCGATATAACGCGGACCATTTGGACAATTTTTTCTTGTTCTTGCTATTGAATCATGGAATGATTTAACAATATGGATAAAGTTATTTGAATCAGTTAAATTTTGTATTTTATCTAAAATTTTTTCGCTGCAATACTCAAATTGAACATAATCAAACAATGGATAGAAAATTTCGCTTTCCCTTGTGAGAGTTATAATAGTGCGCACTAAAGAATCTTCATCATCTATAACAAGTTTATCGTTACTTATTATCCTTTGAAGAATGTCAAATCCAAGTTTTTTCGCAATATTTTTGAGATCATCATCAATGATTGAATAAAAATGGGAAGAAATGAAATCAACACATTCTGATATCTTTTCATTTGATGACATCTGTAAATAAAATTCAAGTAATTGAAAGCAATTATCAATATCTAATTCTTTTTCATCAATAGCGTACTTTTTGTATAATTCGATTAATTCTTGTATTCCTAATTCCACTCCGATATGAAAAAGATCCATCGTTAGTGTGTTCTCAAATTCAAAATCTACTTTTCCATTAAGAAGTATTTCTTTCAAAATATTAGCAGTATTATGTGATTTAATTTCAGTACAAACGTTTATTTTTGCAAAACTTTTATCCAAAGTGTATTTTCCCGAAATTTTTCCCGAAATTCCTATTGCAACTGATTTATTTATTATTAATTCGGCACCATTGATTGCCAATATAAATTTATCTTGTGCATTGTAGAAATTAAGTCTCCGAATCAATGGACAATCAAACTGAACTATTCCCATTTTTAAAAAAAAAGTTGGCAAATATTTTTATAGGATTACACATTAGTGTTAAGTTTAGAAATCAAGGGGGTAACGAAAAGGAGAATCCAAATGTATAGCTTTTGTTTTACCTTCATATCATATAAGGATATACTCAAAAGTTTGAAAGATGTTAATAAAATCTTCTATATCTATATCAATAATCTGGTCACTAATGGATGTGATGATTTTGCTCATTATATAATCTTAATAAATATTTGATTAAGAAATTGTTAAATAAAAATTGCATCAATAGAATTAGATCTATAAATAGCATTTAAATTAATAACAATAAATAAGAATAAATACATTAACAAACATAAAATAAAAATATTAAATAAATTAAATATCGAAATCAGAAAGAATTGAGTTACCATTTGTAGAAGTCTTTGAAGTATCCTCACTTGTATTAGTTGCTGACTTCTTTGCCTCGATATTTTCAGTGTTCATTAGATTCATTAATTCATCACCTTGAATATCTTCATCTAATTGTTTCTCCTGGTCATTTGTCAGTGTAGCAATAAGAGAATTGTCATCACTTCCTACTGTTATCGAGTCATCATCACTAGATGTAAAAGCAAATGTATCTTCGTCACTTTTCGGTTTTGTTTTCTGAGAATTGAAAGAATCCGGATTCAAAGGCGGTCCTAAAGAAGAATCAGTTCCAACATCGATTTCCTTCTTTCCACCACTATCAATTACAGGTTCTTCTGCTAAGACATTCTTTCCACTGTCTTTAGATCCGAATGAATCCATAATTGATGTTGAATCAGATTTGTTTTTATCATTAGCAACAGTTGAATCATCAGTAAATGTTTCATCAGAGAAATCATCTTTATGATCATCAGCTGTACTACTCTTTGTCTTACTCTTCTCTGATATGATATTCGATGTATCAGTAAATGTTTCATCAGAGAAATCATCTTTATGATCATCAGCTGTACTACTCTTTGTCTTACTCTTCTCTGATATGATATTCGATGTATCAGTAAATGTTTCATCAGAGAAATCATCTTTATGATCATCAGCTGTACTACTCTTTGTCTTACTCTTCTCTGATATGATATTCGATGTATCAGTAAATGTTTCATCAGAGAAATCACTTTTGGCTTTGCTTTTATCATCTTGAGTTATGATATTTGATGTATCACTGAATGTTTCTGATGAAACTTCTTTTGTTGGTTTCGGTTCTTCTTTCTTTTCTTCAACAACAGTTGATGTATCATCGAAAGAATCAGAAATATCAATTGAATCTGATTTCTGTTTCTTTTCTTCTTGTTGGACAACAACAACAGAACTAGTATCAAATGTATCTGATAGAACGGTACTTTCTGTCTTCGAAGAATCAGCTGGTTTCGGATTACTTTTAGACTTCGAAGTTGAAGATTCAAATGAATCAGAAATCTGCAAATCAGATGAAACTTCTTTAGAAGGAACATCATCATCGACAACAATTGTATCTGTCTTTGTAGTCTTTGATTCACTCTCAAACGAATCAACAACAATTGTATCTGTTTTACCTGTTTTAGATTCGCTTTCAAACGAATCAACAACAATTGTGTCTGTTTTACCTGTTTTAGATTCGCTTTCAAAGGAATCAACAACAATTGTATCTGTTTTACCTGTTTTAGATTCGCTTTCAAAGGAATCAACAACGATGGTTTCTGTTTTATCTCTGTTATCTTTATCTTTGCTTGGAGATGATGCGAAGGAATCGAAAGAGGAGTTTTCTGAAAATGAATTCTTTTGTTTTTCTTTTTCTTTCTCTTTTTCTGGAGTTGATGATTTCGAAGAACTCCTTTTTTCTTCGATTGGTTCTTTAGTTGGAACATCAGTTGCATTAAGTGGTTCTCCTTTCTGTTCTTTCTCTTTAACAGGCTCAGGAACAACAACTTCAACCTTCTCTTTATCTTTGTTTTGAACTTTTTCTTTTGTAGTAGTTTTCTCTTTTGTTGTAGTTTTCTCTTTTGTTTGAGATTTGTCTTTGGTTTGTGTTTTCTCTTTTGTTTGGGATTTTTGTGGTAATGATTGTTGTTTTTCTTTTTGTTTTGTTGTTGTTTCTGGAGTTTGTTTTGAAGATTTTTCTTTTGGCAAATTGGCACTTTTTTCTTTTGTTTGACTTTTTTCTTTTTGTTGAGTTTTTTCTTTTGTTTGAAGTTTTTGTTTTGAATCTGTTGTTGGTTTTGGAGGGATTTTTTCGATGACTGCTTGAGATTTCGCCTTCTTGAGATTTGGATTTGGAGGAGAAGGAGATTTCTTTCTTTGTGGAATATCGTTTGTTTTGATGGAAATTATCTCTGTTGAAGTAACTTGAGGTTTCTTTCTTATTAAATCTTGACTCTTCTTCGGTTTCGCGTTCAAATCTATTGGTTTCTCTTCTTTCTTCGGTCTCTCTGTTTGTACTTTCATCAGAATTGGTGTCATCCGCTTTGGTTTTGGTGGAGGAGCAGGAGTTGGCTCTGGAGGAGGTAATTCTGGCTTTTTGACGGCGAGATCTGCCAATCTGTAAGTTGTAATTCGCTTGCGAGGTTGTTTAGGAGGTTCTTGTGGTTTTGGAATAGCCTTCCTATTGAGACGTGATAAAGTATCGCCTCCGATTTCTTTGTATTTCGGTTCTTTCGGTTTTTCCTTTTTAGCGTCCAAATCAAGAGGATGTTGAGTAATTTGGACATTGGCGGACTGCTTGGTGATTGTAGGATCATAATTAGTTGGCTTTGGCCGCTTTCTGCGAACAGGATCTGTAACTCCGAGTGTTCTTCTGATTTCGCGAAGTAAATCTTGAGTTCCAAGAGTTTCATCGGAATCAGAGAAATCACTTGGTGTATTGAATGCTTCGTTGGAGGAATTAATGTGATTGTATTCGGATTCTTCCATGATATTTTGATTAACGTCAATTTCACGCCTGAGCTCTTGTAGTTGCTTGTGCTTTTCGAAGTTCCTTGCTGAGATGGCCATCTCGGCTTTTTCTCCAGTAGGAATCGCTTCCATGATGAAATCATTTGCAGCAGTTTGATAATCATAGTACATGTAAAGCAAATCTGGAAATGGATCGAAAACATGTGTTGTTGCCTTTCTTTTTTGTCTCTTCATTGCTGAAGTTGAAGAATCTTGTAAAACAATAACTTCATTTGTTGCTTCTGTCTGCTTGTGCTGAACGCCTTGGTATTGGTCTAAGCAAACAACATCATCAATCAATCCAGTGATATGGGTGATCGTTATTTGAATATTAATTTTTCCTAAAACTTCTCGATATGCATTTTCTAAATCTGCACTTTGTTTGTATGTCTGAGGTTTTCCTGAGTTTCGATATGCATCTACTAAAAGAGGATGCACATCTATGCCTAATCCACAAAATTTATGTCCTTTCATTGTGCAGAAGTAAATATATAATGGAGATAGCTTGAATACACGAAAACAGTCATTTCTCGATAAGAATTCTATGCCTGATCCGATAGTTTTTCGTCTATCATCACTTTTTAGAGCTAACACCTTCAAATCCAATGGCAACAAATCCATGAATTGAACTGTTGGTATTAGGTCTCTGTTCACACTTACATCTAAGCTCAACGAGTCCAGAAAAACTCGGAAATCGAAGAGCTCAATTTTCCCTTGCATAAACAGAGTGAAGACGTTTTATTTTTTATCACACATATTTTTCAATGTAAGACATTTGTTTTATTGCATTAATTTACCTAAATATCTATGATGATTTGAATCATCTTACTAATTTTCATGAAATCCTATATTCTATGCATATTATTTTAAATCATTGAATCAAATGTTAATTGTAAACAAAACATCTATAGATTGTGAAGATACTGCCATTTTGTGTGAGATTTGAGATGTTTGCTTGTGTTTTATCGATTTTAATTCACAATATCAAAACAAATTTTGATTTGGTAATCAAATTATGGAATTTGGAATAGATCTTCATGATTGAAATCAATTTTATAATAACTGTGATTGCTAAAGCCATGTTATAACTCTTAATCAAATTGATGAAAAATATTGATCTTCATATTCCTCTATTTTGTTGAATTGCACAAAGAATAAAATCTATTAAAACTTTAATATACAGTTTATTCACACATTAATAAAAACAAAAAATATAAATTATTCAAGTTTGAGATGATCAACAGTTCCAAACAAGATTTCGTAGAGAATATATAAGAATGTAATTCCAATGAATAAAAATGCTAAAAGAATTGTGTAATATACAGGTTTGTACTCAATTGAATCGTAATATTTCTGGAAACGCTTGGAATAGTATACAATCTTATTCATCATTCCTGGTTCTGGTGGAATTTCAAGTTCTTCATCGATATTTATCCAGTCATAAGCGATTTTCATCTTTTTGATTAAGAATCTTTGTCTCTGTGCGAAATCTTCAAGATTCCAGCGTTTAACTAATGTCTCATTATGCGAAACCAATAAATTTGTAACTAAAACATCATGCCAAACCGACCAAATATTAAATGAAAATCCAGTAATTCCAGGAAGTGAATAATTATGGTCATGAGTGAACTTAGGGTTCAAAATCATCTTTGGTTCCCACTTATGTTTGAACAAAGGATTCTTAATTAAAGGTGGAGACCATTTTCCTTTGTATTTCGGATTCTTTATCATTGGAGGTGTCCATTTTCCACATCCTATTGCACATTTGGGGTTAGGAACATTCTTGGTTTGTATTCTCCGTATAATTGATCGTTCCAATGCTCTGGAGGTTTGTCTTTTGGATCTGGGATCTTTTCTAGCTCGTTTTCGTTCCATCCTAATGGCATTCTTCTATGTCTTGGGTGCGGAATGTACTCTGGCTCGTTCTCATCCCAATCATCTGGTTTCTTTGCATTTGTATCTGGAATAAATTCGTCATCAACCCAATCACTTGGTTTTTTATCTGTTGGATCGGGTATGTATTTTGGTTCGACAATAGGAATTCTAAATGAATCAGTAAATGTTCCGTTCAGGAATGACATAGCGTCAATAATGTACTCGAAAGTATTATTAGGTCTAATAATTAAAGTGTATAGATGTGGTATTTCGTCAAAAGGTACATCTATGAATTTTTCGATTTTATGTTTATCATCTGTTGAATTTATGAAGAAGTTAAGTATAGCTTTGGTTCTACGCTGATTGTGAACTGGTCCAAACTCTATTGTTCCGTGTGTTTCATTTGTTTGATGGAATGGATCAAAATCTGTTGTATGAACACGAAGATATGCTTTGAAACAATGGTAAAGAATTTGTGCTCTTACTTCATATTGAATGATTATTGTTTGATTCATATGATATATAGGAGCTGGCAGTTAATATGAAATAATTGATGATTTTTGATGGTCTGTAATAACCAATCCGCGTTCATTCTTTCTCGCCATCGGTGGATATGAAAGATCATTGGACCATTTCCTATCGAAATTAGTAGATCTTGATTGCATCCATCTTTTCATTACAAAAGGATCTGAAAAGTTATCCCAGAATAATTGTTCTATTGCAGGAAGCAAGGGTCTTCCATTTTCATCATATATTCTGGAAACAGATGCTATGAAATGTAAAAAAACGGAGAACATTGTAAACTTTGAAATGTAAACTATTCAAACCAAAAATTTACAAAATTTTTATTACTTGATAAGTCATCAAATCTATGACCTTCTATAGTTGAAAACATAATAAAAATGCTTAGATATACATATATTTTAGTACTAACAACAAAACAATATAAAATTACAAAATTAATTTTCCTCATTCTCGGATTCTTCCAAAACATCTTCCACATCAATAATGAGATTAGATTCAATGTCTTTTAACCCGGTTTCAATTGGCTGAGAAGTAGCTTTTCTGACTGGACAATTCTTATTAAATAAAATAACAGCAATTGAAAGAACAATAAGAGTAGGAAGGAGAATAAGAAGTATAAATGAGGTTATGTAACCAATAGATGAATCACCAAATAAAGATGGGAGATAAAATCCGCTGCAAGAATGTGAAATCCTGATATTCTTGTTAGGAACTGAATTTATTCCACTAATTGATGTTAGTTGATTTATCTTCTTGGCTTGACACTCAATAAAAACTGATTCTTGGATATTAGTTTTTCTTATACGTAAATGGCTTGATTCCTTGTTTGTATAGCGGATTAAAGCTGAAGTATTATCTAAGTTTTCGAATTTTTGAGTACTCTCTTTGGTGTTTAATAATTTCATTTTATCATAAACTAAGGCATTTCCCTTTCCAGCAATAAACTCGTATTCGAGTGTTTTGATGCCACTTTTTGATGGTAAAAAGATACAAATCTCTTCTTTTTGATCAGAAAAATGAAAATCTGCAATTACTTGAGCATAATTAGAAACAATGTACGAATTATCGAAACAGTTTGTTGAGGGAACAATCCATACTTCTGTATTTACTTCGGCTGAAAGATCATATAGGGAAATTTCTAAATTTGTTTCATTTGTTGCTAAAGCTATTAGATCTGATCCTAGTTTTTTGATATCTACATTAGAAACCGAAATATCAATTACGCCTAGTACATTTGTTTCGAAAATTGCGACAATTGTTGAGTTTGGTTGGCTGTAAACAGATAACTTGTCACTCATTTTGATTTTATAGAATCCATACTGTTGATTTACTTGTGTGTATTGAGTATTTAAGCAGAATTTCAGCAATAATCCAATCATATTTTTTTTTACAATTTTGTCAAAAATCTAATGTCACCTTTTTAATTTTAGATATTTTTCTTACAAAATGAAATTAAAACAACTTCAGAGTCTATTAGAAGGTTTCGAAGGTCCTCCAGAACCTAAAATTGAATTTGAACAATATCCAACACCAGCAAGACTTGCTGCAGAAGTTATTTTTGATGCTTCCACCTTAAGAGGTGACATTGAAGGAAAAATTGTAGCCGATCTTGGCTGTGGATGCGGAATATTATCAATTGCTTGCCTTGTTATGGGTGCAAAAGAAGTTCATTCATTCGACCTCGATCCTGTTTCCATCGAAGCCGCTAAAAGAAATCTTGATTTGCTAGAGTTTGATGAACCACCACCAATTTTCTTCCATGAATGCGATGTTACAAAACTTGGAGATGAACAAAAGTTTGATACAGTTGTCATGAACCCTCCATTTGGCACTAGAAACAAAGGTGTTGATATGACATTCCTTCAGGTTGCTTCAAAGATTTCAACTGGCGCCATTTATTCTTTCCATAAATCATCAACACGTAATCATATATTAAATATTGCTGCTCCTAAGTTCGGTTTGCGTGGTGAGCTCGAAATGGAAGTTAATTTCGACCTCAAGAAACTTTACAAGTTCCATAAAAAAGATATTAAAGCTGTCGAAGTTGACATTTACCGATTTGAGCATATTCCTACCCAAGCACTACCAAAGCCACAATAAAAAGCTAGAAGAACTACAAAAAAAGAAATTATCATATAATTTGATTATAAATAGAGTTAAATAATCCACTATTATAATTGTGAATGCTCATATTTAATAGATTTTATAAAATTCAAATAAATACAAGAAAAAAATAGAATTAATTCGATGAATTTTTTTAATAAAAGCAAATTAAAGAAAGCTTGATTCGTATTTGAGCATTTTATGGACTTTGTTGATTATATGCTGTAAGCATACTCAGAATTATTAAATAATAGAAATATTTCTATGATAATACACATGATGAAGCAAATGTCTTTGATTTCGTAGACTGGCATCATTAATGTTACATAGGTAACTCTATTTAAAGTCAAATGTATCAATAAGAGTGATTATACGAATGCAAAAGTTTCAAATAAAAAAAAACGAACTTTGTTATAAAAAAATGGATATCAATGATTTAAAGCAAATCATTAAGAGAGGTGATTTAGTAAGCCTTAGTGTAAGTGCAGAAGGAACCCAAAAATCTATTGTTCAAGTGATTGAATTATTTAAGCAACAGCAATTGGAAATCGATCATATAAAATCAGATATGGGTGACTTATTACAGAAATATGAATTTGAAGAGTTTAAGCAATCAAATTCATTTCAAATTGGAAAGATTAATCGATCATTACCTGCTTTTGAACAAACATTAAAAACTGCAATCGATGATATTCATTCAAAAAACGAAACATTCAAGCAAGAAATACATGAAACTCTGCAAGCAGTTATATCATCAGTTGATGCAAAAATTGATTCACATATTGAAATTTTACGTGAAGAATTTATTGATATGAAAGGAAAATTCGATGAAATTGACAATAAGATGAATGCTCTGTCACAACAACAACCAACAGATAAGAATTCTTTATTAAATGCACAAAAAGATAATTCAAATATACTCAAAAAGCTTGCTCAATTAGAGAAGAAGCAATATGATATTGAGGCAAAAGCAATATATCGCGAAGTATTCGAAAAAGGACAAACTGAAAATAAAAAGTCAATCGAAGATTTAACTTCAGCTATAAGCGCAATTAAAACTTCAGTAGAAAAATGTGAGAATTCGATAAAGGAAATCTCTGAAACTGCAAGTAAACCTCCAGAACCAAAAACTCAAATGTTCAAGCAACCAAGTCAAAAGGACTCTCCATTTGCTAAGCAAGACTTACCAATTGAACTAATTGTTGAAGATGACCCTCCACCAACAAATTCAGTTGAAGGACTTTTGGATTCAATTGAAAATATTGAAGCAAAAATTGAAGATGCAAACAAACTTTATAACTCTAAGCTTGAAAGGAAAGCAGACTTAGCAATCGTCGAACATATGTTCGAGAGGCTTAGAGTTTTAATTGCATCTATGAATGATGAAGTTTCCACAATTAAAGGCCAAATGAATAAATTCTCAACAGAAGATGAAATAGAAGAATGGATAACTAAAGCAATAGCTAATGCTAGTCAGGAAGATAAAACTCCTTATGCAAAAGATCCTATTTCAATGGCTGCAAATGCAACAAAAGCAGCAAGACCTAGCACGCCTAAGAAACTTTTTAAGATTAAGAAGCAACCTTCGGCTGCATAATTTTTTATTGTTTTTATATTTGTTTTTTATTCAATAAAGAAATATAAATTGAAATTTTCCTTTTTTCTTTAGTTTTTGCTTTCCATTGAAATACTTCTGAATAGGTATATGTTTTTTTTCATGCTAATTTTAATAAGAATATGAAACTAAATTATTCAAAATAATTCGAATTCAAACAGGTAATATGAGTATAGCACTGATCTGAAAATCAATACAATTGCATGGATTAATTGTCACTCTTCGCAAAATCAATTTAAATTGTCTGAAATATCAAAATCAGACATGAATTTAACTATTTAGTGACCATTAAATATAACTTTCAAAAAAGCGGTGTTTAAAAATAGCTCCAATGAAAAATTAATAATAGTAGAAGCAAATAAAAAAAAAATTAAAAATTAAAAAAAAAATAAGATGAATGCATATAAACTAATTTAATTATTTATTACATATATCATTCTTCCTTCTTATTTTTCTTCTTTTCGTTGATATCATTTTCATATGATGATTCTCTCTTTTCATCATGGCCATCCATTGTAATGATATGATATCCAATGCGAAGGAAGACAAATAGCCAGTATGCATGCATAACGTATAAAGCGTGCATAAGTACGCAAAGGAATAAGTACATTGTATAACCTTCTGGATACTCAGACTTGATGCAAATAACTTTGTATAGTGGAATCAAAAGCTTGAATGGGAACCAAACGTTTCTGACGAGGAACCAATCAAGAGTCGTAGTAATGTATTGAATTTCTGTAAGGAAGAAGTACTGTGCACCTTCGAGCTTAGCCTGGTTAATAATGACAAGCATGTCAACTGGAATATCTGAGAAATCATGGAGGAACATCACAATTGTGCCGAATGCGAAGAAATTCCAAGAGTATGAGCCGGCAATGAGCAAAGCAGTGCATACGTGGTGTGCAAACATGATTTGATAGTCATTTTTACGGGCATTCCAAAATCTATGAGCAAAGCCATCGAAAATGTATGCGGCGGCTTCCCAAGTATAAGCAAGTTTAACTAATAAGCTTACTGTTTGGAACTTTGGACATGGCTCGAAGCATGATAATGGATTTGACCACCAAGTTGTAGAAAGAATGAGTGGAAGCTCGAAAACGCAAGAGGAAACGTGTAAGAACAGTTGCCATATTTGATCAGAGAACTTTTTAATTCTATTGGGCCTCTTGGTGAATAGGTTTTCATTCGGCTTTCCAACAAAGAACTTCTTTTCCATCCATAAGCAAAACTTACCTGAAAATATAATAACGTACTTTGATGCAAACGCGATATAAATGAAAAATCCGATGAATAAAACCAAGGTGACAATATCATGTGCATAAACCCATAGAGTATATGCAACAGATGCAAAAAACATTAATGTAAGTCCAAGATCGACGGGTGGTTCCGTGAAAATATCGGTGAGAATCTCCTTTAGTTTCATCATGTTTGAGAGTATGGTTTGATGCCACTTTTAATCTCAAAGGCTTCAAAAAAACTGTTTGGTCATTAAAATAAATATGACTATAATTACATAAATATGAATAATAACTTATTTTTAAGGATTTTTGTGGAATCTCTTTTCAATCCGAAACCTCAAAAATCACATAATCTTATGCTAAGGGTTAACCATATCCGATAAAATTTCGAGATGTTTGAATTATTCAAAGAGCATTGAAAAATCATGTTTCAAAGGAAAACGAAAAATAAAGAGAGATGATTCAGATTATAGTCATCGACAAAAATTAATAAGCATATCAACTTTGCAACTGTTCGGATAATATAAATGTGATTATTTGATTGACCAATTCTACACCTTTCAGATCGGAAATCCTGGGAAACGCACAAAAGGCGTGTTTGATGACTGTTTAAAGATCTCTGTTCAGTGTAATTCCTAATGCCATATATTAGATGATAAAAAAAATACCGTTAAGGGTGCACCCGTATGTACGTTTATTTGAGAGGAGGAGGATTACCCTCTCAATTTTGAGGGATTCGTTAGTTTATTTTCTCGATGAATATGCAATAAAATTTGATTTTTACCTTATCAATATACTTCATATAATATACACATGTTCATGTAAAAACTTTTTTCCAAAATCCTCAGGAATTAAGGGATTTTTGAATTTTAAGAATTTTTTTCGAATTTTTTCGAAAAAAAAATATTTGCAGAACAGCCTTAACGGCTAAGATTTAGGAACAATGTTAAGTATCAAAAAGAAAGGAGGTCTGATATAGACAACATATATCGTTGAAAGTTGAAAAAATCTCTAATATTTGAGCCCAAAATTTCAAATTTTAATTTTTTGAAAAAAGAGGCCACCCGTATGTACGTTTATTTGAGAGGAGGAGGATTATATTTTTGAAAGGGTGAGACATTATGAATATGTTAATTATATAATAATATGTATTATTATAAAAAAGAAAAAATAAAGCACGTTAAAATTCTTCTTTCTTGATTTTTTACAAAATCTACTTAGAATTATGCAAAATATGACTAAATAATTATAAATTTCAAGTTAAATTTTAATTTTGATAAATAATTTAAATTTCAAAATATCAAGTTCAGTTCGACTATGTATGTAGTAATTCCTCAATAAAGTGCCAAAACCCTATTAAAATATATGAACATTTTCAACATTTTAATGTTTTTATTTAAAAATTTGATGGAATATGAGCTTCAAACAATTATTATGTAAATAACAATAATTAAATATATGTATTTATTCGTATTACAACCGTAGTAAGTCGATTCTTCCTTTCTTCTACTGAGTTTTGAATTTGATTTCGAATTGTAAAGAGATTCAAAGGGAAAATACTAGCGGATAAAAACTACCTCCATGAAAGGGTCATAATGGAGTCAAGTTGTATTTTTTGATATTTTTTGCTTTTCGAGCCTAAATAGGTAGCCAAGATAATGCCTAAAAATAAGGTTCTAAATTCTGAAGTTTACATGATCCTCTCGTGTGCACCCTTAAGGGTCCACTGTAAGGCCAAATAAGGCCTATCGTCATCCCAAAAATATTGCTCAAGATGGTGTTTTACTAAGACCCAAAACTTAAAAAAACACAAAAAAATTAACTTTACTCTTTTGAGATCCTTATCAGATGTGCAACAATTTGATGCAGTATCGCAATTCGAATCTGATTTTTGAATGTAGATGTACTCTAACATTCTTGAAAAAATGCAAAATGATATTAATCAAGCATTTCATTTCTGTATCATACACGAAACAAAATCATTCATTATACTAAAATTTATCAAAGTTTGAATAATGAAAAAAATAATATCTAAATTTTTACATTGAGTCGGCTATTGATATGGTCAATATTAAATCGTTTAAAAATGGGCATTGGCCAGAATAATACCCACTAAAATACACATTTTTTTAAATTTTATCAATTTGTTTTGGTATATCTTTATGATAATGAATAAAATGCTTATCTTTCATAAGTAAATACATAATTTATGCTGAAACACAAAAAATAACACGAAAAATTTTTGCCAACATTTCAAAACTAAGGATAATGCTTTGAATATATAAACAGTAATACTTTGTCTAGAGAATTAAATTTGTGCTATCCAATTGTCAATTCTTTGAATTTTTTATAAAATGCACGATATTCCGGCATTAGCCTCAATAAATATAAACTACATGCATCACAATATTAGTATGTAATGGCATTAAAGCGAATTTCCTAATTTCTTCTCAATTTAATTCCTAGAAAAACTTAGGAATTAATGATTGGAAATAGGTCAAAAAATTCCTAATATAAAATTCATACTTATAATAAAATCAAAATTCGAAAATATCTATTTTTCAAAACACGCATCCAGAAGCAAAAAAAATTCGAAAAAATCATGTTCTTATAAAACTCGCTGATTTTGCAATTTTTATGTGATTTGAAGTGATAGAATATATTATCATCTTATTAAAACATATACTTCATTGTTACATTCACAAAATATTAATCAGAACACTAGGAAAAGTGGATTTTCGGAAAAAGACGATAACGATTATTTGCAAATCGCCTCTCAATTTTGAGAGACTTTCAATTTTTACAGTGGACCCTTAAAAATCACAATTGCGGTTGACAGTATTTTTGAGTCGAATACAATATTTGCACCGAACATAACCGATAATAGTATTTTTTATTTTCAAAAAGGTACTTTTATTGGACTAAAAATTGAAAAATTTCAATTTCTCTAGTTTCTAACCAGAATCAATATAGAGTTCATATTCAAAAAGTGAAACTACTATGGTGTGGGGAAAAACATCAAAGTTCCCTGCTTGAACTTTAAATATAAAACGATATCTTAACAAAAAGGTACAAAAGGTTAAAAATCAAATACTAGAGATGCAACATATCATGAATTATTCATATTGATAGCATTACCTAAGATAGTAAATGAAAATTCAGTCCTTTTTAAGCTTAGCGCATTTTGAGCCTTAAAAATTAATAGCTCATGAGAGTCTTATTTGTTATGGAAGGGAGAAATCAATTTAATTCAAAAATATTTGTTGAAATTCATTTTTCTTTCTAACTTATTTTAAATTTAATATAATGAGAGCTATGATTAATATGGTAATAAAAATGTAAATTAAAACCCAATAATTTTTTATTAATTATCAGGAATAATTAAACTGTCATCCTTTGGCAGTTTCCAAGGCATTGGACCATCTGGTGGTGGAGTATAGTTATAGCCATCAGTACCTTGTTCCCATTCTTGACGTGGTCTATCAACTCTTGTCTGTCTTGGAGCGATACCATCATATTCATCTTTATTGTAATTGGTATTTTCTTGTTTTCTTGATGAATGATGTGAGAAACTTCTGTAGCTTCCACCTTCTTGGCTACCACTTGTGTCTTCCTTTCCACATAAGCGAGGCATGAAGTGCCAACTTGGATAAACGAAGTAAAGAATTATTATGGCGACAATGAAAACTGCAAAGATAGATACTGCAATGATTAAGCTTCTTCTTACATGATCAGAAACATTTGCAAGATCATGGTACCACAAATAGCTTGAAGGTATTCTCTTTTTAACTGAATCGCATGTTTCTGTGGTAACTTGGTTTCCAAACAGCTGGGCATTTGAATATTTTGATTCAGCAACTGATATAACTGAATCACCATCTTCATTTGAATGGAAGTACTTTCCATCACTGCAAGCAACATAAACTCCTAAAACATTATTTGCATCAATGTATCTAACATTTTCAGGAATTCTTAAAACTGCGGCTGATGGTTCTTTGAAGAAAACTCCATTTCTTGTATAAACAATTTCGGCATTATTAAGGAGAGCGTTTGGAGGAATAAATTCAACATCTGATGGAATTGAATAATCAATTGGAAGTGCACCAAAAGAAGCAATTAATCTTCCAGATACCTTCTCGATGATCATATGGTCACTGATTGTGAAATAAGGACTATTGCTAGAGAAAGAAACTGTTAAATATGGCGCATTATTGAAAGCTGATGGATCAATAAAAATTACTTGAGATGAAATCTTGACTTTCTTTACATATGATCCTGAAAAGAGCAATGCTGGTAATGATTTGATTCCCTGGCCAATGGTTACTTCTTTCAAACTCCTGGTATATGCAAATGCTTTAGGTTGTAAAAGAATGCATGTGTCAGGTACTGTAAATGACTTTATATTAGTGTTGTAGAAGGCACCTTCACCAATTAACTTCACTGAACTTCCGATTTTAACAGTTGTTAATGAAGAACAGTTATAAAATGAATATAATGGAAGATAATTAAGCATTGAAACATCAATACTTTGGAGTGAAATGCAATTATAGAATGTTCCATCACCTATGCTCCAAAGAGAAGATGGTAGGGATACTGTTTTCAGATTTGTGCAGTTTATGAAAGTATATTGACCGAATACAAGGACACCTTCTGGAAAGCTGGCTTTTTCCAAACGATAGCTACCCCAAAATTGTCTATCAAAAATGTCCTTTGCTCTCATACTCTTGATCTGAAAAGAGGTAGCACAGATAGCCAGAACCATGGTTCTTACTGCAAAATACAGACCTAACGCATTGGATTCTTTAATTACCTTATTTTCGAAGCTAATCGAAAACGATGGACCAGACAATTGTCTCAGATTTCTCAAAAATGATGTCACAAAGACAATATTCAGATCAATGTACGTCGGAAAACCATTTCCAGGCGAATCATCTAACTTCGCTTTTTTATTTGAATCAATGAACAATGGAATATACACTCCGGATGAGATCACAGATAAAATTCGAACATTTCACTTTAACAATCCTAAGTTTTATCGCACTTCTGCATGGTTATTTGCATGGTTTGCCCCAGAGATTTTTCATTCGGATCAAAAATTTTATGATCAGATCAAAAAACATACAATACCTACATATAAAGAAATAGAACGATATGCAAAAGCAATTAAGAAGTTTATTGACAAATTTGATGACTATTCAGAGAATGATTTTGCATTATTGAGAACAGCTAGGCTCCAATCGCAGCATCGGACTACATTGTTATCAATTATTAAACGCGATAACGTTGAAGGCCTGATAAATTATTTTTCATTTCCTATGAATAATATTTTTTCTCGTCTTGAGCCATCGTTGTATTGTCCTAATCCATTTATTCAATATAAGCCATCATTCAACATGGTTGCTGCTTTTTACGGATCTATCAATGCATTCAAATATTTTTGTGGAAATGATTTATCTCACGACCAACTTGACAATAAGCTCTCCAATTTAGCACAGTTCGCAGTAGCAGGAGGTTGTATGGAGATTATTCGCATGTGCGAGGACATTGGCTGTTCTTTTACAATGACCGCTCATATCGCAGCTCTTTACCATCGAATTGACATCTTAAAATGGTTGCACGAGAAGTATAACTTAGATCTGAATGCATTTGATAGCATGGGATATATTGTTCTCCATAGAAGTGCTGAAGGAAATTGTATTTCTGCAATAAAATAATGTCTTGAAAATGGATGTGACATTAATTCGGTTGCTGGTGATGGAAGCACTGCATTGTCATTAGCTGTAAGGTCAGGAAACATTGATACCGTGAGATATCTACTTGGATTTCGAAATATAGATTTAATTTTGGGAAATGAAACCGGAAATGGACCAATACACATTGCAGCTAAATATGGAGACTTAAATATCCTCAAAATGATCATCGCTAATGGTGTAGATATCAACTTAAAAGATAATGAAGGTGCAACAGCTTTGGCATATGCTGCAGCACAAAATCAAATTTCTGTTGTAAAATACTTACTCGCTTTGCCTAATATAGAAGCAAATGAAGGTGGAGAAGGAGGTACTCCTTTCTGTAGAGCTGCAGGAACAGGAAATATCGCGTTGATTTCGATGCTTTTGAACAACAAAAAAATCGATGTCAAAAAAGTTATTGGACAAAATTATAATGCATTGCAATGTGCGATGAAACAAAGGAAAAGAGGAGTTCTTCAGATGCTGTTGAATGATGGACGTTTTAATCCAAATGATTGTACAACAATTAGAAAAGAAGCTTCATTACATACTGCCGCATAATTTGGAAGACATTATGCATCGAAATTACTATTAAAATGTCCAGGAATCGATGTTAATTGTGTTACTATTGATGGTAATACTCCACTCATGTATGCTATTGCTAATAAAAGAGAAAGGACATTGTTGAATTTGCTAAAAGATAAAAGAGTTCAAGTAAACATCGCAAATTCAAGTGGAGAAACAGCTTTGACAATGAGTCTTTGTTTGCCAAATGCTGCTTGCTTGGATTTGTTGATGATGAGAGAGGATTTGATGGTTAATACCAAGCATATCAACGGAATGACCCCTTTACACATCGCAATAAATAATAATAAATTAGATTGCGTAATTTTACTGTTGCGAAGAAAGGATTTGGATGTTAATATTGTTAGTGATAACGGAATGACTCCTCTTGTATTAGCTTTGCTAATGAAAAGGAAGGAAATGATTATCGAGCTTTGTCTCGATGGGAGATCTGACTATGATACTGAGCATGAAATAACATTGAATGATGGTACGAAACTTACCACGTGTCCAAGAAAGATTGCGAGTATTATTAAGATAAACGGATTCTCCAGATTGAATGAATATATTCCTCCTTTAGCATAATTATATTATTTGTGTTGTTTGTTTGTAAATATAGAGTTTATACAATCTGCATATTTCTAAAATTCTTATCAAAAATAGAAAAGATACACCGATTTATACTTTGAATGAAGGCGAAACTTTATAGGTTGGAATAATAGAACTTATGATCTTATTTAAGGCCACATATAGGATTAATCGATATATTTTAATCTCCAATTGCTTTAAACGAGCCAAAAGAAAGACGAGTATTAATGATTCTAGCTATATATCACTAAATATTGATTCGGATTTGATTATAAATCAAATTTTCGATATGGTATGAAATATTATGTCAAATTTGTGTAATTTATTAATGATTCCATGTAAGCTACTTATGGTTAATCTAATTTCTTAATATATTAAAAAAATATAATGTTATCATTCAATCAGTACCCTACATTTCCAACTCTTGGAAAATTTTCATGACCCCCTACCCAGGGTCCTAAAATGGGTATTTTCCTCACACAGACACTGTGGTTTTTTGAGCCGGGAAATAAATAGCGCAGACAGTTTCTACATATAGAGACATGCTTATACTTAGAGTTTGACGGGAATCTAAAGTGATTTTTTTCTGCATCGCGAAATCTAATGCAATCTCAAAATCATGAAGAAACTGCGAATCGGAGCGCAATTTTTAATATGTTAATATATAAAGGTACCCCTACTACTGCAAATGCTTCAAATGAAAATCTAAGAAATCAGATTAATTTGATCACATTAGTATAGTATTGGTCAAACCAAAAACTCATATGTTGATATATAGCCTATAGATATTCATATTATCTACTTTTCATTGAATTACATAAGATTTAATAATCTCATAAATATTCTTTTTAATTTTCCGAATTCCGTGTGCATTTAGATTGCCTATACCTGTATATAATAATTCTAGAATGGTTTGGTTAGATATTAAGTTTTTTAGATTAATATTTTAACATTTTGATAAAACAAGCATTTGTTCCATTTTAGAATCGCCATTGAACTCTAGTTTGACTAACATGATGTTGTATGATCAAATAAATTCTAACTTCATGAGATAAATTTTGAAATTAGAAAATGCGATATCTGACTCAAATATTTATCTGAACACATTTAACATTCAATGATAAACTAAATTACTATACAGCAGATTCGATTTGGCTTATATTTTATATAATCAACAAATAATCCTATAAAATTGTGCTATTCACGTTGCTCAAAGATGTATTGAACATTCCCTACTTGTGTATTGATAAAATTAGATATAGATTCTAATGTAAATCGATATTTTGAAAATTCATATATATTTTGTCTTGGTTTGGCATTTGATCGTGTTGAAACCGGAATTGCAATATATATCATCTAAATATATAACTATCAAAATATGAGCTATAGATTTTTAAATTATTCTCCTGAATATGAGTGACTAACATAATTATATTGAATTGAGTAGTAAGAATCATAAATATTAGAATCTGACGATAATTTATTATAACTTTATATAGGAACAAGATTATAAATGATGATGAAAATAAAGATTAAATTTAAATCTGAAAATTTGAAAACATTAAGTGTATATGATAGCATTACAAAATTAAATTTTATGTGGAAGAGGAAATAGAGGAATTAGAAGTATTATGAGAAAATAATAAGATATAAAAACAAGATTCTATTAAATGAGTTAATTTATAGAAAGGAATAACAGTGTGAATGTAGTAAATGAATGTTTTCATGATGTATTATTGAAATCTTAAGTTTTGTTAAGAAGATAATAAGGGAATCAAATTTTGTATTAGGAAGTTTGACCGACAAGAGTGTATTGTGCACTCTTGTCGGTCTGCATGTCTCATTCCGGGAGACATTGTCACTGCATGTCTCCCAGAATGAGACAATCTTCCGCATTCATAACTTGAATGCGGAAGTTTGACCGACAAGAGTGTATTGTGCACTCTTGTCGGTCTGCATGTCTCATTCCGGGAGACATTGTCACTGCATGTCTCCCAGAATGAGACAATCTTCTGCAATCAGAATGTGGTTGCAAAACTTTGACCGACAAGAGTGTATACACTCTTGTCGGTCTGCATGTCTCATTCCGGGAGACATTGTCACTGCATGTCTCCCAGAATGAGACAATCTTCCGCATTCATAACTTGAATGCGGAAGTTTGACCGACAAGAGTGTATTGTGCACTCTTGTCGGTCTGCATGTCTCATTCCGGGAGACATTGTCACTGATGTCTCCCAGAATGAGACAATCTTCTGCAATCAGAATGTGGTTGCAAAACTTTGACCGACAAGAGTGCACAATACACTCTTGTCGGTCTGCATGTCTCATTCTGGGAGACATTGTCACTGCATGTCTCCCAGAATGAGACAATCTTCCGCATTCATAACTTGAATGCGGAAGTTTGACCGACAAGAGTGTATTGTGCACTCTTGTCGGTCTGCATGTCTCATTCCGGGAGACATTGTCACTGCATGTCTCCCAGAATGAGACAATCTTCTGCAATCAGAATGTGGTTGCAAAACTTTGACCGACAAGAGTGCACAATCTCTTGTCGGTCTGCATGTCTCATTCCGGGAGACATTGTCACTGCATGTCTCCCAGAATGAGACAATCTTCCGCATTCATAACTTGAATGCGGAAGTTTGACCGACAAGAGTGCACAATACACTCTTGTCGATCTAAATGTATCTTACAATCAAAGACACTTTCATACAATCTTTTCGAAGTTAAAAAAAAATTAATTATTTCTTTCTTTTGTTTATTAAATCGCCTTACTCACGTACTAATCTCTTTTAGAGACTCTATCGAGCTATCCCCACATATAAACCTGTGACAATAATACATATTTACTCTCTTCATATTCTGATCTCATGACACATTATCGCAAAAACTATAATTATACAACACATCTCATAAAGTCTCATTTTAGCCCTATCTAAGCGTTCAAAACCTATTTTCCACACGTAATCTGATTCTTCTGGCTCCGCTGATTCGATTTCTGCTGTCAGATCGTGAAAATATGCATCACATAAAGAGATAAACACAACTCAAAATTATTGCTTTTTTTTTCAAATTGTCTATTCATCCATCTTTACATATTTATTATCTCCTCCGTTTCCCCTCACAAATTCTTTTAATTTTCTGAATAATACGTATAATAAAATGAATATCTCAAAAACTAAAACACAAAATTAATGTTGGAAAATGACTAGATATAATCTGAACTTTTGAATTCATACATTTTTGGAAAAAATTGAATTTTCAAAAAAAGAGCTTATTTAGGTATGAACCTGAAGAGAAATTTTAAGGAAAATATTAAGTTGTGCAATTTGCATTTATCTCTTTATGTGATGCATATTTTCACGATCTGACAGCAGAAATCGAATCAGCGGAGCCAGAAGAATCAGATTACGTGTGGAAAATAGGTTTTGAACGCTTAGATAGGGCTAAAATGAGACTTTATGAGATGTGTTGTATAATTATAGTTTTTGCGATAATGTGTCATGAGATCAGAATATGAAGAGAGTAAATATGTATTATTGTCACAGGTTTATATGTGGGGATAGCTCGATAGAGTCTCTAAAAGAGATTAGTACGTGAGTAAGGCGATTTAATAAACAAAAGAAAGAAATAATTAATTTTTTTTTTAACTTCGAAAAGATTGTATGAAAGTGTCTTTGATTGTAAGATACATTTAGATCGACAAGAGTGTATTGTGCACTCTTGTCGGTCAAACTTCCGCATTCAAGTTATGAATGCGGAAGATTGTCTCATTCTGGGAGACATGCAGACCGACAAGAGTGCACAATACACTCTTGTCGGTCAAAGTTTTGCAACCACATTCTGATTGCAGAAGATTGTCTCATTCTGGGAGACATGCAGTGACAATGTCTCCCGGAATGAGACATGCAGACCGACAAGAGTGCACAATACACTCTTGTCGGTCAAACTTCCGCATTCAAGTTATGAATGCGGAAGATTGTCTCATTCTGGGAGACATGCAGTGACAATGTCTCCCGGAATGAGACATGCAGACCGACAAGAGTGTATTGTGCACTCTTGTCGGTCAAAGTTTTGCAACCACATTCTGATTGCAGAAGATTGTGCTATTCCTGCATATTTTCTACGAGCCTGCTTCATAAAATTGAATCCTTCTATCCAAATTAAATGCGATTTCGCTAATCTTTCATCTAAAATCACTAATCAGAAGCATATTGCAAGTTAACTTGAACCGGCATGTTCCTCCTATCCTGTCTTTCAGTTCTTTCTATCAGCCATGGTTCACAAGGAGGAGAGCTTTGCGCACAATCAGACATAAGATTGCGGCAGAGGAACCGGGAAGAGAGCAGCTTGAAGCGGTAAGATGACCGAATGCTGTCTCCCAGGTGTATCTGTCAGGCAAAGTTCACAAGGAGGAGAGCTTTGCGCACAATCAAACAGAAGATTGCGGCAGAGGAACCGGGAAGAGAGCAGCTTGAAGCGGTAAGCTGTTTTCAAGTCTTTAGTTAACAAACTTTAACAAAAGACATCTAAAAAATTTGAAATAATTGCAAAATAATGCCGTCAGGTAATGCGCACCTAAGGGAGGTGTTTTGCGGGAGCTGGGGGTATCTTGGTGAGTACTCAGGAGGCCAAGAAGGGCACCCCAACCGACATTTTGCTGACGCATTGTGTAAGCAACCATTCTGATAACCGCTCAAACCGTCGGAACAAAATAATTTATGAAATTATAAGTCATCTTTCTAATACATATTTTTGGAAGGGTGTAAGATACGCCAACTTAAATATATTATTAAATATGAGAAAATCACTCAACAAAAAAACAATTCTTTCAAAAAGTTTAAAATTTATCTTTCTAATACATATTTTTGGAAGGGCGTAAGATACGCCAACTTAAATATATTATTAAATATGAGAAAATCGCTCAACAAAAAAACAATTCTTTCAAAAAGTTTGACATTGATCTTTCTAATACATATCCTATGGATTAGATGTGGATTATGCCGATAAGATATAACTAAGCAAAAAATACTCTATCAAAACAACTAGCGCGAAACTGCATAAGCTATAGACATGGATATGTAATATTAGTGACAGTTAGATTTTAAGCGGCAGCTCGATAATATTCGATTCGTTAAAGAGATTTGTTTAGACAAGCATAAAATGATTTTTATTATTCATATCAAGGATATTTTTATCAGATATTACGCTTGACTAGCAGCAAAACATATGTAGAAGGCAGATTAAGTGATATGTTTTAATGGGTTTGTCCGCAATAACATCAAACAAATTCACTATTTTGTCACTTTTATTCAGAAATTTTGAAGCAGGTAAAACAATTGAATGGACAACTAAATTTGAATCAATTCGTTCTGAATTTAGAAAATATATATTCGCAAACAATTGTTATTAAGTAGCATTTCACAAAAAAATTTATGCCTCTCAAAAGCAAATTTTTTTGACAATTTGATTTATGAATTTCATCTGATCAAATGTTACCTCACATGTCATCCACATTAATAATATCTTAAAAATAGTAAATTTGGATCGACAATTTTCATTGGGTTTCATTATCAAAAATGCCCGTTCACTTCACTTTCAGGGGAAATGTCAACACGTCCTGATTCCATGGGTATCTACGGAGATTACCAGAAGAAGCGTGAAGCTGCTTATGATAAGAGACTCGAGCAGCGTGTTCGCACATGGATGGAAACCCTCATCAAGCACAAGATCGAGGGCCCAACTTTCCAGGAAGGCCTTAAGAACATGAAGGCTCTCTGCGATGTTATCAACGCTGTTTATCCAGGCAAGATTAAGAGAATTCGTGACTCAAACGTTATGCTTTTCTGCCGTGAAAACTTCGGCTCCTTCACACAGGCCTGCCTTAGCATTGGTGTTGCTCAGACAGATCTTTGCCAGTTCGAAGATATCTACGACAACCGCAACATGGGACAATTCCTTGTTACAATGGTTTCCGTTGCTAGAAAGATTCAATACAGCCCAGGCTACCATGGCCCAATCCTTGAGGATGCTGTTAAGCAGGCCACACAGAACAAGAGACAATTCACAGAGACTCAGCTCCGTGCTGGTGAATCTGTTCTTCCACTTGCTCAGGTTGGAATGAACGAGGCTTCTTCAGCAGCTCTTGAGGCTTCCCGCTATGTTGAACACGGCATTATCATGGATCCAGCCCTCAATCCAAACAACAAGAGGAAGTAAACTGATCGTATTTTTATTATTTGAAAAGCGATGCTAAACTCTTATAGGTCTACCATAACACATTAAACAATTTTACCCCCATGCATATTTTTTCATATTTTTTTTCAAAAAAAATTTTAATGAATAGAATAATAGGAAAGATAGGAACACATATATATATATATCCAAAATGTTGATAAAATACGGCCAAATATTAACATTTAAGGTTTGATAATAATTTACCTTATCATCTTATATCTGCATGCAGCGCAACTGTGCGCTGATAGAAAGCGCTGTATATAATACATGGCAACTTGATTATTTTTTCGAAAAATAAATATGCAAAATTTTGGCTTCCTGAATGTAATATTTTTACAAGTAAGGATGTCGATTTGCGAAACAAAAAACGGATATGCTAGCAACTTTATCCAAATGTCCTATATCACGATATTTGGCCATGTTTTTGTCAGAATCGCAAGTTTTTATTTTATGATACTTGGAATATATACATATAGAAAAGCTTATAGAACTCATATGTATTATATAGATGTTTTTATGGTAAAAAATAAACATATGGTAAATTTTTTTTTCATGTCTGAGCAAGACATTCACCAAAATAAATACAGTGATTTGCGAAGTATCTATAAATACTACATTGATGCTTATATTGCATTGTATCAGCTGAAAACTGAAAATGAAAATGAATTAAACTCGATTTACAAAATGATCAAGACAGATTTGATTGATTCCAAAAGACGTCCTCCTCAAAATATTATAAAAGACATTTTTGATATTATTCCATATAATAATCGCTATACAAAGTCATATTTATTTCTTGCCAAACTAATATCTGATGATTATAATGTCAAAGAAGTCTACAATGTTGAATTTATTTCTAATGTCATGTTTTATAAAGAATATGGAATTAAATTAGGCAAACCTGCCAATTTTAAAGAAGATAATTCAGAAAATCTCGATATTCTTACAGAAGATACAATTTATAGGGCAATTTTGTATAATTACATAGAAAAATTCATCTCATTCACAGAACGAGAAGGATTTGATAAAAATCAAAGACTTAAAAGTAATATTACAAAGGATATTCATTACTTGAATTATGTTGCTACCATGGAGCAGTTGATTGTTTCAAGTTTTTAAGAACGAAATTTAACTCAAAAATAACTCAAACGTGTCTTCAACTATCATTTCTGGGAGGAAATCCTGAGATCATGAGTGAATGTTTGAAATATAAAACACCAAATGGAGATTGCATGGGATATGCAATTGCTTCACACAACATTGATTTTGTTACATTCTTGATGAATGAGTACAATATAAAGACCAGTTTATATTATTATAGTATTTTGTATAAAAATCTTGAAGCATTTTTAGTATATTTCGATCAAACGAATAATGTTGATGAATGCCTATATAATTCCGTGAGGTTTGGTATTCCGTCATTTTGCGAGTATTTTCTTTCACATGGTGCAAATGTCAATGCAGGAAATACATATGGGGAAACAGCTCTTCATTTTGCAGCAGGGTACAATTATAAAGAAATAGCGGAACCCCTTATTTCATATGGTGCAAATATCAATTCAAAAGATGGATTCGGAAGAATAGCTCTTCATAATGTGGCAAGAGAAAATAGTGTAGAAATAGCGGAACTTCTTATTTCACATGGTGCAAATATCAATGAAAAAAATAATGATGGAAAAACAGCTCTTCATTGTACAGCAATGTATAACTATAAAGAAATAGTCGAACTTCTTATTTCACATGGTGCAAATATCAATGAAAAAACAATAATGGAGATACAGCTCTTCATTATACAGCAATGTATAACTATAAAGAAATAGTCGAACTTCTTATTTCACATGGTGCAAATATCAATGAAAAAAATAATGATGGAAAAACAGCTCTTCATTATACAGCAATGTATAACTATAAAGAAATAGCGGAACTTCTTATTTCACATGGTGCAAATATCAATGAAAAAAATAATGATGGAAAAACAGCTCTTCATTGTACAGCAATGTATAACTATAAAGAAATAGTCGAACTTCTTATTTCACATGGTGCAAATATCAATGAAAAGGACCGTTCCGAAATGCATTATTGATAAAATTTATTTCTGAAATTGAAAATAATTTTTGGCGCCATTTCCGTATGATATAAATCAATGAAAAAGATGAGGACTGACAACACGTTCTTCATAATGCAGCAGATAATAACAATAGTAAAGAAACCGCCAAGCTTTATATTTTTCATTGTGCGCTTATCAATAAAAAAGATGAATCGCTTATCAAATTGTTACGCAAAATATCACTACAACAAAAAGAAAAAATGTCTCTTCGATTTTGTTATGTAAAATATGGGGTTTGTTTACCTTTTTAAAATTAAAATGTGCTGTATTAATGGTGCATTTAACACTTTCTGTCATTCGCTCAATTTTTTTCCACCCACACAAGCTTTTTATCCGAATGAAAAGTTGATATTTTTGTCGGAAAATAGTTATTATCAATTACTACATAGTACCTAATATGGCAATTAAATACTTTACATGCTATAAAGCATTTCAAAAAGTGGTAAATGCACCCTTAATGCATTTAACTGCATAAAAAGCATTCATTCATGTCAATAAAAATCAAAGAATGCTATGCATCATATGAAAAAAAAATTAAATGTCGAGATATCCAAATAATTTCTTAAGGATACCCTTACATTGCGTAGTTAGAAAGAGAATATGATATTGTCATGATTGCTAAAGTTTTAGGCTCCAGAAATGAATATACATCAAACTGAAACAATTGATAAATTGAATGAACTTTTGAGAGGTTCTCAAATAAAAAAATTATCTAATTTTTTACAATATTACTATTATTTTATCCACATATGTATATATAGTAATTTGAGAAAACTTTTAGGAAAAAATAAGTTTAATAAAAATCTGAATTTTACTTGTTGTGGGATTGTTATTAATTGACACTCCAGACGTATTACTAATAGTTATGCGTATGCAATTAAAGTATTTCTGATGGACAAAATGTGAGATTTATATCAGATAATTCATTTCTACTATTAAGTTATTCATTTATGAGTTTGCACTTATTCGCACTAAATAAATAACTATTAAAAATTGTTTTAATTAATTGACACCATATAATAGAGTGAATTTTGTTTGATCAAACAACAATAGATGATAGATATAAAGCCAAGAAACTTGCTATTAATATGCTCTACTTGCTATTTCAATGTAAGTATGATATTTTCTAAATGTTTCGTTCAGATAACTTAGATATATTAGTCAAAATTTGAAATTTTAATAGCACATAAAAAAAAAAAAAAAAAAGGTAGTGGGGCTTCCAGGCGCGTTGCGCCCTCTAGCCCATATAGAAAAGAATTTATTTAGATTAAAATTAGAATTTTTATTCTGAAATGTTTGCTTTAATGTTTTTTACGGATGGAAATGAACTGGATATCGTCTGGGTCTTCGCTTGTTTCCTCCTCCTCTTCTTCTTCGTCCGAATTGTCTTCATCTTCACAATAACCAGATAAGAAGATGGTTATTTTGGTTTGTTCTGGTTTTTTGAGAAGCATTTTGGCTGTGCCAGTAAAAACGAACTCAAGATTTTGATAGAATTGTCTGCTTGAGTGAGTGAAATTGCATACTGTAAGTGGCATTGCAACTCGGTTTGCTTGAACAGATATTATTGAAACTTCTTCTCCATCTGGTATCCGTTCAATAATATCTAAAGCGGCTGTTGTTATAATATGCATATTGTTTTCGTAATGCAATTTTGGATATATTTCGAATGGATGTGCAGCTACACCAAGCTGGAGCAACAATGGAAAGATTCCAGGAGAAAGAACCGTGTTTGTTTTCATCTTCTTTCCAATTGTAAGTTAAAGGATAAGGACGAAAGTCTTTGAGTGTTTCATATAACTGTTCTCTTAAGTTTGGTTCACAGCAAATAATGAATTCGTCAATTGCTTGAAGAGATATCATAGTTGAAACATAAGGCAAATTCGACAAGAAAAAGTCAACCATTACTGTCGGGTTTTGAACTTTGTTTTCTAATGTTTCGACTGGTTTTATTATACTTTTGAAATATCTATCATAGTCATTGTTGTCTGTTAAGGACAAATTGTTTGGATAATCTGCAATGAGTCTTCTATATCTTGCTTCTGTTGTTGAGAATGAGAAGACACCTTCTGGTTCTGTAGGAGTGTAAGTTTTTAGTTGAACTTTGCGTATGTTTGTGTCTGATTGGAGTCTGATTGGACTGAAACAACTTGAGCTTCTGTAGTTTGTTCGACTTCGGCAGTTTCTTTTGGTTGAATTTGAGCTTCAATTTGTGTCTGATTGGAGTCTGATTGGACTGAAACAACTTGAGCTTCTGTAGTTTGTTCGACTTCGGCAGTTTCTTTTGGTTGAATTTGAGCTTCAATTTGTGTCTGATTGGAGTCTGATTGGACTGAAACCTGTGTAACCTCTTTGGACATACTAGTAAAGTATGAGATATAAGTGTTTGACCTTTAAAGAGCTTTTGTAAAGAATTGTCAGTCATGCTACTACTGTGGTCTTCCATTAGACAAAAATGAACTGTTTTGGAAAAAATTTGAAAAAAACCGTTTTCGTCAACGGTAACCCCCTCTATTTTTTTATTTTATTTAATAGTTACCGTTGGCAAACCGTTCCATCTCAAATATTGAATGAACTATAAACGTTTTTTGTTTTCTATATATACTTTTTTGTCCAACGGTAAAACTTTTTACACAACGGTTTTTGAGAGTCGTCGCCGTTGACTTTTTTGTAGAGCACTCAAAATAGTATAACTTTGTCCGGACAAGTAAGGGTCTATCGTCGCTACAGGAAAAGTTACAGGCGTTCCAAGGAAGTATACTTTGAGAAGCCTTTTCCCCTTATAGAATGAGATAGGACGGTTATTTTACAAAACTGACAACACTTTGACCGAGTAGTTTTTTGTGCTGAACAAAAAGTGTCATATAAACATCTGTCAAAAACCGCTTTTTAACTTCACTTAAAATGCCACGTAAGCTACGTAAGAATATACGTAAGAGGAAGGGAGCATTGAAACATCCAATAGTAAAACTGACACCACAACAACAGTTGCAACAACAAATGATGAATGACCCCACTATGTTGCAACAAATGTCAAGCAACCCTATGCTTTTAAACCGAGTTATTGGTGCACAGAGTGGAGGTTTAAGAGCGGCACTTTTAGCGAAAATGGCAGGCTATGGTGGAGCTGCAGACGGAACAGCTATAACCCTCAAAGTCAAATGAATTTGAGTTCACTCAAAAATCAAATAACAGATGTCAAAAAGTCAAACATAGACATACAGAACAAATAAGTGAAAACGAAAAGAAACTAGAATATGACAGACACACAAAGAAACTCAATGAGTTAAACGTAGAGAAAAAGAAGAAAGAAGAACAACTGAAAGAACTAAGTACAGAGGAATATGCGAAAAAAGTGTCAGAAAAAGCAGCAGAAGTAGCAAAAATGGAACAAGATGTTATAAATTTGAAAAACCATACTACTCAATATAAAGTACTGAAAGATGAAGAGATAAAACAAAAAGCCCTGAAGACATATATGGATAGCGATGAGTATAAAAAAGAAGTTGAAGCAATGTAAAGGCAGAAAAACTTTTACAGTTGCAAAACCAAACCGTACAGTATGAAAACTTAGCACAAGAAAGTAAAAATAACGACGCAGCCATGCAAAAGGCAATGAAAAGCGCAGAATATATAAAAGCTAATAATGACTGGTTAGATGCCCAAGCCAACGCTAAAGCAGCCCAACTTATAGGGTCAATAAGGACAAAAATACAAGCGGATGAAGACAGTTCAAATGAAGCTTTAATGAATGCTGACTTTAAGAACGCCTTCGAAGCTCTTCATAGTAAGGTGAAACTAGTGAACGACTTCTCATCTGGAAAGAAACTGAAGTCTGAAGGTTTCGAAAGAGTTAAGAGAAGTAGCACAAAATATGACGAAAATAACAGATGCAGCAACGAGACAGGCAGTTCAAAGTGCCTATGACGCCGTTAGAGCAACTGTTGTGGAAAGTCAAGAAAAAGAGTTACAACAGACCAAAACAGACCTAGTAAATGCTTTCTTAAGAACGAAAAGTCAGGTAGGACATTATGCTGCAGATGGAACATATGTGCCAGCTGGTGGAACTTATATACCAGCTGGTGGAACTTATATACTAGCTAGTGGAACTTATATACCACCAAACCCTCCAAGAGAAGCACCTGCACCAGGACTACCTAAAACATTTACATCGTCACATGGACACAGACACAGGCATGCACCAAAACCAACACAACAACCAACACAACAACCAACAGTTCAAAACACTGCACCACAACCAACAGTTCAAAACACTGCACCACAACCAACAGTTCAAAACACTGCACAGCAACAACCACAAACAGAGCAAGGACATAAAAGAAGTAGAGAACAAGGAAACCAAGAATTCTTAAAAATGCTTAAGGAAAATTATGGTTACCCAGATACTCTTGACTTTAGTGACAGATATAAAGAAGCTATTAGAAAGTTCAAGGAAGGAAATACTGACCCGAACCTATTTAGCTTTATGGTTCAGCACCAAATGGGATATAATTTCAAACCTGGAAAATACAAGCTCGCTAAGGGATATGATTTAATAGCATATCATCCAAATGACATGGATGAATTTACTCCGAGATATTTGGTGTCAGAGATAAATGATAATTCAACTATCTTCATGAAACGCGTAAAAAATAGAGACGGAACGAAAGAAGAAAGGGTTATGAATGCGGATGACTTAAATAGGGAACTTGTTAAAAACGGTCTCGGAATATATGAAATGCCAGCAGATGAGGTACAAGAAACTCCACAGGAAGAAGTTCAGATACAACCAGACATGGAAGAAATAGTTCAGCAACAACAGCTAGAAGAGCCTGAAGGAAACGAACAAGTCCCTCCTTTGGAAACTAACTTCACAGAACTAGATGAAGATTTGGAACAGCCGAAAAATCTTGACCCTCAACAAGAGTATGAGGTGAATATGGAATCTTTCCAAGAGTCTAAGAAAAATTCGGCTGACATAGTAGAAGAATATCGAAAAATGTTCGCCGACATACAAAAGACTCCAACATCAGATGAAAATATTCAGCATAGAATGGAAGTACTGAAAGAAAATGTACGCAAATACAATAATCCTTTTTACTTACGACCATATAACGTTCAATCTTTGGCTGAACTCGGTGAAAATAAAAGGTTAAATTTCACAAAACATATAGAAATGAAACATTGTTTAAAGTTCATTCAGAACCTAACCAATATGGAAACAAACCTACTTTTGTTTCTGCAGACTATGGAACTACAATGAGATGGGGTCATAAAGCTAATCCGGATAGGTGGTTCATAAACTTACAACCTCAATTCCAAGAAGTTGTAGACGCAATGGAAGTGAATGGTGAACCAGATATAGCTGGTATTTTCAGCGCGGCTTTAATGCCATTGAAAGATATGAAAGATGCAGATATTTTGAACCAGTATGAAATGAACATGGCTGATGGAAATATAACACCTGACGTTCTAGAACATTTATCTCAAAGAACTACACAGAACCATAGAGATGGTATATTTGGTGAAGAGTTTAGAAAGAAAGTTAGGGAGAGAGAAGGAAGAGAACCTATTGTACATGACCTTGCAAACGAAAGTTTACAAAATGTCATAAAAACTTACTTTGCAGACAATGAACCGAGAAGGGATGAATATTTAAGAAAACTCAAATGGACAGTACCAAATGAAATGTTAGTATTGAAAAACATGTTCCTTGACAAAATAAAACCAACTACAGAAATAAATGACGCAAGACTGAAACATTGGGTAAAAGCTTTCCCATTCACAAAAGATATTATTGGTAACATGGAAAGAAAACCAGAATGGCTACAAAAACATATATTTGGAAACGAGCTTATTCCATATGGACAAGCTCTGTTTGAAGAGCTTGAACCGGAAACTCAGGAAAGAGTCATGCAAACAATACGCGAAGACTCAAATACAAACTATGACAAAATCTTTCTAGGATATAGGTTACCTGAGATGGGCGACCAGAGCCCAAAGGCAAAAAGGACATGGGAAATTTACAACATACTAGGTGAACATGAGGCAAAGATGCAACAACTTGAAGCAGAGGGCAAGTTACCAAAAGCGACACCAAAGAAGAAGAGTAGAACAAAGTGAAAATAGTGAAGAAGTAACTTCATCTAGTGAAAGTAGTGGCAATGAAGGAAAAAGAAGAGTTAAAAACTCAGTCAGGAAGAAAGTAAAGCTTGGTACGAAACAATTATGACACATAAATCCAACTATTCTATATTTTTACCCATATGAAATGTACGCCGCTCAGAATATAACGCCAACAGTTTTGGATGCCATGAACGGAAATGTTTCCGAATGGTATAACGAATGCGACAATGCCATTAGAAGGTCAGAAATAGTTCCTGGAACTTACGAATATACAACTGCTGTTTCTTATGGAAACGTAGGTGAGTTTGGAGAAGGTTCTTCAACAACAGTAGATATTGCTTGCGACAGGTTTCATATTATTTCTATTGACAACTCATTCTTATACGTGGAACAAGACATTGAAATAAAACCTTCTGCCAAGTTGTCTGACAAGAAAGGTTGCAATGGAATTTTCTATGTCGGATACCAATATGCTCCAGAAGTTTTCATGGGATATAAGATATATTCTAACTCTGACTTAGTTCAAACAGTAACATGGGCAAACTATGAATGGTTCGCTTTGAGAAACTCAGTACAACCACAAGCTAGAGAACAAACAGACCAGTATGCAACTATTGAGAAAATAAGAAGACTTGACCCTAACGTTCCAGGAGTTTATGTTGACCTTTCTGGACAAACTGCAGCAGCAGTAACCAAAGTAAAACTGAAACTTAGAGTTCCTTTGTCATCTTTCCTCATCTTCAGGTTTTTAAGATACTTGCCAAACTGGGCAGGAAAAATTTCTATCGAACTTACTCCAAGCAAAAATAACTTAGTCATTGCACCAACACAAGACCCATTCACTCTTACAGACGTAATGGGAACAAATAAAACGTCATTCGCCGAATTTTGCAAAGACAAAGTTGACTTAGACTTTGGTTTCTCAAACTCAACAATGAAGTAAACTATTATTTCAATGCTGCTGGAATGCTTGGGACCCAGTTAAGTTCACATGCGAAAAATTTGAATGCAAGAGAATAGAAAGCAGACTTGCAGTCTATATGTTGGACCCAGATATTTCAAATGCTTTAGCTGCCAAATATATTGCAGTTCCACTTATGTTCCCTATACACCAAATATCTGTCAAAGACTTTGCAGGTGAAGTTGGAAACCAAAGTGCTGACCCAGGTGCAAGAACAGATATTGCTTTAACAACTGCAATGAAACATGCAGATACTATGTTTGTACTGTTCAGACGAACTATAAATGACTATTCTTGTTTCTACAACCCCGGTATTAAATATCATATAAACATAGATGGCAAATATTATCCAAGAGAAGAATATTCTACAGTTGAGGATATGAGGTCATACAACTTGACATTAGATGCTATGAACTTTAACAACAACTTCACAACAACCATTAACCCTGAAATGCAAAGTTCTATTATGCCATATGTGAAAGTATGGACTCATACAGGAGGTCAAAAAACTCAATATACAAATGGAGACCGTTCAAACTTTTGGCTTGGCATTCCATTTGCTGACTCAGAAGACTTTATGGGTGGTATTTCAACTGTTGGTACTGTACAAATACAATATACTGGTGACAGAGACGGTCCAGATGAACTGAGAGCAAAGAAGTTTACAAAACCAATAGCACTTTTCACGGAAGATGCTCTTTTGAAGATTCGTTCGATGAAACCTGCTGGGGCTCCTCAGATTGGCATAACGACAGCTTCCATCGAGCAGATTTTGGCAGCAGGTCAGTAAGTTGTTCTTGAACTGACTTCTCTCCGTCAAATATTGACAGTACGCCAGTTTTGACATAATATTGTAAGATAAACTTACCTTTAGAAATATCTGTAAGTTTTGAAGTTATATTTTTGTCTGCTTCAAGAACTTTCACCATTTCAGTTATACCAACTTTCTTTGCTTTATGAAAATATTTTGGTTCAGCAAATATTGCTATTCTATAACATTTACCATTGTTTGTATAAAGAACTATTCTGTCAATGTATTTGTATTGTTTGTGTGTGTAAACTTTGTTCTGCTTCAATTCGAAGAGATACTCGAATACGTCCATCTTTTTATTCTAAGTAAAATGTCATTTCCGAAAAATAGAAGCGTAAGTGTTTCAAAAGGTTTAATGGCGGTGGCAGATGTGAAGTTAAATTCACCAACTCAAACAAACAGTCAAAGTGTTGTTGTCAATGTCAAAGACAGAGATGTTGAAGTGGGGAAACCATACGAAGACGAAGATGGTATAACAATTGTTCCTGTAAAAGAACAACCAACATATCCTGAAGTTAGCAGAGACTTAAGTTCTGTTGCAGATATTCGAAACGACTACCAACAACTGAAAGACAAACTTCAAACTCAGGAGAAGATTTGTCAAGCTTTAAGTATAATGTTAAACTTGGTCGAACACAACCCTGTAAAAGTGAACTCATATGTCATTGCACCTCATGAAGTTTTGAAAGAACTATTGAAACTTTTGACAGAGGCAGACGATATAAACATCAAAGAAATAGAACCCGACATTAGTTGCTGTGGTGTTTCATATAATGTCATTGACAAGATATACGTTATGAAAGGAGGTGAAACGTTGAACTTAAAGTATAGTTTCCCAGACGTCATAAAAATATTTGACGACCACAACATTTCATTAAAATTTATTTGCTAAGTAAAAATGTCAAAACTTCTTGAAAGATGTTTGAAGAAAAATAATATAGACTTTATTTCATGTAAAGGACTTTACACACTTTTGAACGATATGAAAGACCCTGTTTTGTTTGTTCGTGTAGACAAAGGAAAGTTCTATGTCTTTACAAAATATTTGAACTTCTTAGACAGAGAACTTCAAGAAACGCCATGTGAAAGTTTAGATGAAGTTCTTCTCCACTTTCAGAAAAACTTTTAAATATATATAAATGGCAGAAGACATAATGGTTTATACTATTACGACTAAAAACCCTGAGTCATATAATTCTATAACAACAAACTTACAAAGTCCTCAAGGACGATATTGTAAACTAACCTTAAACACAATGACGACTAAAGCCTGTTTTGCTCTTTTGACACCAGAAGACTTTATTGTTGTGAATGGTAAAAAATACTCCTTTGAAGATACTTACTCAGATATACCACCAACAGGTTTTGTTGACTTATTTAATACTTTAAGTACGGGTGTAACATGTGCTGCAACTAGAGCAGGTTTCATTATGTTTGGATGTCCGACTGAGTTTACTATAAACGATATGAGCTATAATACAAAACTTATTTCTGGTTTTTACTACCAACAGTTTCCTATAACAGGAAAAGGTGTCATACAAGGAATGTCTATTCCATTGACATTAAGCACACCAATCTTATATATTGTTTCAAACTTAGGTTCAAAGTGTTATTCGAATGTCGACAGAAACTATATGACCAAAAGATACTTATGCGTATAAACAATACTTTCTCTGCTGGTTTGCCTATTGTTCATTCGAATGCAGAATTTTCAACCTTAGTGAACTCAAACACTTTGGCAAGTATAACGTTGACATTAGTTGACGCAAACTTTGTTCCTGTAAAACTTTTATGTCCTATGTATTTGTCAATGACGGCAGAAAGTTTCGAATTGGAAGATGCAACTGGTGAAAGTATTGTATTACAAGAACAACTTCAACAACAAATAGCTCAAGAACAACAAATGCAACAAATGCAACAACAAAGTCAAGAATAAAAAAAATATTTTTTTTTATTTTATAAAAATGTACAGAATAGATGTTTCAGATTTTTATGACTTCCAAGCATTCAGAAATATGTGTCCATTTCGAGACTATAACAAAGCAGTCGAGAATTTGAAACGTTTAGTCATTTATGTCGACTCTGCCCCAGAATGTTATGTTATGAAAGAATGGGATGTTGTCTTTAACAAACCAAGAGCAACAATAGTTTCAGAACAAGAATGTAGACAGAAACTTAAGAAAATAAAAGTCGTACAAGTTGGCATGAAGATGTTAGATGCTTGGGATATCTTATTGTCAAAGTTAGAAGATTTTTCAGTTCGAGGTATAAAGTTCTATACACCTTCTCCAAACTTCTATTCTATCTTCACTGGATATAAATACGAACAAGTAGAATGGAAAGAAAATATTATAGAAGCTTGGTTAGACCATGTCAAAGAAATTATATGCAATGGAAACGAAAAGTCTATGAGTATATCTTATGTTGGTTTGCAAACATCTTACAACATCCAAGTGCTAAAAATGAAACTGCTCTCATTATAATTGGAAAACAAGGAACTGGTAAGAACACATTCTTTACAGATATTTTGTGCAAACTGTTAGAGGGCTATTCGAACCGAATATGACAAACTTAGAAAACATCTGTGGCAAGTTTAACTCCTCAATAGAGAATATGAAACTTATAGTTTGCAATGAACTTCAAAGTATAGATACAACAAAAGTTTTGAACTCAGATGCTTTGAAGAGTCTTATAACAGACAAAGTTGGAGTTGTTGAAAGAAAGTATAAAGACCAAAGAGTTTGTGAAAATGTTGCAAACTTCATTATGGTTTCAAACAATGCTGTTCCGATGAAGTTAGAAAGTTCTGACAGAAGATATGTAGTTGTCAGAACGTCAGATTCTCATATGCAAGATACAGAATATTTTGACGACTTAGCAGAAACTTTGACATCTGACTTTTACAACCACTTGTTCTCATATTTCATGACATTAGATATTTCTAAGTTCAATCCAAGACAAATTCCACATACCGAAGAGAGACAAACATTGTTAGAAGCAAACAAGAGTGTATATGAACTGTTCATAGATGAAACTGACTTTGTGTTTAGATGAAAGGTCATTGTACGATTCGTATAAACAATATTGTCAAGAATATGGTTATATGACAGCTTCTAAACGACATTCTTGGCAAATGTCAAAAGTCTTTTAGATGTTCAGAATGGTGTATATACAAAGAAAAATTTTTATGAGTAAATTTTAAAAAAAATATTTTTTTATCCGATAGAAAAGATGACGAAAATTCATCTCAGTAAACAAGTACATGTCAGGACTTAAAGAAGAACTAGACCCATTCACATATTTGAATGTTTACTTCTACCATTTTGAAAAGTCTTCATTCAGCAAAGTTTGGAACATCGAACCAGTTAAGTTTGCTATTGTGACTAAAAATGGTGCGAAATTTGAAGACTTAGACATAGAAGGTTTGTTAGCAGTCAAAGAAAGTTTTGACAGAAGGTTCTCAAACCTTAAAGAAGGCAAAGCATACAAACTTGTTATACCTTATGAACCAAAGAAAGCAGACGACTATGAATATTATGAGTCTAAAGTTGTAGAAGTTCAAGGTAAATTGGGTAAAAAGATTTTAGAGTCTAAGCCAGTGTTTGCTCCTAAAGAGGAAGAGAACATTGACATTGACCCAGAAATGTTCTAAAAATAAAATTTTATTTTTACATGTCAAATTTCTTTTTCTCTGGAACTGGTTCAGGTTCTTTCTTCTCTCTTCTTCTTCTACTTTCTTTCTTCTTTCTTTCTTTTTCTTTTCTCTCTTCTTCTTCTCTGGTGGAGTTATGTCAAATTTCTCCGAACCATATTTATGTAAAAGTTCTTTGTCCTTTAATAGCTCATCTATTCTGTTTTCTATTTCATCTTCAAGAACAGCGCATGTGTCTTCTTTGCATTCTAAGAACTTTTGTTGGACTTCATCTTTCCAATCGGCGTCATCTCTGTCAACAAGTCTGTCATTGACAAATTTTAAGACTGCTCTGTAATGTTTTATGGTTCTTGTCATATTCCCAGAAACAGAACTTTAGAACAAATTCACCTTTCTTGTTTACACTATGTAAGATTTTATGGTCGACAGATGTTTTGCTGTCGAAAAAGCTTGTCTCGAATATAGATAGCGAAATCGCTAGACATTTTCTAAAAGATAAAAATTTTAATTTTTCTAAAAATATGTTAGAAAAAAAGTTTGCTGACATTGACAAGAAATTTGAGAATGTTTTAAAAAGAACAAGAGGAAGTTAGAAAATGCTCAGATAAACCTATACATGACAAGTTCTTATTTGCTCAGAATGGTATAACAGGTCTAATTGCACCACCTGGGTCGGGTAAGACTTTCACTTATCTTAAAATGGCTGCACAACAACAAGAACTAGATGAGAAGAACCCATTCTATGAGTTAGTTGTCATTTGTTACTTCTGGTCAATTTGACCAAACCGTCAATTCGTTCAAAGATATTATAAAGAAGTCTAAGTTAGTATGTATAAAAGATACTGAGTTGTTAGATTGGATAAAGAAGTACCAAAGAAGAGTTTTGAAGTATAATGCTATAAATGAGTATATAAATTCTAAGTTTAAAGACCCAAATGAGGAAATGCAGAGAATATTAGAGAAGAAACACTTCAGAAACAAACAGAAAGAGATAGAATACATTTCGAAGAAATTGCAATCTTACGATTGGAAGACATACCCTCATAGATGTCTTCTTATCTTAGATGACTTTGCTTCTCATCCTTTGTTAAGAAGAGAACAAGATATGTGTCGAATTCTTAAGAAGCTCAGACACTTTAACATCTCAGTTGTCATTTGTGTACAGACAGCAAAGAGTTTAAGTAAGGATGTTAAAAGAATACTTACTGACATTATACTTTTCCCCGGATTGTCCGAAGACGATTTCATGGAACTTATGAAAGAGTCCATGGCAGGTAAGTTTGACAGACATGAACTATGGGAGAAGTATAAAGTCATACAAGACCCTCATACTTCCTTCAGGATTCATATCTACGCAACAAAGTTCAAATTGTAAAAAGTCAAGCTTGAAAAATAAATGGTTCATTTACTCTACTTGTTTGAAGTTGTCAAAATACTCTGTTATTTTTTCTTTAACAATGGCAAATCTTCTTTGAATGTAAGTATTGTACAACCTTTCATATCATAGTGTGTTTGAGGTAACGTATCTTGAACTATTTGTTTCACATCTTCATTTGGGGTCATTGAAATCGGTAAGTTTTCGCGATAGAACCAATTTCTGTCAGATTTGTAAATCTTAGCAAGGTCGTAAAAGCTTTTGTTGTTTCTTCTGACTAAATGCAACATAACCATATCTTTATCTTCTTCATTTTCCATCTCTTCAGTATAAATCATATACTTATAGTTCTTTTCCTTTCCTTTTGGTACCGAACGTGGTATTCTTTTCTGAATGCTTTTGTCTTTTGCTTCAAGCTTGTTCTCTAGCTCTTCACGTTCTTGTCTATGAATTTCGTCAAGAAGTCTGTATATATTCCAAGCATAACGAGGCGAAGCCCACATTGCAACAGCATTTACAAGAAGTCTATGTACATAATATCCTCTCAAACCGTTTGGCAATTTTTCACGATTTTCATAGAGTTTTGGCGACTGGGGTTTCTTCCCTACTCGCTGTGCTTCGCTCAAAAGTTCTTGTGTGCTTTGGTTCCTAAACCAGTCTTTAGGAAGCTTAGTATCTGGAGCAAAACATGCTGTCAAAATACTTTGCATTTGGTACATATCGTCTTTGACCGAACGAATGAGACGGAGTTGTTTGTTAAACTGTATGTACTCATATTCTTCATTTATAGCTTCATGGACTATAACTGTTGTTGTGTTCTCTGTTGTTGACATATCTGTCTTTACATACAAAATAAAAAAATAAATAAAAATAAAACTAACTTTATTTTCTGACTTTCACAAAAGACCAAAAATAAACGCTTTACATGTATTTTTCAGCAACTTCGTCAAATAATTTTATAGCTTTATCTATCTCATCTACTTCAAACGTTTCTTTACCTTTTATGGGAGCACCATATATTTTCTCAAACTTTTCAAGTAGTTCTGTTTCAGCAGCTCTCATATCGTTAACGAACACAACCTTGACTCTATTGACTGTACTGTCATATCTTTGAGTTATATTATATGTTCTTCCTATCTTATATCTCTTTGTATTGAAGTCCTTCGGTTTCTGAACGATGTAAAGTAAGCCTTCACTGCAACGTTCCGTATCGAATGAACCATATGTTATGAAGTTATATCCAACAACTGGGTCTAACCATAACAAAACTATTGGTATAAGACTTTTGTCTATAAGATATGCTGCAGTTCCATAGAATCTTACCGATATCATAAGCTCAGGATTTCTTGTCAAAATTTTCTGAGTTGAAGCATTTCTAACCCAATGCCATGTTTTCTTTCCAGATGGAGATATAATGTCTGACAAAGAATATTTGTTGTATTTCTTTGAGTATCTTACGTTTAAATCACCTATTCTAACCACTTTGGTGTCATTGTCTATCTTTTTAACTGTTTCAAACTCATTGTTTGACATATATGTCTTTACATACAAAATAAAAAAAATATTTTACAAAAAACTAACTTTATTTTTTCTGTCTTGTATAAAAGATATGATTTCAGGGATTTTTTTTACGAAGTGTCAAAGTTCACTTCGTCAAAAAATAACAGTTATATAATGAAATTTGGTCATTTTTTCACGATTTTCATGAGTTTTAGGCGAGTAAGATTTTTTCCCTACTCGCAATTTTTTCACGATTTTCATGAGTTTTAGGCGAGTAAGATTTTCTATCTTGTATAAAAGATATGATTTCAGGGATTTTTTTGACGAAGTGCAAAAGTTCACTTCGTAAAAAAATAACAGTTATATAATGAAATTTGGTCATTTTTTTACGATTTTCATGAGTTTTAGGCGACCAGGTTTTTTTCCCTACTCGCAATTTTTTACGATTTTCGTACGGAATCTCGACCCGCGGTTTTCCTCGGGTAGCAAACATATGAGGAAATTCATGAAATTTGGTCATTTTTTTCAGCAAAAATAATGTTTAGGTGAAGAGGTGAGATCTCACCTGTTTTCTCACCTGTTTTCTCACCTCAGTTATTTTATAAGCGTTTTACATGGTAAACGTTATTTTTTAAATTTTGTGAAAACTCAACGGTTTGACACAAGCCATATGCTATTTTACTCAGATTTTTGTGCTGAATTCAGCAAAAATATATTTTAGGTGAAGAGGTGAGATCTCACCCGTTTTCTCACCTGTTTTCTCACCTGTTTTTTCACAAGCGTTTTACATGAATTGTACGATGTATATTTGAAATCCTAAACAATTTCGTAGCTTCTATTTCTTCGCTGAGGATATCGAATGTTTTAACAATACCGAAGGTTTCTTTATACTTCTTCTTGACGTCAGACAGAAGGAAATCTTCTGCAGTTGGATAGTTTTTGTTCAGAAATGTCAACATGTCCATTTTATCTTCTGCTGGCTTTTCTGCTTCTTTCTTTAAGTCAGCATAGTCGTTTCTCATACGTTCTATCTCTTTGACGGAGTAGTTATATTTCCTAATTGCTGCTTTACATTTAGAACATTGCGGGTTCATTTTTGCGTTATATTCTGAAACCTTACCAGCTAAAACAACTAAAGCGTCAATGGTTTTCTTTAACGCAAAAGCAGTTGGTTTTATCTGTTCATTCCATACCTTACCTCTTCTATCTTTATCTCTTATCTGCCATACACATTCAGCAACTAACGAAACAAAGTTGTCGTAGGTCTTAAATTCTTCAGATTTATATATGTCAGAAACATTCTTATATACCATGTCGCAATCTTTGTCCATAACTTTATGGTTGCAATGAAATCCTAGAAACTCATAGTTTACCTTTCGTATGAACTTCTTTATTTCTACTGAGTCAGTTGCTTTGACTTCAATTTCGTCGAATTCAGGAATAGTGAGTTTTTGTTGCTGAATTTCAGGTAGTTTAGGCAAATGGTCAATAATGTCCTGCATTTCATAAAGATACTGTTCATTTGTTTCATCTTTCGCACTACAGTCTAAATTACTTGTTAAAAGTTCTTGCTTTATCTTCTGGATTTCTGTTTCGAAAGTATATGAAGAAGGAATGAAGCTTTTCATTTCTACTAACATAGATGTTGGATTCATGACTAACGAGTTAGGTGCTGTTGTTTGAATTGTTGTTGTGCCGATTGTTGAAATCATATCTTTTATACAAAATAAAAAAATAAAAAAAATAAAACTAACTTTATTTTTTATTTCGGGAAAATTCATGAAAATTCATGAGGTGAGAAAAGAGGTGAGAAAAGAGGTGAGATCTCACCTCTTCACCTAAACATTATTTTTGGGTCCTTTACACTCATTACGATGAAGTCTTGACAAAACATTTACGAAGAAGTCTTGACAAATTCAAGAGGGTAGAAATGAGGTTAGAAAAGAGGTTAGATCTAACCTTCTACCCTAAATTATATTTTTGGTCCGGGAACAACTTTCTCTCAATTGGAGCTGTAGCATACTCTTTGCGTAAACGGTTCAGACCTTCTTGGAACTCTTGGTCTCTCTTCGATTTGGATTGAGATTGGAATTGCTGGGGTGGTGGTACGTCGGACATTGTCTTGAAACAGTACAAGTATTGTTCTGAAACAGTACAAATATTGTTCTGAAACAGTACAAATATTGTTCTGAAACAGTACAAATATTGTTCTGAAGCAGAAAATTTTTCTCACAAATTGAGAGCTTTTACGGGAAATTTGTTCTGAAAAAGTTCAAGTCTTGTTCTGAAAAAGTACAAGTATTGTTCTGAAACAGTACAAGTATTGTTCTGAAAAAGTACAAGTATTGTTCTGAAACAGTACAAGTATTGTTCTGAAAAAGTACAAGACTAGTTCTGAAACAGAACAATGGACAACATCGAGCCATTAGATGAGAGCTTTTATGTTTTTTGTGAAAGTGTCAAAAATAAATTGTTTTCATGAAAATTCAAGAGGTGAAAAAAGAGGTGAAAAAACAGGTGAGATCGCACCTCTTCACCTAAACATTATTTTTCAATACTTTTTCAGCACTTTTCCGTAGTTATATATGAAAGACAATTCGAGATAAAAGTCATAGTACAATGGAATAATATGTTGCACACCATTTGTTGTGAACCAAACTTGAAAGTCAGAGAAACTGTTACTAGGTGGTTCGTAGAATTTAGAAGCAAAGTCATAAAAGTCCTTACCAATACATAGAAAACTATTGTTGCTTGAACTGAAACTTGCATGACACATAACATTTTGAGGGTCAAACACGTTTCTATAAACTGTCAAATCTGCTGGTGGAAGTATAAATTGAAATGGACCATCTGGTGGTAATGGTTCGTTCTGGTTTAGTAACCGAAGAAATTGTGCCCAAGAACGTTTGTCTACTTTCCAAAATAAAAACTCTGTATCTCTTGGAGGGTTAATTTCAATCTTTTGAAATGAAACGGTGGAGTTCATCTTGTCATATTCTAGTTTCAGATAGTATGTTCCATTTAGTAAAGAGTCGTATTTTTCTTGAAATTCCAATAATATTTGTTCATTTGAGTTTGAAAGTCATTTAGAGTTTTCTCAAGACTTTCGTCTGAACGAACTGTAAAAGATTCTCATTTCGTCAAATTTGTCTATTAGACCATCATGACCTTTATACTGCCCATGAAAATATACTGCGAACATAAATGCGTTAGTTCTATTTGAAAACAAAACTCTTCTAAATCCTATTGCCTTTGCATCTGAAGGACTTTGAAGCCAACGAATTGGATAGTCAAACCTGTATACTCGGGATGAAATTTCTTCATCTGAAATAGTCCTACCAGCATTTGTAAAGATATAGTCTAACGGTTTTGTATCTGCTACTTTTGTTCTTTGTTTTTCAACCTGAAGCATTTAATATATGTAAAAATATATTGTTTTAAAATGGTATGCCATTTCATATTTCTCATCTAACAAACAAGTTTCCCAACGGTCTTCTCCAACAAACTCAGCGTACATTTCAAATAAAATTAAAAAATGTCACTTTTTAAAAAAATATTTTTACTTCATGCAATGTTCACTAACATCGAAAGGCATGTCCATAAGACGTTCTTCTTCTAACCTCTCTAGTCTGTTTGGATAATTTGCACGTGCTGTTTCCAAATCCATTTCGTAGCGAAGACCAGCCAGTTTGTCATAGACTTTTATGGGTCTTCCCTTCCTATATTTAAACTTCTTCGAAACTCTCCAACCATATCTTTGCAACTCTGCTTTTATTCTAGCAGATTTTCTATCCATTCTATATGGGGGCATTTTTATAAAAATAAAAAAATATTTTTTTTCTTTACTTTACATAACCGCCTGCTGCCATAAGTCTTTGACGCCAACCCATACCAGCTAATGAAGGTTGACTTGGTTTAGTTTGGAAACTAAACTTTGGTTTTGGTTTATCTTCAGTTTTTGGTTTCTCTTCTTCTATCGGTTTTTCGTCACTTTTCGGTTCCTCTGACTTTACTTCACCTGCAGGAACAGTTGTGTCGTCAACATCTTCATAAATATCATATGCCATTTGTTTTTGTTTTCCTTTCAACTTTTTGTGTTTGTTGTAAAGTTTAGAATATTTTGACTCTAAGTCAATGAGATGTTCTATAATGAACTGTTGGTCAGTGAAGTAAACTTTTCCATCTGTTGTCTCGAAAGCTCCTTCAGACTTCAATATTTTATTTGTGAGAGTCTGTTTCTTTTTTGAGATACTAGCCGTTCCATTTCTATGAAAAGTGACTTTGTAGTTAGGGTTTGTATTTCCAGACCTGGCACTTTCTATTATTGAATTTT